TACAGACTCTATAATTTCCTCTTTTTTAGCTTAACATTTCTCTAAATCCAGAAAATAAAATGTTTCTGCTTCTGTAATAGTAATTTTTTTCGGAATTTCAAAACAATAATACACACTTAGTTTAATCCATAAACCTTCAGTAATCATGAAGCCCAAATAGCCAAACTGAGTTTTTATGATACTAGAATGTAGTAAAGTTGCAAAAAAGTATTTATCGTGATCCATTTTTTATTATAGCAAGATATGAGCAGACATTTAAATTTGTACAATAATTTTATTTTAATTTTTTCCATTAATGTGGTTGAACAAAGAACTTACTTAATAGAATTATAAATTTAATAGAATTGAAATTCCAATTTTTCATCGCATTTTAAAATTGAAATTTTAATCTAAAAGTGTATTTCAAATTCGTATATATATCTGTAGCGCTATATTATAATTCATTATTATCTTAATATTTTAATTTATAAAATAAAATTACTTTAAATGCAAATCATAATCTATTTATTTGCTGGTGATGGGATATCTTCACATGTTCCTGGTTAACAGGCAGTTGCATCCTTTTTAATACAAAACTTCAACTTATCAAGAGTTGATTAAGTTACGCAAAATGTATCAGTGGTCAAACCAACTCCATCAAAGTTTGCAGCTGTCCATTATTTTCCAAAACCTATTTCTAATGCACAACCAGCATTAGCTAGCTATGGTTTGACAAGCTGTACCAACTGGATTTATTTCACTATAACCTTTGCTTGTTTCATTAACAGATTTACAATACTTTGCATTCTTTGTATCAGCGTTCAAATCTAAATTTGCTGAGAAAGATGCTGGACATGTAAAAAAAGATTTATTACATTTCTGCATAATAATAACATCCAGCAACCTTAATCGCAATCTTTTTAGCTAACAGCTGATGCAACACTAGCACAAGTCATTGCTGCACATACATTACATGAAGTCTATGTACAGACCTTAGATACTCTGGCACCATCACCAAATTTAGTATCTTCATCAACAATTTTTAGAGCTTCACAAGCGGTTTTTTATTGGCATCAGATAGTGTGGAATAATTTGAACATGCTTTTATTTAGACAACTATCTTTTCAAAAGTGCTTTAGAGAGTGCAAGTACCATCAACAACTTTAAATGAACAAAATTCTCCTTTACCATTAACGTATTTCTAACATTAAGCTAATTTGAGTGTATCAGTGTTGACTCCTGTAGGAAAGCATAATCACAGCTAGGTTTATTTGGTAAACAGCAAAAGTTTCCAGCTAATTTATAAATATCATTTGATAATGTTAAAATATTTTTTTATAAATAATTAGCACAAGTTATATCTGTGTTCGTATTTGTGCTCAATAGTTTATCGCATGTTCTATCTACACATTTTGTTCCAAAATTCCATCCACATAATAATCCATTGCTATTGTTTGTACTTGTACAATAGTTGTAGCAGTATCTGGTGTATTATTAATGTATCTTAGCATGCATCATATTTTGTTTATGGTACTTTCACACCAACTAATCCACCTGAAAATGTGTGGGCAAGTTGTTAGAGTAGTTCTTGATTTATCCATACAACCTCCTTCTGATTTTGCAATACAGACACTTATAAATGTTCACATTCATCATCTTTTGTTGCCGTTGTATTATCTGTGCAAGTTCTTGTCTTGCATAATTCTGATGATGATGCTCTAAAATAATATTTTGCACCATTACTTCCAACAACTGCATTTTCGCAAAATGCTACAACTCCAGTATAACTAGAACAAGTTGCTGTTTTTGGATCAGAACACCCTCCATTACCATTTTAAACACAACCTTCTAAAAATGATCCACATGTGCTATCAGTCTAGTTTTCAGCAAGAGCACAAGTTTTAACTTTGAAATAATCTGTTGCAGTATCACTTGATGAGTTATAACATTAATTTTTTCAAAAGCTTGAAACTGTTCAGCCTATAATTTATCACATATTGCTTAAGTTCCTTTCATAGATATAGATGGTGTATTGTAAACAACACAACCTTATCCATTTGTTATACATCCAGGTAAGAATCCATTGCAGGTTGTGTTATCAGTTGCATCTGTATTATCTGAGCACTTTCTGCTAACACAAGCAGATGTACCTGAAGCAGCATTAGTACAATAAGCTGGATGACTTGATTGTGTTCCAAAAAGTTTACTACAATCATATTTAGTTATTTAGTGTTAATGAAAATATTGAATATGTATATTTACTTACACTATATTTATTAAATTAAATGTTATTATAAAAGAAATTTTCAATAATAATTTAGAAAGTCTATTTAGGCTTTCAATCAAACTTAGGTTTGATTCCAAACTATTTTTAGTATATTATTTTATTATTTATATAATCAGAAGTTGGGTTGAATTTTGATTAATTTGATTCTGTAGGAAAAAAATGAAGAAAATAATAAGCAAGATATCTCTTGTGTTATAATCTCTAAATATCATTATTATANCCTATTCTGCATAAATTTGTTAATTATCTATAATTTTTGGACTTGGAATATATATAGAATAAATAAGTGATGTAATCGAAATTCAAATACCTTTTTTAATTATTCTTGCTTATCTTAATATTCATTTTTTATTGAAACTATTATTAGAAATTATAAGTTAATATGTAAAAAACCTTGAAGTACAACTTGATTCTATAAGAGACTTTATAAGAACTAAAGCTCCATGGACATTAAAATATAGATTCCTACATTTATAGCTTTTAAATAGATAATAGTAAAGAGCGAGAGTAATTAAAAAATTTTAAATATTAAAAAAACATTTATTGTTAAAAGCCAAACAAATTGTATAAATTAAATCTTAATACAATATCTTTAATGATGAAGATGTAAAGAAAATCATTAATAATTGCAGTTAATAGAAGTAATAGATTTTATTAATTTAGTCAAAATAATAACAATGCTGAATATTAGACAATAAATAGTAAAATTGAATCCCAAGGTAAATTAAGAATAGAATAAGGATGATTTTTTAAAATATTTTATGATCAAAATATTCGATATATGATTCTATTTTTCCTAACCATCTTAAATTTTATTCCTAAAGGTAATTATTTTAAACTAAAATAAATTTTAATTATCATATTCTTCCAAAAAATCCATTTAAATATATTCAAATATAAACCTGTTAAAGTTAATGCTGAAGTATTTAGGGAATAAAATTTTAAAATTTGCATGATCACATAAATCACTACAAACACAAGGACATCTGAACCAAAAATAATATTAGCAATTAATAGCCACAGTGATTTATTACAATTTATTTTTAAAATTAAAAATATGAAAACCGAATGGATTTATAATTTAAACTAAATTTTAGTTTATAAATTTTCAGCATATTAATCATGTAGACTTGATCTTGATTTATATATAAATAAATATTCATATATCTTCAAACAGCAACAAATGTATCCTTCGATCGCATTTAAAACTATAGTTTCTTTAGAACATAAATCTGAATTCATTATTTTTCTGCAAACATCTTAAAAAATATTTTGAGCCTAAAATCCTAATTATTCACGCTTAGCTACCCAATATATTAAAACAACTTAATTCGTTTTAATTTTACCGTTCTATCGTTTTTATTAAGAATGAATCCTTAAAGATGAAAAAAAATATAAAAATATCTATTTTTCTTTCTATCTCATGAAAGTCTTGCTTGAATAAAATTTTTAAAATTGAATTGATTTTATTCAATATAAATTTTATTATAATTAGTCTCTTTATTCGAAAAATCAAGAAAATTATAAAAATGATTTTCATCAATCATCTATTCATCAATTAAGCCTTTTATAATCTGATCATAATTATCGGTTCGATAACTAATCTTAAATTATTAATATTAAAGAATATAATAATATGTATTTACATAAAAAAAAGTATTCCCTAGATTTGATTAATGAACCAAAAATAATGTATTTCATCAAAATTTTAATTGCTAAGTTTACTTGAAAGAAAATTATAATTCTTGTAATTTTTTTTGGGATTTACTTTTAATACCTGTTCATAAAAATTATTATTTTATTCAATCCTTTAGTACTTAATACTTTCTAGATAAAGTGTGAAATAAATGATATTGCTTATTATTATTTTTTATCTTTAAAGAATCTAAATTTGAATTTATAAATTCTAAAGTTTATAAAATAAATGACGAGATAAGTATTTCTATTAGTTTTAAAAAATAAATATTTGATGAACTTTTGTAAAAATTTTCTTTAAGATTAATTTATCATATGATGATGTCAATAATAATAATTTATATTCATGTTTTTAGAGCAGCAAACTATAGCTATACTGCAAACATTGAAGATTCTCTAGCTGGTATTTATCTAGATATAATATAAGGCTGGCGAATTTATAATGCATAATGTCCTTACATAAATAATTGTGGTAGTTAAGCTATTGTAGGAGGAATCAATTCATTCAATGAGCATACCATAATTAATAGAAGATTTGATAATTTGGATCCACATTATTAAATAAGAATAGATTTCTGGATATGGATGTAATTAAATTATTATTATCAATAGAATTGATTCACCATCAATCACAGATTTAGAAGTTTAATTAGATTTAGATGATTATACTAAGGCAATATCATCATAAATAATTGAATAAGTAAATCATTGTGGAGTCTTAAATAATAATGAATAAATCAAATAAATATAATTTGTCATAGAACACAATAAAAATATATTAAATTTATCAGCCAAGTTCAAGTATAATAAAGAATAGAAAGTAAATATTTGAAATTAAGTTAGTTTTCTTGGGGAATTTAAAAAATGGATTTAAATTTTTTACAATGTTATTTAGAATGTTCTTTTTGTTCTGGCCCTATGAAATTTGATTGTTTAAATTGGCATAATTTAATCTATTTGTTTCCTAATAGTATTTTCACAAATCTTATTGAAATGACTGATAATATAGATGAATTCACCTAATATTTTGAATGCTATAATTGTGAATAAACCTTTATGATAGATTTTGTTTAAACAAATGAAAATAATATTATTAAATTACTGTAATTAAAATTAAGTATCTATTAGAGATAAATTCTATATCAATTAAGAACTTATTTTAGAAGTGTACAGTAATGGAACTATGTAAATTGATCTAATATAGATATATGGTATAGTTGAATTTAATTTCAAAATTTATTCTAGTGATAGAAAAATGGAATAATAAGTTTAGATATAATATTTATTAAAATATTAAGGTAATGAGATTCTTTTTCCAATTTTACCTGGTTGTTTAGATTAATTTAATAATTATTGTTTAGATGGTTTGGAAGGATGGGATCTTAATACAATAGAAAATGTGTGTTTTCCTATTTGTGGTAATGGAGTAATTGAAAGAAATGAAGAATGCGATGACGGTAATTTGAATAATTATGATGGATGTCTTTAATGCAAATTTGAATGTGTTTAAGATTGTTAAATATGTGAAAACGGAATTTGTAAGGAATGTAATGTAGGATTTGAATATGATAAATAGAATGAAAAATGTGTAACAGTTTGTGGAGATGGATTATTAATTCCATTTAGTTAAGAGATTTGTGATGATGGAAATAAAGAAAAAGGAGATGGTTGTTATAATTGTATATTTGAATGTGAATAATTTTGTGAGAAATGTATTTATTTTGATTGTGTTAAATGTTTGGAAGGCTTTAATCTATTAAATGGTATTTGCAATCCAATATGTGGAGATAAAATAGTATTGAAAGATTTAGAAGAGTGTGATGATGGTAATAATATAAGTAATGATGAATGTCATGAATGTAAAAAAGTTTGTGCTAATGATTGTGATGTATGTGAAAAGGGTATATGTTAAGTTAATTGCAAAGAGAAATTAGGATTAGGATTTTATAATATTGATGGAATATGTAAATCTAAATGTGGAGATTCTATAGTTACAGCTGAAGAGGATTGTGATGACGGAAATGACATTGATTATGATGGATGCTTTAAATGTCAATATGCTTGTGAATAAAATTGTTTGACCTGTATTAAAGGTTAATGTCAAAAATATAAATCTGTATGTGGCAATGCTCTATTAGAAAAAGAAGATGGAAAATGTGATGATGGAAATACAGATTAATTTGATGGTTGCTTCTTTTGTGATATTGAACCTAATTGGATATGTCAAGAAGATAAATAAAAAAAAAGCTATTGTTAAAATTATAATCCTCATCAATTTATTCCTAGTTTCTTAAACATTACAAATAATAAATAGTTTGTTCTATTTTAATTTTCTCGTGAAATTAAAATTTAAAATGGATAAAATTTAACCTAATCTATGAATTTATCAATTATGGATAACTAAATTTAATATAAATATGAAATACTTGAAAAAATAGAACCAATTGAAAATTAATTAACAAATGTATACTATTTGATACAAATAGAAATTTAATAAAAAATTAATTTTTAACCCACCTTAATTATCAACTTTACTAATAACATTGTTGTTCTTAGTGATGATGATTAACCCTAAGCATTATAAGAATATAAATTAATATTATAAATTCCCTAATATCTTAATCAAAAAGATTTATAAACAAGCTAAAATATAACAAACATGAGTTACACCTAATCAGATAAGCTTTCTATCATCATTAAAGATTATTAATTTATTAAATTTATTATTTTTAATAATTATTGCTTATATTTTCATTTCTATTTTAAGATATATCACTTAAAATATTGATCTTACTATTATAATATATTTAAATGTCATACTCATTTAAAAAAAATATCAATTTAAAAGAAAAATTGATAAATATTATCATTTTACAATATGGAATATTAAATGTTTTTAAGAAATAAAATTAAAGAAAAAATCTTTTTATATTAATTCCTTCGAATTAAATTTATCCCTAATTTGGAAAGTTCTAATACTATTAATAAAATTCAGATTTGCTCTCCAATTTAACTCCATAGATTATTTAATTTTTAATTCTTGTACTGTTTATTCAATCATAAAAGCTGGTTTAAAAAATAGTTTATTCATCTAAATTCTAAAAACTGTATTTTTTTTTCCTGGCTTATTTGTCATCTAAATTCAATGATAAATTTATTTTTTTGTTGTTAAAAAATTTTATAGAGGATTAAAAAAACTAAGACGATTATCAATTTTTATTTCAAAATAAAATTTAATTAAATTAATGATTATTAATGGATGGGATACATTTTATAAATGTTTCCTCTATTTAAAATCTATTGAAGAATTTTCTATGAGAAGTTTAATTTCATATTTAATATCTGGTTTTATAATTGCTTCTTATGGCTTCTTAATAATTCATTAAACTTAACCTTAAAAAATTCCTAATATCAAAAAAAAGAATCAAATTATCGAAGAAAGATGTGAAGTATGGAATTTATTTAGATAGATTATATTTTTATTTATATTAATCTTTCTATATCAAAGTGAAATTATTTAAATCCTATTGTTAGTTGCCAACGTGTTAATATCATTAGTTTTAATATCAAGTTTAAAAAACATAAGGGAAAAATCAGATTTTATTTAATTGATTTTACAAGATGCAGCAATATTACTTTTTATTTTGAGTTCCATAATTTATACAAAAGATTTTGCCTATATTTTTTCAATGTAGAGTAAAGTTTTGTTAGCATTTATTTAAGTGGCTATTCTAACATTTGTCATAATTTTTCAATTTTTAAGACTCACTAAAAATTCAATAAATGATTTAAGAAAAAAGTGTAAAAAACCCGAAATCAATAAAAATAATCAAGTAACTAGGATACTACATTTTTGATGATATTTATATATATTTATAATTACATTATAATTTATTACTTAACTCTAAAAAATATAAGAAAAATGATGGCCGAATTGATATTCAAACAACTTCTTCATAATTTGATACTTTGCTTCAATTTAATTCTAAATTAAACTTATTATTTAAATTTAATGAGCAATAATTATTTTAAAAGAAAACTATACGTTACAATAGACAGAGTAANAAATGTTTTTAAGAAATAAAATTAAAGAAAAAATCTTTTTATATTAATTCCTTCGAATTAAATTTATCCCTAATTTGGAAAGTTCTAATACTATTAATAAAATTCAGATTTGCTCTCCAATTTAACTCCATAGATTATTTAATTTTTAATTCTTGTACTGTTTATTCAATCATAAAAGCTGGTTTAAAAAATAGTTTATTCATCTAAATTCTAAAAACTGTATTTTTTTTTCCTGGCTTATTTGTCATCTAAATTCAATGATAAATTTATTTTTTTGTTGTTAAAAAATTTTATAGAGGATTAAAAAAACTAAGACGATTATCAATTTTTATTTCAAAATAAAATTTAATTAAATTAATGATTATTAATGGATGGGATACATTTTATAAATGTTTCCTCTATTTAAAATCTATTGAAGAATTTTCTATGAGAAGTTTAATTTCATATTTAATATCTGGTTTTATAATTGCTTCTTATGGCTTCTTAATAATTCATTAAACTTAACCTTAAAAAATTCCTAATATCAAAAAAAAGAATCAAATTATCGAAGAAAGATGTGAAGTATGGAATTTATTTAGATAGATTATATTTTTATTTATATTAATCTTTCTATATCAAAGTGAAATTATTTAAATCCTATTGTTAGTTGCCAACGTGTTAATATCATTAGTTTTAATATCAAGTTTAAAAAACATAAGGGAAAAATCAGATTTTATTTAATTGATTTTACAAGATGCAGCAATATTACTTTTTATTTTGAGTTCCATAATTTATACAAAAGATTTTGCCTATATTTTTTCAATGTAGAGTAAAGTTTTGTTAGCATTTATTTAAGTGGCTATTCTAACATTTGTCATAATTTTTCAATTTTTAAGACTCACTAAAAATTCAATAAATGATTTAAGAAAAAAGTGTAAAAAACCCGAAATCAATAAAAATAATCAAGTAACTAGGATACTACATTTTTGATGATATTTATATATATTTATAATTACATTATAATTTATTACTTAACTCTAAAAAATATAAGAAAAATGATGGCCGAATTGATATTCAAACAACTTCTTCATAATTTGATACTTTGCTTCAATTTAATTCTAAATTAAACTTATTATTTAAATTTAATGAGCAATAATTATTTTAAAAGAAAACTATACGTTACAATAGACAGAGTAACCTCAAATTTTAATAAATTTTTTTTTTTTAAAAATTTGTTTTCCATAATTTAACTTTAGAATTTTTCAAAATATGAATGAAAATTTTTAATCATCAAATTCTTTTTAGAATAATTTTAAGATTTTTAGATTTCAGAAATTTTCACACAAAGAAATCAAAAAGTAACTTAGTGAATTATGCTCAAAAATTACCTTGAAATTTATTTAAATTAAAAGTTTAAGTGCATTAACTTCTATTTTTTAAATAAATGGTAATCATATTCTGAGCAATTAAATCTCTTTCTGATCGACAAATATTAGAATCCATCAAAATGAGGTATTGCACAAATATTTTAATTTTTTTCAAAGATTAGAATAAGAATACGATTCAATTTTCAATATCTATGTTATTAAAATCTTATGATTGTTCATCTTTTTCTCAACTTCTTCATATTTTTATTTAGTCATTATTTGGTTAAAAAAATTGATGCCATAAACAAATCTATAAACAAAATTCATAAATGAATTTGCCAAATTAAATAAGAATCTGAATACTCAACAGCTATTAAAAAACTTCATAATATTTCAAAAAATACGAAATAAAGAAATAATATAAAAGTCTTTACGAATGTCGAATTAATTCTCTATCATTACCCCCATATTTGGCAGTATAATTCTGTATCACCTCTTGGATGTTTAATAAATGAATCGAATAAGTGTTTATGACAGATAAAAATAATTTAAAGATAGAAAACAAGCAATTCTCAACTAATTTTTTTCTCAAATAATATATTAAATATAAGGTTATAAAGGTTAAAAATTAGAAAATTAATGTTTAATATTAAAATTTTCCCTATATATAATTTGTAAATCAAATTCAAGCGAATAATCCCAATAAACCAAATGAAATAGCTGACAAAATGTAAGCACTGTCAGTAGTTGTTCCTGGATCAGTTGAAGTATTGGTTCCATTTGAGTTGTTTGGAGTGACAATTACAGCTCCTGTGCAACTTTCACATTTACTGGTGGCAGTGTTCCAACTGTAAGTATAGGCTGATTTAGTGTAACAAATCTTAGGATCTGTCATAGTTCCTGGATTAGCTGCAGCGCATTTTCCACTTTAGAGTACACAAACTGTAGATGAAGCTCCATCAAAGCTTGGGAGTGGCTGACAGTCAGTTCCTGAAGCATAAGTATCGCATGCATGATTAACACATGATGTACCTGTTGAATTTTCAGTCCATTTGCATGATGGATTAGTTGTGCAAGCAAGTTTATCTTTGGTAGCATCAGCACATGCTGTAAATGCCTTGCATGTTCCATTTACTTTATCTGTTCCAGTAGGAGTGAAAGCACAAACAATAGATTTATTATTTTCAAATCCACCTCCATTGCAGGCAGTAATATTCTTATATGTTGAACAAGCAGCCTTGGGAATACAACTTGTTCCATTAGATACGCAAGATTTACCAGAAATAACTCCCATACAATTAGCATTTGAAGTTCCACCTGTGATATCTTCACATTACTTTTATCTACAAGCCTTTGTTGCTGTAGCAGCAGCTCCAATTGGTAATGCAAATATACATTCTCCATCAGTACCATTATAACATCCAGCTTCAACATAAGTTGAACAAGTAGATACTGGGATACATTTAGTTCCATCAGTTGTACAAGTTGTTCCTGTTACAGAGATAAGTTTGCATTGATCATTTGTACCCTTTTACTCATCACCACATTCTTTCAATTTACAAACGCTTGTTGTAGCATTCCAATAACAAATACCATCTGTTCCTAAATTGTTGCAAGCGGTTTATGTCTTGTAAACTGAACAAGTTGATCTAGCTATGCATGTAGTTCCATCAGTTATACAAGCACTTCCATAAGAGAGACATTCATCATTAGTAGCAGCAACAGCATCTGTACATTATCCGAATTTCTAACATTTTCCAGTTGGTAACCATCCACAAGCACCATCAGTTCCTACAACACAAGAAGCTTTCAAAGTAGTAGCGGCACAAGAAGTAATTGGAATACATGTATCCCCATTCGTTGTACATAATGGTGAGAAGGCTTGGCATTCAAGATGTGTCTTTTTAATTGCATCTTCACATCTGTCATAATCAAAACATGATCCATTCACCCAAAGACATGGTCCTCTATTAGATTTTAAGCAGAATTATTTATTTAAAAATTCTGTACATGAAGTTCCAGTAACACAACCTGTTCCATTTGTCTTACATCCTTCTAAGAAAGTATTACATTCATCATCAGTTAAACCATTTTTATCAGAACAAACTCTACTTCTACACTTATTGGTCAGAGTATCCCAACCACATCTACCAACTCCATCTTTAGATGTTGATGCAGCTAAACATATAGATTGAGTCTTATATGATGAACATAATGTAATTGTGATGCAACCAGCTCCGTTGGTAGTACAAGTATCAGCAAATTCTTAACATTATTTATGAGTAGTTATAGATGCTGGTTAATCTTCACATGTTTAAGTACGGCAAGTTGATGTGGATTCTGTCCAAGCACAAAATTTACCATTAACTTTAGAATTAGTACATTATGAATAACTTGTATTACTATAAGTTGCACATGTTGTAATTTAATTTGTACATTAGTTACTCCATGTACAATCTTCTCTTAATTTACATGAAGCTTAATTTGTCAAGTTGTTGCATGATTTAACACCTGTACATCCATAACCAGTGGTATAGCAACTTGGATGATATTTCTTGCAATCTGCATCAGTTGTCAATGTATTTGGTGCTTCTGTGCATACTCTCTTAGCGCAAGCTCCTTTGATGGTACCAACTGTAGTTGCTTTGCATGGACCATCTGAAGTTAAATATGTTGGACATGTTTCCTCAGTTCCTTAAAATGTGGTACAAGACTTTCCATAATCAATACAACCAGTTCCATCAAAAACACAGAAAGGATTATCTGTAGTTTTAAATGGTGGCATACCATCAGAACATTCTTTGTTATTTTTACCAGAAATATCACTACATTTCTTCTTTGCACAATTGGCAGTGGCTAATGCGGTTCCAGTATTCCAACAATAATCAGTTCCTGTATTTCCTTTAAATTTAGAGCAACCTGCTTAATCTCCTTTGTATCCTGTACATAATGAAGAGGCTTCAATACATCCTGTACCCTTTGTTACACAACCTTATAAATATGCAGCACATTCTGTATCTGAAGTGGCAGTTGTGTTATCTCCACAAGTTCTTACTTTACATTTACTAGTTGTAGTATTGGAAACATCACCAGAACAATATTCATATATTGGATTCTTATTAGCATCTACACCTGTATATTTTTTGAATGCTTCACATTATTATTTGGTTCCTCTATATGATGTGCATGGTTCTGTATTTGGAATGCATCCAACTCCTCTTGTCACACAACCGCTTAAGTAACTTTCACAATCAGAATCTGATGTTGCAACAACATTATCATAGCATGATCTATTTGAGCATGCAGAAGAAGATGAAGAAGGAGTAGCTATTGGCTTACATTTATCTTTTCCAGTTGAATCTGTTAATGAATTGCAAAAATCATTTGAACCATTAACCACATTACAATTAGTTGTCTTAAGAACACATATAGTTCCATTAGTCTTGCAAGAGGATAAGTAACTTTGACAATCAAAATCTGAATAAAATTATTTATCAGAACATGCTCTATCTTTGCATTTGCTATTTGCTGAGTCCCAAGCGCATAAATCTCCTGAAGAATTTTAAACTCCTTCGCACCATGCTTATTTGGCAGTGTTATCGCTTCCTTAAGCTGTATAATTAGCACATGTATCTTTGGCTATGCATTTACTTTAATAATAGAGACAACTAGATGCGTTATTTGAACAATCTGTTGCACTAGCATCATTGTCGGTGCAAACTTATGCTTTACATTTTTTAGTTGTATCCTTCATGCATGGGTATCCTCCTGAAGATTTAACTGCTTTACATTGTGTATCCTCTGATCCATCTGCAGGTCCTAGTTTAACATCAGAACTTCCGTCATATTTATCGCATGTATCCAATGTGACACAATTATTACCTTAAATATATGTGCACTATTTAGCTGATCCATCCTTTAGTGATCCACAAGTGGCTGCTTTGTCAGTTGATGCTGTCACATCGAAAGCATCACATTTTGCAGCAACTTTTACACAAAAACTTCCAGCAATGTATGTGCAAGTTTCAGTAATACTTATTTTTTCACAGTATGATTTTTTATCAGCTGTTGTAGCTCCAACAGATGGAACAACTGCACATGTAGCATCATCATTAACGCAAGTACCTCTAAAATAAAAACATTTCAATCCAACTCCATTTATATCGCAATCAACTTAAGATGTTGGACTTTAGATATCATAACAATCAAAATCTCTGCATTTATTATCACCGTTTGTAAAAGCACATTTCTTACCACTAGCATTAATTTTGCTCAAACAATATGCCGATATAGCTGCGTCGCCAGATGGTAAAGTAGTATAAGAATTACAAGTATCTGCGCCTACACATGCTGCTGGAGGAGATCCATTGTATTAATCATAGGTACAATAAATTGTTGATCCATCCTTCGAAAAAATTTAACACAATGCTGTTTTTGAGCTTGCATCACTTATTCCTGCAAGGTCAGAGTTAAATGGAGCTTTGGTTGAATCAGCACAATCTCCTGCTGCGGCAATAGTTCCAACTTTAGGTGTTCTACATTTGGCAGCTGAGAACACGCAACCAAGTAAATGTAAATCACAATCTCCTTAATTTGCTGGTGATGGGATATCTTCGCATGTTCCTACTTTACATTTTGTAATATCACTTGAATCCAAAATACAGTATTTAGCTTTATCTTTAGTGGATTAAGTAGGACAAAAGGCAGAAGAAGCTGCAGTAACGCCATCAAAGTTTGTAGCTGTCCATACAGAACTAAAAGTTAGAATACAATCAGCATTAGCTCCAGTTTGACAACCTGTACCATCCGGCTTTATTTCACAATATCCATTACTTGTTTCATAAATAGATTTGCAATATTTTGCCTTCTTGGTATCAGTATCTAAACCTAAATTTGAAGGAAAAGATGTTGGACAAGACGCAACCGAAGCATTACATTTTCCGGCATAATAATAACATCCGGTAACTTTACTATCGCAATCTTTTTAGCTTACAGCTGATGCTACACTAGCGCAAGTCATTGCTGCACATACATTACCTGAAGTCCATGTACAGCCCTTATATACTCTGGCGCCATCACCAAAAGTGGTAGCATCAACTACTTTTAGAGCTTCACAAGCGATTTTTTTATTGGCATCGGATAATGTGGAATCTAAATTATAATTTGAACATGTTGTTATAGTAGATAGACATCCAGTATTCGTAACTTTTTAACAAATTCCTTTTGTGTAGCCCAAGATGTCATTACAAACCTAAGCCGATGTTTAGGAAACTACCTTTTCACAAGTGTCTTAGAGAGTACAAGTAGCATCACTTGTTTTAAATGAACAAAATACTCCTGAAGTATTGACATATTTTTAACATTAAGTTAATTTGAGGGCATCTGTGTTGACTCCTGTAGGGAAAGCATAAGTACAGTCAGCTTTATCCGGTAAATAACAATAGCTTCCAGCTAATTTACAGGTGTTGTCAGATAAAGTTGAAACATTTTTTTACAAATATGTAACACATGTCAAACTACCAGTAAATGAACTCAAGAATTAATCGCATGTTCTATCTGCACATTTTGTTCCAGAACTCCAACCACATAATAATCCACTACTACTTTTTATGCTTGTACAATAATCGAATTTTTATTATTCAGTTGTAGCAGTATCTGGTGTATTATATGAATTACATGCGCCAGCATCAATACATGCAGCTCCACTCTTTAAAAATCTACAAGTTGTTTTATAATCAGTACAATCAGATGCTTATGATGGATTTGTTTTGTCTGCACATAATCTATCTTAGCATGCATCATATTTTGTACATGGTACCTTCACACCAACTAATCCTCCTGAAAATGTTGGGCAAGTTGTTAGAGTACCATTTTGTGAACTACAAGCTCTTGATTTATCAATACAACCTCCTTCTGATTTTGCAATACATCCAGTCATAAATGTTTCACATTCATCATCTTTTGTTGCAGTTGTATTATCTGTGCAAGCTCTTGTCTTGCATGTTCCTGATATTGATGTTCCAAAACAATATTTAGCATTATTATTTCCAACAATTGCATTATCACAAAATGCTGCAACTCCAGTATAACTTGAACAACTTGCTATTTTTGGATCAACACATCCTCCATTTCCATTATAAACACAACCATCTAAAAATGATCCACATGTGCTATCAGTCTAGTTTTCAGCAAGAGCACAAGTTTTCACTTTGCAATAATCTGTTGCAGTTGCACTTGATGAGTTATAACATTAATTTGTTTCAAATTTATCTTTTGAATCCCCAATTGTACTTTTGTAAGCAAATAATTTATCACATGTTGCTTAAGTTCCTTACATTGAAGTGCATGGAGTGGTGTAATCCACACAGCCTTTTCCATTACTAATACATCCTGGTAAGAATGTATTACAGGTTGCATTATCAGTAGCATCTGTATTATCTGAGCATTTTCTGCTTACACAAGCAGTAGTATCAGTAGCTGAACCAGTATTAGTACAATAAGCTGGATAACTTAAACAGGTTGATTGTGTTCCAAAAAGTTTACTACAATCATATTTAGTTATGCATGCATCAACTCTATTACTTATACACTATGGTAATTCACTAGTACAATTAGCATCGTTGTTATAAAATGCTCCAGTTAGATCTGAACAATCCAAATTCTTACAAGCACCATTCAACCAACCACACTTTGTTGGTACATAAATGTAAACTGGATTTCCTTAGTCATCATATTTGTCTAATTTTTAAACTCTAGCTTAGTTTGCTAAACAAATAGCTTTTTTCTTATACTCAGAACAAGCTTTATTGCTAGTACAAATTGGTTACCAAGAACAATTATTGGTTCCTTCGCAACTTTATTACTTAACAGTTAAATCACAACTAGTTTAAGAAACACATCCAGATCCAGTTGTAACACAATTTGTGAAATAATTAGCACAAAGAGTATTAGTATTAACATTAGCTGCAGCAGATGTACAATCTCTAGCAACGCATTTAGTTCCACTCTTCCAAGTACATTTTCCTTCTAATCCAACTCTAGATTAACAACTGGTAGTATCTCCATCGTAAGTTGTACAAGATTTTAAGTTAGGCTTTGTTACACAACCTTTACCTGTAGTAACACATCCAAGTTAATATTTACTACATGCATCATCTGTAGTTGTTGTATCAGGTGCTTCATCACAAACTTTTGGTAAACAAGAAGCTTCTGTAGTTGTACTAGTTCCCTTACAATATCCATCAGTACCAATATATGCAGCACAAGATGTGGCAGTTCCTTTGTAAGTGTTACATGCTGTTAAGGTAGATACACAAGTTTTGCCATTTGTTCTACAACTTGTTTGATACTGCTTACAAAGTTCATCAGTATTAAATGCACCATTTTCACATTTTCTAGCCCTACATTTAGAGCCACCAGCATCACCCTCACAAACTCCATCTGAACCAATATAACCAACACAAGTTGTGTTATCTCCTGAGTAGGTTGAACATAAAGGTTTCACTGTAGCCAAAACGCATCCTTTTCCTGTTGTTATACATCCTGTTTAATAAGCTTTACAATCATCATCAGAAGACAATGAAGTTGAAGCATTTGCACATTCTTTAGCCTTACAATTTGTTGTACCTGCAGATAATTCACAATTTCCGTCAGAACCTATATATGATTAACAAGCAGCATCATCTCCAGTATATGTAGCACAAGCAGGTCTTGGAGCATTAACACAACCTTAACCTTTTGTCACACATCCAGCTAACCAATCAGAACATTTTGTATCTGTATTTAAGCTAGAATCAGCTTCTGAACAAGAAAAATCTCTACATGCTCCAGAATTTGTATCCCATTTACATTTAAGAATTCCTGAAATACTTGGAGTAGATTCACATTATACTTGAGTGTAATCTTTACATTCTTTAGCTTCAATACATGCAGTACCATCACTTACACAAAAATAAGAAATAGCTTAACAATTTGCTGTTGTTGATTAAACATATGCCTAACATCCTGCAAAATGTGTGCATTTTGAGTCGATGTAAGCACATCCTAAGGTTTTAGCACAATTTGTTTCTGGTTTATCAACAAGTTCACAATAAGGTTTGAATGAAGCAACTGGATCAACTGTTGTTTTTTTCTAACATTTTGCTGCTGTTGTACCGGCTGCAGCTACCCATTCACAAGCTCCTGTTACTGTAACTTCTTATTCACAGTCATTCTAAGATTTCAATTATGCACAATCATTGCATCTATTTGTATGTTGTACTTATTGTGCAAGCACTATAGCTATTAAACAAATGAAAATTAAATTCTTCATTAAAAGTATTAAAAGAATCTTTAAAAATAGCATTAGTTTAAATAGGGCAACAAAAATAAATTTTTTTCTTATAAATAATAGGTATTTAATTTTCCTAAAATTATATAGCATCATTTATTTTTAAATAAAATAACATTATTAATATTTTTATCTTATGGTGATAGATAAATTTCGAGAAAAAAGAATTTATGTCACTGAATAAGCTTTTGACAAGGGTTTATTATTTAAAAATTAAGTGAGATTTTGGAGATAAATGAATGATAAATGCTATTCTTCGGGAGGAAATTTAGATATATTATCTAAATGTAATACTTCCAATAAATTTATAAAAGTGAACCGCTCCTCTTGTAGATGAGCCAAATTTTATGAAAATAAGAGCTAGTATGGAGATACAAAAAATTTTATAATTTATAATATCAGTCCATTCTTTAATAAGACACAATTACTTTTTTTATATGAAAAACTAATGATAATTTATTTCAGAAAAAGAGCGATAATAGTATAAACTAAAAATAAAAAAAAAGAAGTAGCATCATGTTTCTTCAATTGATTTATAAAAATGTACTAAAATAATTATTAATTAATTAAATTTATTGTAACTATTATTTTTCCATCGTTTTAATCAGAAAAGTTTTAGTAATGGTAAAATTCTTAAGAAAACCATATCTTTCGAAAATTCTAAAAATTTTTTTTGAGTGTCAACTTTAATTTTATATATTTTTTGATTATGATTGACAGGAATGCTTTGAGTTAAAAGGTAAGAAGAGTTATTTTTCTTCCGATTGAAATTGTTTATTATAAAATTCAATTTTTATGAGCTCAGCAATTTTTTTTAATTTCTTTTAAAATTTTTTTTTCAAAAAATTATGTGAAATAATGTTTTAAAAATATAACAGATATATTTTTAAATAATTAAAGAAATAGCTCTAAAAGTTATTAAAAAGGGGATAATTTACATAGAGAATACCTTAAATCTTTTCCTAACAAGAATAAAAAGAATTATAACTTTGTAAGAATGAATAGGCAATAAGCTTAATTCTTTTTTAATTTAAAATTATATAAATGAATATAAAAAAATTTCCTTATGACATTTAATTGAAGCTTATATGATAGAAAAAATAGTTTGAATTCAGACATATTTCTAACTATTAGAATTTTTTATTGAAAAATATTTTATAAAAAAGAAAACTAATTGTAATTTAATAAAATAGAATTATTATTAATAAGTGGATATTGAATTGATAATTAAAATTTTTTAAAATTCAAATTTCTATGGTTTCTTAGTTCCTTAATTTTTTTCTTTTCTAAATTTTACGATCAGACGAGCTAATTTTTACCTGATTCTGTTTATAAGAGTAATTTTTTATACCTCTAAATAGTTAATTGATTTATAATAAAAATAAATATATTATTTTAGATTGTGAAATTAATTATTGTGAATATATGAAAAATTGTGCTGATGTTTTTATGTTTAATAAACCTTCTAATATTAAGATGCAAAATCTATTTTCAAAGTGCTTAACTTTTCTTGTAGATTTAGGATTTTAGAAAATAAGTTATTTTAATTTATTCTGGTATCTTTAATTTTTGAGAATTTGATCCCTTTTAATTCAATTCGGGTAATGGAAAAGAAGCCCCAGCAAAGTTTTTCAAATGATTTTAATTCTCGTAGCCCCATGTAAAAATTATGTGAAATTAACTACTTAATTGTTCATCCAAAATTTTAATATTCTAATAATTTTATTATTCTTAAGATCTCTTAAATTTAATCTTCTTGAATTAAGAAACATTAAGCTTAAAGTTACAAGTTTATTTTAAAGTTGTTTGATAATTTTTAAGCTTATTTCAAACATTTTACTTAACTTTAGAGATAAATAAAGATTTTACCTTATTCTCTTGGATAAAATAGAAATTTGACATGAAAAATAGGCTGTGAAAATCAAAGGCTATGTTTTTGTTAATAATACAGGGTTAAGCTATTTTAATTAAAATATAATATAAATCATAATTTAAAAAATGAATCTCTTGTTATATTTTATTTAAATGATATTATTCATCCAGCTCTTCTCAAACTTCTTTTGGTATTTGCCACTTTGTTGGCAATTTCTAATCATCTTTTCTAATTCCTGCTAAGGCTGGATGCTCTATGTACATGTAAAGTCTTTCCTAAACTTGCTTGGCTTTTTCTCAACTCTTTTCTTTGACTTTTTCTTCATTTTGTCTGTCTTTTTTTTAAGCAAGCTCTTTAAGCGAAGAAATTTTGTTTTCATTTAATTGCTAATTTTGTTCTAATATTTCATGGCTTGGTGAAAAGGCTATTATCCAAAGTTCTAAGAAATTGGTAAATTTAGCCATCTTTGGTTTTTTTATTTATAAAAGAATAATGATAGTATTAAAAAAAAATTAGTGATAAACATTTTATTATCATATTAAAGGTACATATCTTCTATGGAAACCAAGAAACGAAGAGAAAGGGGCCACTTACCATTTGCCAAGCAAAGTGGCTCCCCAAAAAAGTCTAGATGATTCGCTAACCTGGGATAACCCTTAAGCAGAAGAATAAGCAAGAACTTTGCCGTTAGAAGCGGAAGTTACCTGATATATATACAATTTATTTATTTATTAGTGCTTATTGAGAAGCAGAAATAAAAACAGATAAGCCTATAACCTTATAATCTTTCAGGCCAATAATTTTTTTTTTAATTAAAATTTGAAGAATTTCTTTCTAATTTAGTTAAAAAATATTCTTTTTCCGAACCAAACTCAGGTTTGAAAAAATGTAAAGTGAATACTTTTTATTATTTCTAATTAATCATTTTTTACTAAAAAAAAAGAAAAAAGATAATTATATTTTTCTATAAGAATCATTAATCTATTTACAAATCTAAATATTATATTTATCATAGAGAAGAAATAACTTTATTCATTCTTTACCTAAATATAAATAAAGGAGATCATTGATGTCATCTCCTCTATAAAAACGAATGTAAATAAATATTTATCATTATCAATGGTCTAAATCTTCTAAATCTGGTTTCATCTATTATAACTAAATTAATTATTTATTTTGTTCGCACCTTATTGTCTGATAATAAACTTATGTTCTGTAATTGGCTCTTTTTGTAGTGAAAGAATTCTATTCTAATAGATATGTGGGAAGCATTTATGTCGCAATAATTTTACCATATATCTTTGCTACTAGCGAATAAAATGTATAGGGAATCGAATGATTGAATTAATTATTTATTTTAATGAGCCTCTAGTGAAAATAAATATTTCTTAATATTTCTCAATTGACAACAAAATTTCCATAATTAAGATATACTTCTTTTGTACAAATAGAAAATTGTACAACCTTATCTGAAATAGTCTTGAGTAAAGAAAATTTGATTCCTTATTTACTAACTTGATTAAATAAAAAATATGAAAAAAAAAATAGTCAATAATCAATTTTCAATTCTAAGTTAAACTTACAATATTCAAAAACAAGTTTGATTCTACTCATATGAATTTTATTATTGTTTAAACTGAAATTTGATTAAATTCTTTTTTGTAGAGAAAAGAAATATACTGCAATAAATTCACTTGAATTGTATAAAAGAGAAGAAGAATATTGAGAATAGTTGTAGCGAATTTATTTAAAAAATATGATATTTTATGTTGTATAAATTACCATATATGGAAACATGTAAAATACAATTAAATTAGAAGAACAAAGATGTGAGTTTATGATGCTACTATATTTGGTAAGAAATATTAAATTTTAATTTTTACATAATAAGCAATATAGATAAATAAAACGATGATCTAATTTAATTTATTAAAATAATTGACATCAATAAAATAATTATCATATAATAATAATTCAATTTCTTAGAAGTAGCTTTTCCATTGTTTTTTCATTCATCCGAGTAAGCATTAAGATTTTGTAATATATATAATAAAAAAATTATGAGAAATCATTAAAAAAAATATAATAGGCAAAAGTTTTTTTTTTAATCATTCAACCTTAGAAATACATTAAACCAGAGATTTCAATCGAAGAGTAAGAGTTTTTAAAATATAAAGCAAAGCTTTAATACTCAAACCAAAATATGCCAAAATTGACCTCAAATATAAATAAAAGAATTTAAATTTAAACCTCAATTATTATGAATCAATATCTTACTAGAAAACAAATAATAGTTAATATAGAATACAAAACATCATTATTATTTAATATAATCAAAGGATGAGTTTTTTGTTGATATTAAAATTCACATAAAAATTTTTAAATTTAAATAATTAAGCTAGTTTACCAATTCAAATTTTTTTAAAGAAATTTACAACAAAAAAATTTTTTTTTAATTATTTTATATAGTCAATAAATTTTTTTAATTTAATTGATATATTATTTCTCATTTTTAAATTAATTGTTGCGAGAATAATTATCTAATATTTTAGTTCATAATATTCCTTTTTTATTAAATTCCTAATCATTTCGAATATTTAAAAATATTAGCTTAGTACTTACACTATTAATAAATAACTCTAAAAGCTTCAAGGAAAAAGTTTAAAATTATTACAAACTCGAAAAGTATAATAATGAGAGTTACTAAATTTAATTAATAGGTCTATCCAATTAATTAAATACTTATTATATCAATTTTATGCTATTGATTAAGCTTATTTTAACAAAAGTGTAAAAAAATAATAAAGGTTTTTAAAATATTTTGATATGGTTTTCAAAATATAATATATGACAACATTTAAGACATATTTTTTCCCATCTAAGAACATAGGGAATAATATAAAATTTCCTTATGCTAAAAATTATATTAAATTTAATTATATAATTTTATGAATATGAACCCACTCAATATATAGAGTGAAAATAAGGAGTCAGAATTAAAAGAAGATTAGGGAGTTTAAAATGAATAAGAAGAAGTCAGAACGTTTACTAATTTAAGTATTGAAGATAAAATCAAACAAAAGAAGATTAATGAAGATCATCTTGATAGAAATAAAAAGAGACTAATTAGATAATTTACTGTTCTATTTATAATTATTCTGTTTATAATTTTAGAAAGAATTTTATATTCAATAATAGTTGGGGTAGAAAATGAACTTTTAAGTGACTTTCAAAGTTTTTTCAATCTAAGAAAATCGAAATTGACTGAGTTTGATGAAATGGATTATTTTAATGATAACTTCTTATTTGATATGGCAGGAAGTGTTCATAGGAATGGAATATCAATAATGATATTTACAAATTACTTTATTACTTTATATGTTGGATTTGATGCATTAATTGCTGTAAAAATATTATATACATCTTATTTGAGTGTTTTTATTGTAGCATTTTTATAATTGATATATTCAGATCCTAGACCCTTTTGGGTAGATGAGAAAGTATAATGATTTATAATAATAAGTTAGTGACTTCACTTTGTATACCGAGTTATGGAAATCCATCTTCTTTTGTTTGCTAATTGGCATTCACATTATTTTATACAGTTTACTGTTATAAGACAAAGAATCATACAAGATCTTTTAAGACTTATGATGAGAAGATCGACAGAAAAATAAAAATTGTTCAAGTAATCATATCGTTATTTGTTTTTCTGTATTCTATATTGTTATTTTTAATGGCTTTATAATATTTGATAAATATGATTTTGGGTTTGATTTATTGCTTTGTATTTTATGCATTCTATGTAACTTTCGAGAATTAGATTAACAATATAATAAAGCACTCTACAATAATGAATATAGTAAAAACTAAATAAATAAATTTAGGATTCAAAGCGATATGTTTTTTATATATCCTTTTTCTTGTTGATAACAGAGACTATTGCAGCAATGTTAATATCAAATGAGAATGAATTGGTTAATATTGAATGGGCAAATAATTTTATGAATTGTCTCTATATGACTGAAATAAATGCAATGAAAATTCCAGCATAATTATTAATGGGACCACATTTTACATTTTAAAAAACTAGTGTAATATTTGCATTAATTGGTGCATTGTTTGGAGTTTCATATTGTTTTAGACACATAAATACACTAGAATGGTATAAAGGGGATAAAAGAAGAAGAATATTGAGAATAGTTGTAGCTAATTTATTTACAATTCCAGGATGGGCTTTTGCATTAAATGTTGAAGCAATTGCTTTGAATAGTCGAATGTATGAATGGGGAGCTTCCTTCTTTTTGGTATATTAGAAAATTAATTATTTTTAGATGGAAAGCATAGGATTTTTGTTATTTTATTTTTTTATGTTTGGATTAATACCTTTGTATATTTTTAAATATTTACACTTGAATGCCTCTAGTTCCTCATCATATGTTGTAGTTAAATTTTCTGAAGAAGATTGATTTTTTATTATTAATAATTATAATAAATAAAATGGCTTAGTAGAAAGGAAAAAATAAAATAAATCATAGATAACGATAGGGAGATTGGATCTGTAATAGCTGCAATAATATGAATTTTGCATTTAGAGATACTTGTAATAGATGTCATACATTAAAGAATTATAAAGATAATTAATATAAGGGATTCAAATCTGCTTTATTTTTGACAGAAAGCAATGGTGATATTCCACCAATATCTGATAGATCAAATAAATCATCTGCAGAAAAAAAAGATAATGGAAATAATAAGTTTTCATTTGATAAATTACCATCTATGGAACCTATTTTGAAATAGATTACAAAAGAAACATGTAAAAAACAATTAAATTAGAAGAACAAAAATATGATTTATTTGAGTTTGAATGGTAGTGCTAATAATGTGAAAAGATTAATTAATATTATAAAATTCACTGTGCTGAATGTGGTGCTCAAAGGTACAGAAAATTAACAGTATGATTTTTATAACCTTAATGGGGGTTTTTTGATAAAAATGTTATAAATTCTCTTTCTTTTTTTATTGAGAATTTTAGAAGGGGGTTGTTTAAAGAGAAAGAAAATAATAAATAAATAATTTTTACTTTATTAATAAAATTTAACTGTTAAGATAATGAAAGACATGTCCAAAAAGATTTTCGAAAAAGAAAATTAAGCAGAAGTGTCTAATAACCCTAGACATTAAAATAAGTCTTTAACTTAATTGGTCTCACTATCATTGATAGGTGGAAATAGAAGTAATGGATTAGAAAATATTATTAAGAGAATGAATATAAGAGTATAGAGCTTAAAAACAATTATACATCTATTTCATCGCGTCCATTAGTATTCTGTAAGCCAGAACCTAAACTGAAAACTTAAACTGCTCCTTCTCCTTAAAAGTTGTCTCCTGTGAAACCAAAATAAGTTGAAACACAATCTAATGAATTGTGTAAATTGATCAACAATTATTCTGAACCTATTTTAGATTATTATTTGGATTTAAATGTAAGAATATATTAATTCAAAAAATATAGAGTCAAACACCAAAAAATTGTTTGTCAAATCATACAGTAAGTGCAAATCTAAGAGCAAAAATGGTTGATTGGATGGTTGAAGTTCTTACATCTTATAAATGCAAGGATTAAACCTTCTTTTTAGCCGTTAAATTAATGGATTCCTATCTATCTAAAACATAATAAAAGCATATCCCTCAAGATTTGCATTTAGTTGGAGTAACTACTATGTTTATGGCATGTAAATTTGAAGAAATTTATCCTGTGAAATTATAAGTTGTGCATGAGAAAATTGCACATAAGAAATTAACAAAGGATGAAATAAAAGAAAAAGAAACCAACATATTAACAACTTTAGATTTTAGTTTAGTTGGTATTACAGTTTTAGATGTTATTACAATTGTACTTTCTATTTTAAATATGAATCAATAGTTATATTAAATAACATTATATCTTGCAAAATTGGTAATTAATATGTTATATTATAATAGGCTCTTTATGATTATGAATTTGTTAATAATCACACATATGTACAAATTGCATGTGCTGCTTTAATAGTAAGCACAAAAATTGTTGAATAGATTGATTAATCACTTTCATCAGAAGTAGTAATACCATTAATAGTTTCAACTTTGAAAATTGAAAACTCAGATGCCATGGAGGCAGCCAATAAACTATTGAATGTAGCAAAAGGATTTGATAAATAGTATCCGAATCTGGAAAACTTAAAGAAATTTAGTAAATTTCAACTGTCAGATATTTTAAAAACCTAGCCTTGACTATTATATATATTACTTTGATATTAATATTAATTTAAATGGTTTAATTAGCTTCTAATAGAAGCACGGTGGTGAAAGCCATCGATTCTACTTGGAGCATCATTCGAACTCTATTTTTTGCTATAATTCTCTTTTTAAGTACTCTAATTGGTATGAAGAAGGAATCCAATAAATATACAAAGGATGAATTAAATTACATAATAGAAGAAAGTAATTTTCGATATTGATTAAATTTAGAGATGCCTTTTAAGAGAAAACAAAAAGATGATGATGATGATGATACTGGACAGAAAGGAACTAAGCCTAAGATTGTTAGAGGATTGGGAGGAGGAGCTGAATGTAAAAGCTGAGGTTGAGCTATACTTTGTAAAAAACAAAGGATTTTATAGTAGCTAACATTTGCTACATGTATGACGATTGTCTTAAGAAGTCCAGAATAATTGGAATTAAGAAATCTGAACAATAAAAGCCTTTGTTTTATTTTGATAATATTTATATTTAATTAATATAATATTCCTATAATCAAATATTATTTTGTGATTATAATATTCATTTTTGATTTAACTCACAACCTTTGTGAATTTGATGTATTAAAAAATTATAAACATTATATACTTTGTACATATTGTCTTTTGCTGTATCAACAGATAAAAATAGAGAATTCTAAGAAATTTAGAAAATTCAGAATTTTCTAATTGGAGATTGAGATCAGAAATATACATATATATATCATCAAGTTCTAAGAAAAGAGTTGGGCAAAGGATAAAATTAAGGGTATGATTAAATTGGTTAAAAAGGGTAGGGACTTGTGGATACTGAATCGAATTCTTGCTTAACTTGAATTTAAGGCTTTGGATCTAGAATCTACTTGAGCATCATTTAAGATGAAAGCAACAAGTTTTAGAGTACTGATTGTTAGACTAAATTGGCTTTTTTAAATTCAGAAGTTAAAGCCTGGGTGAACTTCTGATATTAGGATGATATGAGTTATTTTTGTTCGTTAGCTAAATTTAATTGATCAATAATGGATGGCTGCTTATCAACATAAATCTAGACTTTTCAAATAATATATTACTTAAGTAGTATCCGATTGAACACACAATGGTTGTACTTATAAAGTCAAAGGATTCAAGACTGATACTTTTAGTATGCTCTACACTCTAAGCTTCTTTTTTCTTGTTTCCTTTTTTCCTATACGACCATCCTACTCAAATGCTTTTTGAATTGTCCTGACTGTACAATACTTTAAATGAAGTCTATTGGCTACCTAGAAAGAAATTGTCATATAAACAAAATATAATGGTATATAGAAAGGTAATTTAAACTTTATGGTGATACCTCTTAAAGTGATAATTTTTCTTTTAATAGCAACTCTAAGACAATTTTTCGCTATTCACAATCAATTTTTTGATATTTCTTTGTCTGTTTAAGCTAGGAAGAACATTCTTGTGATTTAACCATATTTAAGTAGAATCTTTTGCTTTTATTTATATTTATAAAAATATTTTAAAATCAAATCTGCTTTTAATTTAAAATATGATTCATAGTTGGTTATAATCTAAAACATTAAAATATCTCATTAAAGATTTTGTTAATAAAAAGAGACTCATTCATAATTTATCAAAAATAATAGTGAATCAATGTATGTCAATTACAATATATTAAATAATGAAAAAAATATAATTTCTTTTTTTTTTTAAAAATACAAAAATGATTAATATGAAGAAAAATATTTATTAGTTATTAATTAGAAAATTATACAAACAAAAATTAAGTAATGAAATTCAATTAATAGAGGATAAATCTAACTTATTTTTAATTTGCTTATGTTCACTAATACTCTTTTTCTATCTATGAATATTACATGTAATTTTTTATTTATTACAAATAATATTAAAATTATTAATGAATTACTTGCTATGATCATAGTTCTATTCAGTGGTTTGTTGTTAGATATTTTTAGAATTTAGTCTGTTTTAATCTTTTTTATACATTGAGGAAGTATCAATAGTATTGCTGAGATAAGTGTCTTTATCATTTGGAAATTTTTGTTTGCGAATAAAATCGACTAATTTAAAAGGTTGTTTGCTTGAAATGGTTGGATGTTAAATTTCATTATTTTCTTGTATTTTCTTCTTAAGTAATGTATTTTCTTCAATTAATTGTTTATTCTATTCTTGCAATATTTTAATTTCTTTCTTCAATTGCTAGTAAATGAATAGAACTCATACATTAATCAAGTTTTTGTTATTATTACTTTATTGAAATTGCTCTAATTGCTGTTGGAGTTATTCACAATAAAGTTTGATTTGTTATTCAGTCTAATGATGAAAATAATAAGTATACTCTGATATGTTTTCTGATTTCACTCTCATACTTCTAAACTTGTTTCTCAAGTTCTTGATAATCTTAATTAAGTTAATTTTGGAGGATGGCTTCTTTGATAAACAAGAGTTGGGAATCTAGGTCTTTGAAAGAATCTGAAGAGGGTCCTTCTAACTTATAAAAGTGGTATTTTACTCATACCAGCTGAAGTATGTCTTTTAATATATTTTAAGACATTTTAATTATTTAAGATATGAACAGACGACTTGTGCAAATGTTTAGCAAATAATTCAGCTAAGTACCAAAATACTTTGTATCAAACGAACAACCCATTTTATTAAGAAATGAGAAATCAGGGTATTATGTGAATCCAGAAGCTGTTGCTCGTCGAATGATAAAAGTGATAAGTTTACATGATGATGTAAAGAATCCCTCTGCAATAACACTTTAATCTACATGGACTGATATAGGTTTGTCAGATATGGCATACGTAGAAGTAATTAGACATATAATATATACGATAGGTAATGGTAGAAGTGGAAAGAGAATTTGAAATTGAATTTCCAGATGCAGATGTAGAATGTTTTAGAACTGTCAATGATGCTGTAGAGTATGTGGCAAGAAGCTTCTTTGCAATTTGATTTAAGCACATAAATAAAATAAAACACAATGCTATTATTGTTAATAATTATTATAAGTGCTCTTAATATAACACTCTTCTCTCTTTATTCCCTAATCTACTCTCTCTAATTGTATTTAATACATAATTCTAAAAGAGAAGCCAAAGATTACTCAAAAACTATGCATTACATTATAATTAGTTTACATATCTAATTAATTTGACTCATTTCATATTTTATTCTATTGATGATGAATTTATATTGCCATTTGCTTATTGTAAATGTTGTCAAATATCATTTAATAAATATTTATACAAATTTAATGATCCTTGTAAGATAGGAAAATGTTTCTATCAGTTTTGCTTTTTGGAATGATTCAATAAATTCCTGATGAACATATTGTTGTTTGTCCTTTAGAGTATAATTTAAGTCATTTACTTATTCAAAAATTTATGATAATTCATTTAAAATCCTTTATTACAATAGAGTTAGTTTATTTTGAACTCAATTTCATTTTTTTATTATTTAAAAATTTAATCTTCTTATAAATTACATATTTCTCAGCAGTTTACAACTATGCTGAAAGAACCAATATATCTATTTCTTATGATGAATAATACCTTTACATTTTGAGAGAATCTGAATTAATATTATGATGAGTCTCTTAGATTCAAAACAATAAGAATCTTATCAATTTTTACGCTTTAGATTATTAAGGATTCTAATTCAACATTTTCTATGGAATAATAGGTGATCCTTAAACATAGGTTAATGTAATTAAGAAAACTTTGAAAGTTTAAGAAGAGTTTACGTTGTAAACATTTATTATTACGATAAAATGAAAGTAAATAAAGAAGTCTATATTAAGAAATATATTTATGAAAAATTAAAGGAATTATTTTTGAATGTAATTGCAGTAGTTTCATTTGGGATCTCTTAGATAAAGATAGTGATTAAGAATTTTGGATGAGTTTATCTTAAGATATCTTTAAGATTTTAAAGAATAATATATTAAATGAGCGTATCGATAATTTATGGCAACCATTAGTCTCTTTTGGATAACAATATCATTTTACTTATCAAAAAAAGAATTATATGAACAAGATAAATATCACTACAATAATTTTTAAGAATGCTTTATTAAAGATTGAGATTTATATTATGTATTTTATCATAAAATTGATGATAATCTTTTTTGTATAAAGCATCTATATCTTGAATGTATGGAAATTTTGACAACTATTGAAAACTTGACAGGAACTTATATGAAATATTTAGGGTATTAAAAAAAATTATAGGAAACTATGGGACAGGAGGGTATATTTTAAGAGTCAATTAATTTAATGTCAATTAGATCCTGTAGAAACATCATGTGGTTACTTAAAGGGTGTATTTTAACTACTAATTAATAATGTATAGAAAATTAAATGAAGATAAGAATTTAAACAAAAAGAATAGTAGTATAAAATTACTTACTCTAACAAATAATTCTATATTCTAGTTATTGATTATTTTTGATATCTATCTTCGGAATCATAGAATATCAAAGTAGATGAGAATAAGTGTTTAAAAGTTAATAGAAATTCATGGAAATATAAATATTTATATTATAAAATATCATGTCAACATAATTTTAGTAAAAGAGATTACAATACGAAGAATAAAACTTAGAAGAGAATTCAGATTAGCTTCCTCCTAATTGCTCTTATAAAAAGGTTTCTAGCACCTAATACATAGTTTAATATATAGGATTGAAAGGTACTCCTCATGAGGGTAATAAAATGAATTTATAAATAGGTGCTCATATTGTTGTTGATGTTGATTTAAATGGAACTAATGGATCTCCAGGATTTCCAGCTGAAGCCCCTAACATCACATTCAGAAATGGTTTTTAACATGTTAATGTCTATCCAATGGGAAAATTGTGTATGTATCTTTCAAATAAAGAAACATTTACATCAGGCACAACTCTGTTAGAAATATTTTCAGGCATTAATTAGGTCATTCATCAGTATTTAGTTTATAATATATTACAGTCCAACATTTCATGATCCAGCTAATGCTTCAATATTGATTTAAGAGGGAGGAAAAGGTTATGATGAAAAAATGAGAGATTAAGCCAGAAGATTGAGTTAAGCTTAATATAAAGTAATATGAGGGAGATTTAAATAAATTAATATATGCATAAAATCATCTTATTTGTTATCAAAATTTAGTTATTTCAATTCTAGTTGAATTATTAGAAAAGGCGAATGATTTTTTATGATCTGATCTTTATGAATAAGTATCTAAATTCTTTGGTGATGGTAATCTTGTTACTGATTTAGGTAAAACACTTATAAATTAGTTAAGTTTCTTTGAATTTAATTCATCCCTCTATTCGAGATTGGATACCATCAAATCCATTAATTATTTTTAAGCAGTTTAATATTCTTTGTTTTGTCTTTACTTTGGATCCATTCTTTCAAAGATGGTTGTTTTATAAGAATTTAAAATTTAAGTATTACGCTTTATAAATTTAGGAGATAATCCTGCTTCATCAGTTTATAAATTTAATAATTTCTTAGGTATTTGAAATTACTATTATACTTTTTAATGTCTTAATTTCATCTAATATTTTTATTGATTCAATTATAATTTCTTCAAATCTTAATTCTCTTTCATAATCAATTAAGCTTAATCTTTCTAAGTATTATGATAATCTATTTTCTATAACTCAATGTATTCTTATAATTTGCTATATTATTCTTATAGTTTTTCTAATTGAATGTCAGAAACTGAGATTGATTTCATCAAACTCTTTGTCACTGGCATTTCTTTATGAACTTCCCATTCTGCAGCTATTATTTTTTTAGCTGTTTCTTTAACCTGTTCTAATGTTAAACACTTTTCAAAAGTTATCGATTCAATTTTTTAATTAAATACCTAATCTATTGATTAAAATTAATTTGGATGTTCAAGTTTTTATAAAGTTTCTTCCAAACCTTTTAAATGTTTTTAGAGATCAGTCTCTACATTCATTTGATCCAATTTATAATCAGATAGACTTCTTAAATATATTAATTTACTCAAATAACTTTAATTTTCTTGATGTCTCTTTCTTTTATGTTTATGTGATTTAGTGATTAATCTCTATGTATTATCCCTACTACAAGAAGGAGAATTAGGTATAAATAAACTACCATCTCTTGTAGCTTCTTTTGAAATATCCTTCAATTTCTATACTTTAAAATCACTTTTGGCTTTAGAGTGATGATATATGTAAACATTCTTATTATTGATATCATATTTAGTTTAATGAGGAAATTGTTGTTTTGGTTAGAATATTTATTTTTTTTGGATTCCATATAAAAATGAGACAAATTAATTTAAATCTTATTATTCAAGAATGATCTATTCATATTTTTCATGTTTGTATTCGTATTCATATTTAATGTAATTGATTAATTCATCTTGTTTACCTACAAAAATCAATATGTGTTGGCATAAATAATTGGCCATGGAGATCATTAATGCTGATTCATCATATTTATCCTTGTATTCTAATGATTTACTTTATAAATCTAAATTGATTATAAGAAGTTAAGCATAATGTTTCATCTATCTTTTGCATTTGTTCTAATTCGAATTAGGACGATAATACTCACGGATAGAATTAATTAGCATTTCTGATATGGGATCAAAGAATTAATTTTAAAATACATAAGAATTTTCAAAATAAGCTGAATGTAGGAGAGTTAGTGCTTCATGATATATTGTAACTGATTTTTGAGTTTTTACAAATTTAAGTTAAATTAGTTTATGTAAGAAGCGAATGGCTTCTTTAATATTGGTCATTTTAAAGTACAAATAGTGGAACATTAATATTTATTAAATGGAAATGAAAAGTTCTTGTTCTTAATATCTTAACCAAACAAGCGACTTTTTATCCCAAGGCTCATGTTCAAATTCTACTAAAAATTATTTAAGTTTAGAATTGCCTCTTGGTGAATACATATCTCCTAATAACTTGAATTTATTTTTGCGGTTAGAAGGATTCTCACGCTCAGTTAGTACATCTTAACATTTAGCTAAGTAATTCTACATTGTATGACAAAGTTGCATACAATGATCTAATTGAGTTAGTATCCGACCCTATTTTGTATTGAACTTTAGAAAATGTTTACGCATAACTTTCAATCGACAATATAGCAATCGACGTATTAATTACATTTAAAGTTGGATTCCTGGGAGTTCACTCTACTAATAATGATGGGTAAGATGTTTCTCAGAGATGTTTATAAAGCATTTATATTTACCTTTATGTAACATCCATTATGTTTCATAAATGTGAAATTCCAATACTTACATCAATTAATCTTGAAAAATAAAAATAATAATTAATAACTCTAAATCACTATCAAATAGATATAAGCTATTACCAGATATTACAGCTACTCTATATATTTAATAAGACTATGTATTTACTTTATACAATCATATAATTATTTTAAACTTGAATAATAAAATAAATAATTAAAACATATTTTATAATATTAATCTTTCGCTAAATAACTAATTAAATCATACTGCTTTAACTTACTCCCATTCTTCATCTACTACTGGATTTTTAGGTTTTTCTAATTTTGCAACTTTCCTCTTCTAAATTATTTTTCTAATTCCCATAAATAACGCCAATAGAACAAAAAGTGTCACTATGACTATCGCAATAATGACGTAACGTTCATCCAAAGTCGATTCTGTGTCTGTGGACTTTTAATTTATCTTTACATCTTATTAACTATGATTATAAATTAAACTGATGTTATAAAAATAAGTGTAAGGAGTATCATATCCTTGATAGAATGCTTAAAATACAATTAAACCATATAGTATTTTCTAATCCTAAGGTAGAGGTACTAAAAATGAGTGATATTTATTATTATACCTTTAAAGGACACTGTGTCATCATTCTCTTTTATAGTTTATAATGATTTGCTATGGTATAATTGACTATTGGTGTAGTACTTTAGAGATTCAATGTCCATTTGACAACCAAAGGCTTACATAAAGGTTTCTTGATTTGAATAATGTAATTGATAACTAAAATTGAATTGAATAATTACATAAGCATTTTCAGATCTAAGATACCGGTCTTGTTTCTTTTCATGGTATCTACAGAAATTGTAAGTGTTTGATCTTCATTGTATTAGACTTGATAGTTGATTGTTTTATTAAAATACCATACATCATGAGAATATTATAAATGTGGTACTAGACTATAAATGTTCTTTCTTAGAGATAAACCATCTTTAGTATAGCTTGCAAATTGAATGGGAGTGACATTGAAATAGATATCGATTGAGTTATTAAATTGATATGAAGTAATATTGGTATGAGTTTAACCTAAACAATCAATTTTTTCAATCATTAATTCTTATCCTTTAACACCATACAGATTATAAATTTATGATGATTGGATTTATTCAATGTAGTGATAATTGGAGTCGATATATTTCAAGCCATCCAAATTTAAAGTTATGACATAGGAGTCCTGACATTCTAAAACTATCTTATAGTAATAATTGATATTGAGTAATTAGTATTTCAATTCTAATTATGTTTTACTAATACTCCATTCTTATACTGGATTGATTAGAATAAATTCAGAGACATTCTTAGTCATGTAAAACAATTCAACTTTAACAATGGATTTAGAATTCACAATAACAGTATACCATTAATCAACTGAGATTGGAGTGAATGTGAATTGTGCGATATTTGATTATTCTGTATTATTACCTTTATATGATTTACCCAAATGCAAAGTCACGTAATTCTATTCAGTCTATAAATTCAACCAATAGGAGACTACTGTATTTACATTTGGATTCACTATGTTGAGTGTATATGATGAATTGATTTGAATGATGTGTTAGGAATAAGTTAGATTCATACTGAATACCAAGGTTTCTTCATCATAGAAGTGTAATTCAAGAATTTAGGAATAAACAAAAATATTTAGATCTCCTGGTTCAACATAATATTTACAATTCTCAACACATTAATCATAATATATTCTTCCATACTCAATTTGTAATGCTATAGAATTATATGCTATTAATAGTTGAATCTCAGAATTCTATAATGGTTTCAAAGCTATAATGTAGGTGCAATAGTAACAAAAATGTTTGTTCAATTGATTAATCTATATGATTCCTCCAAAAAGATTATCATTATGTTCCTGCAATATTTGAATGTCATCTGTTCCATAATAAGGTAATTAATCAAACAGTCCATCTTCACTATCACCATATTAGGAATATGTATTAATAGCTACATCAACATTATTAATTCCTTAAATGATGATACGAAATGATTCCTTTCTGGTGTGTTAATAGAAATAATAAACAGTCTAATTTATGTGATGAGTGATAAATTGGCCATTAGATATGTAGTATAACTCTATATCTGCAAAATTTAAGAGTAATTCGTATGTGCATTCTTTTCGAAATCCAGATACTCCAATTATATATGATCCAACATTGTCTTATTCTCTTATGATTAGAATGTCTGATTTATATTACATTGATTTGTAAGTATTTGAATCTACAGTTGGATATGATATGGTATCATTTATTAGTTTATTCACAAAGAGATCTGGATCACAATCATCTATTGGTCTAGTTGCTATTTGAATGAATTGTACAGGGTCATCAACATAAAAATAATAGTAAGACATAAGATTCTCTCCAGAATATCCAATAAGCATTTCTCCATTCCTAATAATTGTATATTACGTAGATATCATTATATTGAAATAACCATCCTACCCATCTGCTGTCGATATATTGTTATAAGTATTACCAAAGATATAGGAATATAAGGATTGTGAATCTACTTTCACAGTAATCAACAATATACAGCCCTATTTATAGTATTAACAATTTTGTAGATCTTCTTATTTAATGATTAATAACTTATTGGAGTCACTAGCACTAATTTCTTCTTCTATGTCATAAGAAGAAGAGTTAGGAAATATATTGTGATTATTGTTTTTTAGTTCTTTAGTTAGAGTGGAATAATCCTTGATTGAACAGAACAATTATATCTCAGTGAATTCGGTGAATGCTTATATTTGAATTGTATTTTTGAGATCTTTAGGAACAAGGAAATACATATTCGATGATTGATATTATTCAAAGGAAGGAATGGGAATTTATTAAACAGTATTTTCTGTTAATTAAATGATACCAGAGACACCTCTAATCAATAATGAGAATTCATTGTAACCAATACTATAGACTCCAATATACACAATACTATTTTCAGTAATGTTGAGTAGAGTCAAATAGTTAATTGTATCAGAAATTTCATAATCACAATTTTCATGATTAGGGAATTTGTTTTTAAGACTAATGAAAACTTTAAGGTTATTATTCGCATTGATTTCAGTGATGTAAGTTCTGATAACAAATAGCTTCTCTAAATTATATGGTGATTGATAATAGTAAAAGGATTGATGTTAATTATCTAATTAAGTAATGAGGGGATCTCCATAGAATAATTCCATAAGTGAATTTGAAGTGGTGAATTGTATTTCATAAGATTCATTAAGACCAAGAGATAAAGAGTTGACTTATACATAATAATACTTTTTGGGGTCTTCTATAATAAGGGTATGTTACGAACTACGAAGTGTATGATGATATTAAGTTTCATTGGGATATTGATCACCTATGACTTTATTAGTACCAATAACATAACAGATGAAAAAGCCATATATACCATTTAAGTGAATGAAAAGAGGGCCATTTTATCTGTATTCAAAATTAAAGTAAGTAACTTAATCTATTTTAGTTTGTAAATGAGTTTAAGAAATACTTTCAGTAAGATGAATGTAATTAATTTCATCATGAGACTTTCTGTACACGATAGGAGTAATTAAATATCTTAGTAATGCCTTAGCTACCACTCGAATATAATAAGTGCCGCTTAAGTTCTAATTTAAAGAGTCTGATTTGTATTATAATACATCTAATTCCATATTGGCTTACTTATCAAAATAAGAGGAATTGGGTTTCTGATAGATTCTAGAAGCATATGCATCATATTCTCCAGTGATTGCTGTAATTTAGAAGACTACTTCAATGATTTCATCTTCATCAATTGTAAATGAATATAAATCAGTGTCATATTCCATAAGATGACTGCGATGAGGTGTTGATTCTCTTAATTCAATATGTTATTCTTATCCTTTAATAAATATTTGATAGTTCATATATTCAACATTACTGTATATTCCAATTACATACTGACAATTGGTTTATATGTTTTCATATTTAAGCATTGTTACGTTACTCTCACATTCACTTTTGTTGTAATAGAATTGTAATGTATTTTCAGCTGAATGTAATTCTGAATTTCCTGATTTTAAGACTTGACCCATTTATATTGAATCTATTTAATTTTTAGTGATTGAACAATTATAGAAATTATCAGGTCCTGCACTTACAATGTATGAAAAGGAATTTTTGACTTCACTTAATTCTGTTTTGTTTTTAACACATTTTTTCAATATAATCATTCCATGTCCTGTTGGATAATTTGAAGTGATGGTGAATGTTTAATTATTTTAATCAAATATACCAACGATATATTCTGCTAATTCATTCTTTACCAGAAATCCAGATTCAAATGCATAAATAGATAAGACTCTACTATAGTAATTACTTAAATAGGCAACAAAAGAATAACTAGAAAATCCATCTACTCCATTGATTGCAATTATAAATTCACTTCCATTGCCATTATTCATTCTATTTTTGGGAGAGATGGTAATTGATTCATAACCTAAATCTAATTGGGATTACCATGGATATAACTTATAATCTAATGAACACTCTTCTTTCTTACAAGTAGATATATAAATATCAGGATTACCTTCAAAGGGATGAATATCAAAAGATAATGAATTTTCATTCATAAATTGCATATATTCATCTTATATGCTTAGTTTGTAATAATTAGTCTTTCTCTCTATTACTAAATCATCTGTTCTTTCAAACAATCCTATCTCTCTGATACGTTCATAAAACGTTGATAGGAAATATAATCTAGTGTTTGGAACGCCTATCAATAACACTGTTAAATTCCCTCGAAGATTAGTACTATTTTTGTATATCACCACTCCTTTCCCTATCATCCAAATCTCTTCGGCCTCATATTAATTTTATATTGGTGAGGGTGTCTCATTACCTTCATTGATATAAAAATAAAAGGATTCATTCAACACTGTATTCTTATCCTATATGTAATGAGCTCTTATTAAGATTCTATCGATGGAATCCATAGAACTAGGCATCCCAATCTTTAGAATACTCTCTGTCTCATTCTCAAACTTCACTATTATTGCTTCTCCTAATTCCAAGACTTCCTCCTCTTCGTAATGAATTGTTAATTCATAATCACAATCCTATAAACAATATACTCCCAAATAATAAGTTGTATTTGGAATCAAGTCTTGTTCCTCTATTACACAAACATCCATCCCTTTATTACCACATAACTCATCATATATTGTCGGACTAATTAATCATTCATACTTACTATTCATTTACCTTACTTATGTAAAGTGAAGGATATGAGCTTTAATCGTGTAGAGCTCTCAAAACTACAAATATATCCTCATTTGGTATCACATTCTCAACAAGGAATTTATAAAAGTGAACTGGATAAAGAACAGATGTCGACTATCCTGGTACTTTACTAACATCCTTTTATTTAACAAAATTACCCATAAAATTCATATTATTTCTCTATCTACAATTCTATTATCTCCGAATCTTATTACTGTGATTACCACACCTAAAATAACAAGATCAATAATAACATAATAAAAATGAATTAACAATTATAATTTAGGAGGACTTATCAGATGGGAGCACAATTCCGTCTAAGAAGTTTACAATAAGAGAACATGCCTTTTGAAACACATCGCAAATAATGTAAATCAACAAGAAATGCAAATCTCAAAAAGAGATTTCAAACTGAACAGATGACTGTATTATCAAAAATAGAATTGTCCCATAATGCTAAAGATAAAGTTGAATTAATTTATGAGTCCTACCCTGTAATATAAGATAGAATAACCGGAACAAAAAAAAAGGTTTAGGCTAGATAGCTAGCTTAAACTCAATAATTTAAAATGTTATAATAATCGAGTAAGACAATTTCATTTCATCAAGTGAAGCGAATTCTTCAAACTTATATAAATTAATGACATATAAATTGTATCCATATTAATATTCTTAATAAATCATTATTAATTCGATTGCACTTATTTAAGAAAATGCTCTAAATGTTTAGTTTGTTATTTTAAAAATTGCATTTCGGAATCCATTCTACTTTTTTCTAATTCTCTTATTTCTTTAAAACTTCTTTAAATAGCGTCTAGTTCATTCTCCAATAAGATCTTTTAATTTTCCAAATAAATTTTCTTTTTATCATAATCAGCAATTTTAGAATCCTATTCGCTTTTACCAATTTCAGATTCTGCTGCTTTTCTATTTCCAAACACAACAGAACCAGCATATAGAGTTTGATATGCTGCGAATGTTAATTTCAAATTATCATAGACTCTCATTAATAAAAGTCCTCTTTCTGGACAATTGATAGCACTCTATCTTATAATTTCTTCAAATAATTAACTATGTAAATCTTCTCTTACAGGACATATACCACTCTTACTATTATAATTATAATTTAATTGTACCGAGCCTATCTCACAATTAATCTTTCATTTAAATCTTCTTCTAATTAATTGAGTTCATCTCTCTTTACATCATTGACACTAACAACCTATTTAAAGAAATGTGATTCGTGTTCAAATCTTCTGGGAGGGAAGAATTTATTCAAAATTTCATCAATTGACCATTTTTGATCCAGAGGCTACAGTTATTATTTTTTTTTTTAATTTAGGACTTGTTCTTACATCTCAAGTTGCATTTCATCTTCATTAATTTCAATTGGCTCCTCATATCTAACAAGGGTTGGCATATATTTAGGGTATTTTTTTAAGATTTCTTCTGTTTGTGACATTTTAAAATAATTATATATAACAAAAATAATATATATTGTTAAAAAAACATAACAAAAAAAAAGTAATTATAATAGTTAAAATCACAACAATCCCAACTCATTCAATATTTAGCTCATGATTAATATGATTTTGGATTATTCAGCATTATTTACACTAGAAATAAGGCATACAAGGAATGCATAGTCATCGTCACTATAGATCCTGTTAGAAACAATCAAGTCAGTTATTTTATTTTTAAAAAGGGGGTCAGCTAATTATGGTATTTTTTTAGCAATGCTTTCCCAATCAATATCTTATTGTATTTCTTTTTTTTGTGGCCGTGGCTGCACTTATTAAATTGAAGTTGATTACTTATTGGACAAGTCTTATTGATAAGACTCTTATCGACTCTTCTAAAGAAGAGTGCTGGATTTATTGTGGTCTTATTCTTATTGTTCATTTCTTGGATTCTCTTTTTACATTTTTCAAAATTCTTTTGATGTTCGGTATTGGTTGTTTAGACTTTTTTAAGGAAGTAATTATTTTTAAATTTCTCAACGGATGGTCGTTTTTATTGTATTTTTTATACCTTATCAAATGTATTGAAGACTTCTTTGTATTGATCAAGGAATTTGAAAACAGGAGATGGGGTACGTTTAAGTAATTTAGTACTTGAATTGGTTTATGAGAGAGTGCTTTTAACAGTCTCTACATGATGTAGATGCTAGAGCATCTATTACAAAATGATTCGCCGACCTCCTAGATTGCGTTAATCTGGAGAGAACACCTTGCTCATTAACGATTTTAATTAATTAGAAAGATGATTATAATTATGCCAGCCTATAAAAGCAACTTAGAAGTGTAAATCAAACAGGATTAGAAATAAGGAATTGGTCTTATTGATCATGAATAGACAGACACTTTCCCAGTATGGAAATTTCGAGGTGGTTCAACAACGATATATGAGGAGAGTAATAATGAATGCATTTTACAGATCAAGTGTATAAAGAGAGCACTGAGATGTTGCCAAACAAGAATGCACTTTTGAAAGTTAATAAGTCAAGTATATCAATACAATATATAATCATTTTTAGAAGATCAATATGAAATCCTATTGTCAGCAATATAGCCAATCTTTATCGTTGTCAAAGATATTAAATCATCTAATGGATCTGAATATCCTCTTGTAGTTAACTCCATCATTCGTTTGGGAAGAGTGTATAATTTTTATTAATTTAAAGTGAGTACAAGGTCATTGAAGAATGTAACAAGGATATGCATATCATTTAAGCTCCATGCTCCGTCAAAGTACACAACTATGAAAATCTAATTTTAGCACTCCTTCCTCAGTAACAATAATTTGACATATTAATGTAAGTTTTGTTTCATGGAAGGAAGGCAATGTAAAGAACAACTCTTTCTTACCAATATTTGTCGTTGTGCTGGAAATGGATAGGCTGTTCATTTAGACTGTTTACGTTACTGGGTTGATTCCAACATTATTAAAGAAGAAACTCAATTTGGCTTGATTCTTAAATGGTTATTTCATTCTCTATATTAGGATCAAATAACATGAATGTTCTATCTGTAAAGAAACTCTCCCTATTCGAGTTCAGTATGAAGATCAATATTTTGATCTTTTTACACTTGAAAGACCTGATTTACAATACATTCTCGTTGAAGTACATTCTATCCATATTATTAGAACATCAATAAAGAAAAGAACTTATGCAATGAAATCTATTTAATTCATAGTCTTCTTACTGACAATATTAAAATTGTAAATCTATTTCTAATATTTAAAGGGAAGAGGATTTCAATGTGATATTAAAGCATAAGATATTACTGTTTCTAGACATCATGCCACTATTAAAATGACTGACAGCAATTTCGTTATCCAAGATAATAAAAGTAAATTTGGAACTCTCGTCTCCTTAGACAAAAAAAATTCTATTGATTGTGCTGCATGTAGTTTATAAATTGGTAAACTACTCATTAATTTCATCTAATCTGATCATATTTAAAAAAGTATGCTATAAATTAATGTAGGTGCTCCTTCAACCTAACACAAACTTACTTAACTACCTTAAATTAATAAACAATTAGATGAAGATGAACCATAGATGGATGATGACTCTTTTCAATTAGAAAATAAATGAATGTGCTTTTTTTTAATTATATTTTATCTTTCGGTAGTTAATATATAATTTATCTATAATTTAATGCAAAAAGCTAGCATTTTTAATAGGAATTTCAAATTGCTCTTCAATAAAAACAAGTATTAAAATTTGACTGGTATTTTGTAAATGGATATTTTAAGCTTAATAAGGTCATAATTAAACTCATCTTGGTTGGGTGTCTCCCGTAGATTACAGATTTGGAAGAATCATGTTGTATCTAACTTGTACAATAGGATTTTATTGTGCCTATTAAGACCCAGGAGTTTTACATGAAACAGTATAATTCATATATAATTATAGTTTGGTCATTTTAAATAACCACCCAGATATGTGTTGGTAATATATCTGAATTAATTACATAGGGATTTGGAAAAGGACTTGAAACAGATGAAAAGAATTTGAATTAATAAATATTGGACAGACATCATGCAGAAGAATAATTAGAGCATTTCAAACATAACCTTACCTAATACGATGGCAAATGATATAATACATAAATATAAAAACATTCATGAATAATTAAATAAATTACAAATATTGGATAACAAAAACATTCATTATTCTAAGAGTTGCTATAATACTTCTCTAATAGGTTTAGATCTTTTTCTGATAGCTTTAACAAGTCCAATAGCATCTTCTAGAGAATAATTTAAATCCAATACTAAATAGAGTATGATTGTTTAAATACTCCTTTAGATGCCATCAGTACAATGTACATAGACACATTTACCTTGATCAATTAGATTTTACAAGATCGTATAAGCCTACTTACCCTTCTTTAAGAAAGATCGCTTATTGCAATCTATTATTGGACAATGCAAATACGTAATCTAATAAGATTCACAAAACATTCTGATTTGATCAAAATAATCTTCAGGTAAATCCTTCTTTATAAGATCTTCAACAGTTTATAGATTAATTATAGCATCCACTCCTAATTTTTATAGAATATGAATTTCACTAAAATAGTTATTTCTATATCTTACTCACAATAAATGAATGAACCAACATAGATATTTTCCAATATTTGATTGTAATTGAGATCAAAATTGATATCAGAATCTATGATTTCAATAACATTATTAATAATGGGATGTTTAGAGAATATTCTAACTCCATTTCGTTCCCACCTTTTATTTTGTTAATATTTATATGCATACGAATTAATGGATTTACTTGGGATATCTACTTCTAATTTTTACTCAAATTTGTTTTCCTCAGTAACGAATTTATCTAGTCTAATTTTAGATCTTCCCTTTTCTGAATATAAATTTACAAACATCTTTGAATCTACAAATGAGTTAACTTTCATTCTTATTTTTATGTGGCTCCATATATCTTCTACATCCTTCTTATTATTAAAAACTCTGTTTATTCCATCTTCCCATTCTACAATCTGCCGATTGTTTTATTTCACTATTACGTATCTGTAATTCATAGGTAAACAACAACTCTCCACTTAAGCTCTCCATACATCACCTGGATTCCATTCCATTTAAATTCCATTTTACACATTCCATTACACTAAATGACAATCTCCTACTATCAAAATTACTTCTCCATAATTCACGTGTTTTTAAATGGAAATAGAACTCATTTTGTTTTATATATATTATTATCAATTACTTTTAATAAATAAATCTAACCTAAATATTGTTTTCAAATATTTCATTAATTTCAAAATTAATAATAGCTCATACTTCTTATTACTCAATATTAATATATACATCATAAATAAGAAATAATAAATACTCAATTAAATTGCTCACCTTTCGTATTATTTAACTACTCAATTATGTAATCTATATCTATTCATACAAATTATCATATAAAAACTAATTTGTCAATTTAAAATATTTATTTGATTAAATTAAATAAAAATTATTTCAATTATTTTAAAAAAAGGTGATCTAATTTTAATAAATTACTATCAACTATATATTTCTATCTCATATTTATATTTTAATTGATATCTGTTTAAAATAATTATGTTAGTAATTATCAATCTATTTCACTTATTTATTAATCCTAATTACATTAAAAACATAAATGTGATAGTTTATTATCTATTGTATACTATTTAATGACGAAAATATTTTATTTATATTTTATGAGACATTAATCAATTGGATAAAAAATTAATATTGAAGGATCAAACCTATTTTTAAGTGATGAATCAAGTTACTCCTTCAAACCTAGATTTTTAAAACACAAAAATTTTTATACAAAGAAATCATTGTTTGAATACCATTATGTGACTCCAACTTAAAAACACGCTAAGGAAATTCTTGATAAAATATGTCATGTGAATAAAAAAGCAATAATTACTGAGAGACCTGAATCATCTTTTTAAAAAAGAAAAGAATTTTCTGTAGATTAATGTTTAAGTACAAGAGGATCATCAATGCAAAGAAAATAAATTAGAATAAAATCAATAAATAGATCTAATATTTAAAACAAATTAACAGATTAAGATTGGTTAGCATTTGTGTTAGATTGAAAAAAGTTGTATATCTTTTGGAATAATAATTGATTTATTTTGCTAAATATTTGTTTTAAGTTTCATAGTATAAAAAGTCTTGCTATATATTTCTTTAGTGATAAATAGATGAGAATAAATGACTGAATTATCAGACTATGAGATAGAGTGATAATATTAATTTAAACATAAATCAATATTCAAATTATTCTCCTGCTGAAATTCTTAATGCTAATTGCTCCTTTAAAGTTCTTAATGATTTATTTAGTAATCCAATTGTCTAAGAAACAACATCTCTATCAGATTCTCTAAAAGTAAGAATTTAATCATATACCTTTATGATCTAGAATCTTAATAATCTTAAGCTTCTTATTCACAAATAGTGAATCTATCATCTCTAGATTATTGAAGCATTTCTAATCTTTAATTTACATTATCAAGAGTGGCTAAAGTCTAGTCAATCACTTCGTTTACTCTAAAAGATGTATATTATAATAAATTACAATGCTAAATCAGATATCGCATTTGCTAAAGTACTTTCAGTTGTATTTATTGAAATAACAAGTAAATTTCTAGTCTTTCCATAAGCTTAAATCCTTTTTTCTTCTGAGAACTTCTCAAGATCCATAGAATCATGAACTTGATCTAACAATTAATCAATTAGTAAGATAACATTCTCTACTTAAGCTGAATCTTATAATTAATGAACTCTTGAAGTTATGGTAGCCAAAGCTTTAAACATTTTACCCCATGAGGTTCTATAAGTAAATTTACCTAATGTTTTTATAATAATAAATACTTGCTCTTTTAATAGATGCTCCAAAATGCTTCTAAAGTAATTCAATTCCATTATTATTTAATTCAATAAAAGAATTGTCATGTGTTTAAAGATTCTCTGAAAAAAGAGTTCTAGCCTACATCAATATTCCAATAACATCTTCATGTTCATGAATTTTATGTTAATGCTCTTCATGTTCTTCTTCTCTTTATTCATCTAATTCATTTAGCTCTCCTTTGAATTCTTTGAGCTCAGCTGATTTTTAAGCTATCAATTTTTATAAGATTTCTCTTTTTGGATAAAGTTCACCTTCTAATCTTGCTTCCAATTTAATCCTTTCATTATCGCTTATTTTGATATTTTAATCCAAATTTTATAAATCCTTTATGAATACTTATAATTAATACCACAGTACAAGAGTCTTAATATTCCCTATGTGAAACATCCTCCTCCTTTTAATCTTAATAGTATCTATCTTCAATTTATTGTAAAGTTCCCATCAATCTTTCAATTGGTTCTTAAGTTTGCAATTGTAAATAAATTGTATCAAGAAGGGTGTGACCAAATCTGTTTTGATCAAGTTAATCAATTTATTGTTTCATATCCATATCTTCCAATGCATAGTTTATCACTAGAAGAAATGACAATATTACAAATTTGTTCACGTTTTTCATAAAAATGAAATATTAAATATATCTAATTATATAATTCATTTATTTTATTGAGGTTCTGCCATTACTGAAATTTCACCGTCATTGCATCCACAAATGAAAAACTTCTTATCTTTTGAGCAAGTTATTGATAAAACAGGTGATTTAGCTGAAATTTGAAATCTTTTAAGTTATTATAAATAAGGTAAAGATCTTCTGACTAATTCCCCGTTTTCAGTACCATATATCTAATAAAAAGTTAGATAACTAAAAAATTACCATAATATCTTAGAAGAGGTTATTTCTAATAATTTGACAATCAATTAAAGATGAACTTTATTCTTTTTGAACTTCTAATAAGAATCCATTGATAGAATAACTATATAGTTAATGATCATATGCTGAATAGAATACAATGGAAAAGAGTGGTCTATTACTCATAACAATGGAATTAATAGGATTGTTATTAGGATGAACAAATGACCTCATAAATTGACCATTGTATAGATTATATAAATATATATAACCACTAGCACAACCAGTAGCAAATAGTTTCATACTAGTAGAGACATAGATACAATTAATCTAAATAATTTAGTAATAAGATTTACTTAATTTGAATGATCAAAATACATGGATTTAGGATGTAATTTATAGATATCTTTTTATTTATCAACATTCCAAAGTATAACCTATCCATTTTTATCTCCAGATATAATAATAGATTCTTATTTATCAGAAGCTAATGCAGTAATAGTACTATTATGTATTTAATATATATCAATAATGTGATTATTCTCACCTATAATAATTAATTTTCCAAGATGGTAGCCTCCACAAACAAATAATTTACCCTAATTAAATACTATTAAAGGATAAGATGATAATTATGCTGAGATATCCCAAATATTGAAAAGTTCAGTTTAAGGTTTTTCAAAATTGAATTATTTTTCTCTTTCTAATCCACATAAAAATGGAGGTTAATTGGGTTGAACATCAGTTTAACTTGTCCATTTAAGATAATCAATTTTACCTTCTTTTCTTAAACATAATAATCTAACATCTGATATCCATTAAATTTTAACAATTGCTCTATTGCTTGCTTATTAAAAATCAATTATTGCTTTCATTGTATTAGGTACTTTCTTTTTATTTTATGGTCTATAAACTTTTAATTCTTAAGAATTTGAAACAAAATTATGATTTTAATCAAACTATCTTCCAATATGAGGTTTTAAAAATAATTATAAAGGTGTGATACCAAAGTTTACAACTTAAGTTTCAATACTGATTCTATTTTCTTCCATTTTTTATAAAGTAAGTTATGAATCATATGTAACATAAAAGTATATATTTAAATTTTTTTCTGCTTCTTTTCCTCTTTATTTATATCCAAAAATTAAATCAATCCATTCTGGAATATTTTTTTATATTTCTTCACTTTCAAGTGCATTTCTTTAACCAGTAACAAATTTCCATGGATTATTATTTGCCCATTTAGGTAATTATACATTATTAACAAGAATTCCATTTTATGTTTTACCAAATTATAAATTCTATAAATTAAGAAACATTTCAGGTAAACAAAACATTTCTGGAATTAATTCTCTTATATCAGCAATATCTTCTGTTGCACAACGAAAACTTTCAACAAGAGAATAAAATAAACGATCAGGAATATCAAATTTATTTCCTTAAATCTCTTTTGCTATAGATGTAAATGGTTCTAATCTAATAAGAAACTAAGAAGTAATAGCTAATGATGAATAATGAGATCCATAATGAAATGCTGGTATCTCACCACCTTATTCAGATTATTCAAATCTTTCAATATAACTCTTTATTCTTTAATTATTACCTAATGCTCCCATAGTTTTCTACATTGCTCTAAAATGTCCTTGAGGATATATCTATAAATTAGATTCTTATTCTATTTATTAATCCTTATTCTCACAAATCACCCATGGAAATATTGGATATTAAGTTAAATCATTATAACTTCTAGATGCCAAATTATTTAGTAATAATAAGTATTTAAAATTACTCATTTATTATCTAATAATTAATTATTCTATACTTATTCCATTTATTTAAATATCCCTACTTTTCCAATAATTTTGTTGGATCTGTAGTTTTACTCTAATTAAAATATGGAGCCTAATTAGTTTTTCTATGTATAAGTAATTTAGATGAAATTTCATCTAAATCATTTTAATCACAAACACTAATAAACAATGATTTCCTATACATGAATTAACATCATTACCCATCTATGAAAAATATCTCTAGAGCTGTCTTCTTTTATAAATATTTCTTCTTTATCACTAAAACTAAATTATAAATTGGAAATCTCTTAACTAATTTCTAATCATCTTTTAATTCAAATACTCCTAAAGCAGCATGAGATCCTTCACTTTTTAAATATTCATATTATAATAAAATATGATTATTTGTTAAACTTAAAAATGCATAATAAACATAAAGACCATTTATAACAAGAATTCTCTTCCCTTTAAATGTATCCTCTCCAAATGATTTAATATTATCCACTATTTAATTCTTTTAATTAGCAATTGTCTTAACGGCATTCTTTATATTATTCCCAATAGCTTTACCCATATTCAATAATTGAGTAGCTGCTTAAACTGCTTAAGAATTTGTTGATGGTCTCTAACCATAAAGTTATTCAAATTTATCAATTTCATTACCCAATATTATAGGAGCAGTCTATGGTGTCTAATAAACTGCTTTATTTCTCAAAACATCAGGAATTATAGGAACACTTTTTATATATGGTCTTACAAAACATTTCGTAATCATTTTTGATATTTTTATACTAAAATATTTACTCTATACAAATTCCTCTTATCCTATATCTTAAACTAAATCATTTCTTTAAATACATCCTTAACCTTAACAAAGCCATCCATCAATCAAAAATAAACAATTTAATGATTTATGATATTTGTTTCTACCAATTCTTTCCTTCTCACTTTCCTTATAAATCCATTTTACTTTTCGTTCCTCTATTTCTATATATTTATTTTCTCCTATCTATTAAACATCTCTTGTGATTTTCTAAGGAGAAACTATCGATTCCATCGACCATTATTATGGTATATTTGCTTTAATTTTTATTTCCTATTTCAAAACATTGTTGATACAAATCTAATCAATCAATTAATCTAATATTGAATCATCTTCAAAAGATTTAGCCAATAAACTCTCTAATAATGTTTCAAAATCTTAACATAATTCTATCATTAATTTTTTTAATGAAGATTACTGATTCTTTTCCTTTGAAACATATATAATTAAACATATAAATTTTATTATTTCTCTGAAATTCTCCTATTTACTTAATTTAGATAAAATATGAGTCAAACTATATGTAATCTCAAATTAACAAATCTCCAATGTTATAGCATATGTTATAAGTAATTAATATAAATTCTTCTGATCACTACATTCCATTATTATTTCATATATTTAATGATTTTAGATCTTGGTATTAAAAAAAGCTTAAACTTTTTATGCCAAGTCAAAATGATTAAAACATTTTGTTATCTAAGCAATTTATTCTTAAATTTTTTAACAATAAAAATACCTTCTATATTTCCAATAATCAAATAATCTTTATTAATAAATTCAATGAACTTATTATATTTCTGTATCAATTATGGATAATGCTACTTAAGTTCTATCAAATATAATGCCATCTGAATTATATTTTTCCATAATTAAGAATCAGTCGAAACATTCTTGCATTGTTCACTATTATAATAAATTTATAAATTATATACTAAATCTAGTCAATAATGACATTCATCTATAATTCGACAAATTTCATATTACAATCAACACCCCATTTTAATAACTCATAAACATAATTTGCACCTATGAATTCAGATTTCAATACTTAAACAATAAGTGTGGAATGCAATCGGCATCCAATTTCATATATCTAAATTACAATAATTATTTACTAAATTTTGTTCTTCTTATGCTGTTAATACTTTAAGTAGTTCATTTTAAAATGCTGCCTAACCTAAAATCAATATAGAATTGCCTTAATGAGATTTACAAAGGCATAACAAATCTTATAAAATTTAAGCTTTTAGATTATCTTCTATTGAAAAAGAAACAATCTTCATTATAGCATTAATAATTCCTTCGTTTTTTATTTGATCTCTTTCTTCAATCATTAAAGATTCATTTACTCCAATTTTAATCTTATCAATCATCCAACCCATAAGTTAATTATAAATTGAAGAAAATGATTGAATTTTTTTTTTTTGAACTTATTCAATCTATTAAACAGACAAAGAAGATGATGAAACTTCTTTAATTTAAGTTACTATAATTTATTATATAATAATACATTCTTATTAAAACTATTATTTTTATGCTTAGCTATTTTTTGTTGACATCAAAGGTTATTTAGTAACATATTATTATTATTATTATTATTATTATTATTATTATTATTATTATTATTATTATTATTATTATTATTATTATTATTATTATTATTATTATTATTATTATTATTATTATTATTATTATTATTATTATTATTTTGGTGATTCAATATATGGTTCTTCAGATTCTCTATAACCTTACATGTACATATGACATGCTTTTGCTATTTTATTAATTTCTGCCAATTCTTTATTGAATGCTTCATGGTCACTAATTGAATATTGAATAAATACAATGCATTTTTTTTTCCCTATTCTCCTCCAAAATTATAAAGAGCATTAATAGCATCGGTGTCAATTTTAATATGAAATTTCTTTTTTCCCTTTAAATCAAGAGAGAAGGAAGGTGATTTCGATTTTTCAGTTTCAGTTTCAGGAGGAGGTATAGATTAAGCTCTAGGAGGAGGTCTTTATTTATTATCGAAGAATCCTTAAGGTGGTTTACGACGATTAGTCATAGATGGAGCTTAAGGAACACTTTCATAATCATTGTTAAGGAATTGAGTTCCAAGATTTTTGAGTTCATCAAATTCTTCTTATTATTATTGAGGTTATTCTTTTTTAATAGGTTGAGCATGAATAATTGAACTGCGACTTAATTCAGCTAATGGTTCAATAGAATTAGTTATGTATTCAATAGCTTAATGGGTTTAGAGTTTATAATTAGGGAATTATTATTGAAATATGAGATGCAGAAAATAAATGATCAGAGCTCTAATATCGTAGTATGGAGTTGATTTAAAAATGAATAGTAATGAATCTATTATATTATTTTGATCCCAAGTTTAAAGTATATAATTTGTTTTAATTCCTTAATCTTCATTATCAACTAATAAACTCTAAAACTAAAATAAATTATTTTTACTTTTAAAATGGTAAGAATCTGTAATAACAGACAAGGTGAAATTTTGGACATAAGATATTAATCAAAAAGTATTAAATGTTCAGAAATATCTATTTGTTGATTGAATAAATAAAATATTTTTTCTAAAAATTGTATCTAAAAAGACTCTTCTGAATCATTAAAATGTAAATCACAACATTAATTTTCAGTGTATGCGAATATTAACATATCTAAAATATCTTTAGATGAAATAAAATTTTGATAGTGTTATGGATTTTATAAATAGACTTAACACGCGAGTTATAGATATTTGGAGAAAACTTGATCACTAATAGATTGTTAATGCAATTTTGGATTCCATAAGATATGAATAAAAAAATGATCCAATAATCGATTATCTGCAATAATAGTTTTAGTTTCATTCAATAATTCAATACATTTTGTATTAATTAATGGTTTTTCAAAACTCATAATAATGGAAGCAACAGTTACAAAGAATGAATTATTGAATGCTTCTGCTTATAATTAATGATTATTTTTTAAGATATAATTGATAACTTCGAACATAGTAGATAGATTAAGTTATGCTTGATTGATTTATTTATATAGAGTTCCACTTAAATGTAACATAACATAAAATAAATTGAATCCTCCAGAAAAATGGAATTTATTCTTATCTGTTATAACTGCTCCAGATTTAATTTATAATGTAGCATTACAATTACCCATAACATCTATTATATGATTACCATCTGTAAATTCAGGAATGTAAATAGACATAATTCTCTCAAAGTATTTATCTAAACATGCTGGCAATGTTTTTAATTATTTAAAATCCATCTGCAATTATCCATAAACTGATTGAATAGTTTTTATTCTATATAACATATAATTTATTCATATACTTTGTGGATGATTAATTCATTATTATTACACATTACGCTGTACCAAATAGATTCTCACATATTGTAAACCTTGTTAAAGCTATATTTGAATTAAAACGAGGAAAATCTAAAGTCATTGTCTTAGATTACTCATTGTTAAAATATAACTTAAATACATAATTATAATTACAGTTAAATGTGAAGATGTGAATTTCTTTTGGCATTCATGTGATATACCTATGAAATTCATTCCATTCTTTAATTGACCTATTAAAATTGCTCCATTATCTGGTTCCTAGTATATTGCTGGAATTATTCTATAATAGACACTGCCTCTCAATATGTAACATTCTAATCCACCTCCACCTTATTATCCTTATCCATGAACACTTATTATTTTTTGAACTCCCATGTTCTATTCATTGAATTATTCATAATCGATATTCTCCACTTGAATCCAAATGCAAAATCCAAATCCTTCAACGAATGGCCAAGTAACTTTCTCCACTTTCATGCCACTGCCCATGCCACTGAAATAGAACAAATTCTATTATTGCTATCGAAGTGATTCCTATATTTTCGGATTTCAACTACTTTATACAATGTCAACAATGAGCCAAAGTATTCTGCTCGCATTTATTATGGTAGCTCTTTGAAGTAATGTTTCAACACTTTCCTTGACAAGTAACCTCTCTATGCTGTTAGAATTGCTGCTCGAATCTATTTAAATGCTATAATTATGTGATTACATCTTATAATAAGCAATCTTAAAATTAACTCATAAGTGAGTTGTACTTATAATTTAGCAATCCCTCTTCAAATTTAAATTGAGAAGCATTAGCTACTATATTGTACTTCTAATTAAACTCACTCACAGTTTTTCCGTATTTATCTTAAAACATAATAATATATATAATTGATTATTCAATATTAATCATTCAATCACCAAACCAATATATAATTAAAATGTCATATTTTGAATATCCTCTTATCCTTCTCTATAAACTTCAAATTCAGTCTTATAGGTTCTTTTACCTCCCCATTCTTCTGGTTTAATTTTATGTAATGAACTCCAAGTTTATTTTATAATATCAGGTATTGGTCCAGGTCCTCCTTAGAATTTTGCATAATCTGACTCTTCCACATCATATACTTCCATACCCTCTGGAACAACTCCTACTTCTGTTACTACTTCACCTACTAAAATATAATAGTTCAATTAAGATCTATCCTCAAAATCTTTGAAATCATAGTAAAGACAATATGTTCTTCCTGGATAGGCTCTATTTTAAATTTATTCATTTAGTTTTTTTGAAAAGAATTCTTTATAAGTCTAACTAAATGTGTTATTTTATTAATCTTATTCTTTTGCTAAGTGAATTCTTCTTCTTAGACCTATTACTGTAAATTTAGGTATATGAACTAGTTCTTTTTAAGGAATTGGATTCATTATTAAAATTAATTGTGCTCGTAAATTAAATTATTTATGATTTCAATTTTATAAAATACGTAAGGAGATTAAATTCTGATATAAAAATGACTTAATTTAATTTTATAATTTAAATATGTTAATAAATAATTCTCATTTTTATAAGATTTTTCTATGAGAATTAAATTGTTCTCTATCTTAGACTTGGCTATGTCTTTCTGTAAAGAAATTATTACGTTTGCTGGCTTAAAAGTTTAATCATAAATATATTACAAACTTCTTCTTCTTAAGGATCTTCATTCATTCCTTGTAAATTTAATTTAAAATCAAATTTTTTCTTCATCGTTTATTAAGCAAATTGAATATATTTTTTAACAATTTCATCTGTTTTTTATGTGGTTTATTTATTAATATGTTATGATTTAGTACCTAATTCACTAATAATTTTTTTAGAATTGGATGATTTAGCTTTGGTACTTAATAATTTTTGATTTTATTATGAATTATACTATGATGGTATCATATATTTAAATTCAACTTTTTATTTACTTTCAACAGTATTTAATCCTTTGATTTAATCATGAATCTTAAGCATAAGATCTTCAGAGATTGGAGGAGGTTTTTTGAAAGTTCTATCAGTTAAACAACCTCCTTTGGCTATTTTATCAATTTAATTATATGTAATTTTTTTGGGCAAAGGTTAATAAACTTTTTTTAGAGCTTCTTGTTTAGTTGAGGTACTACTATGCATACTTCCATTATTATTATTATGATCTTATCTAATACTTTTTTATTAACCTTAAAATCCTTAAACAGAAGTACTCATGGGAAGCAAATCGGATGAAACTGCATTTCTCAATTATTTCATTTTTTGATACTCTTTTAGCATTCTCTATATCGTTTATGAATCACTCTACATTCTTGTTAGTTTAGGTTTAGCATCAATGTCATTGAATTATTCAATAGCATTTCCTAATTCTAAAGGTTCTTCTTTTATTTATTATTTTATATTGGAAGATATTTTAGATTCACTTTTAGAATTATTTCCTATAATTATAAAAGATCTCATTATACCTTTCTTATTGCTTTCTGCTTATTTTCGTTTAATACTTTTAGAATATGTTGATTATTTCTTATGTTTTGAATATATTTGATTCACTTATATAATGCAATCTTTTAGACTAATATCAGATTGTTCAGATTGATTCAATTGTTAAAGATTTCTGATGATTTATAATCCCTTTAAATCAAAACCTTGTTTAATTGGTTCTTGGGTTCCTTCTTCATATATATCATGTTCTTGAGTTTCGAAACTAATATTATCTGTCAATTTTGAATTTAACACCTGTCGACTAATAACTTGTTATTGAGTCTATTCATAATCTTTCTAATAAAACAATTTATCATATCGATTGTTTCTCTTATTCATAATTTTATGAGCATCTGTAGCACTCAAATTTGGATGCATATGCTTATAATTCTAAATGTAGAACTCTGTAAGTATGTCTATACGTGGCTTAACTTCGTCTTAGCTGTAGAATCTTGTAATATAACATTACCAACACCATATACCTTTTCATATATTCCATCCGTTCATCTAACATTACATAATCCTTATAATATATTACATGCGGGGCGTGAGGTATCTAAGCTATAATTTCATTTATTGGTTTTGCAAAGTAGAAATTAAATGCTTCAAAGTATTTCTCCTATAAGTAGACTTTCATCTTTCTTCTTGAACCCATTTAACATAAATCACAACTCTTCATTTTATTAAATAATTCATATAAAATCAAGAGTCTCTCAATTAATTTTTGAAATAAGTCGATACATTATATATATCATTATTGTAACAATTACATTTCTAATTTTCGATTATCTTATGCTATCACACGAATCTAATATTAATTAATTAATAATATACCCTATCCTCCAAATCTTTAATCTCTTCGTCATAATCCACTTCTCTAATTAATCCTTTTAATTTTAAATTCTCCTCTTCTAAGACCTTAATCTATTATTTTATTATTTATATATAAATACATTCTCCAACACTTTTTCTTTATTATCACTTCCTTTATCTCTCCTACTTACTTTCTTATTGTAATTTGTTGTATCGTATTTGAATCGATATTGAACTTCTTCATGTTTTAATTTCTAATAAGCAATCTACTATTATTATATTTCTAACTATAATTATTCTAAATTTTAGTCTATCTTTGCATCTTCTTAAATCTGTTAATTTAATTTTTCATTCTCTATTATCAATCCAGTTATCTTTTCTTCTAGATCCATCACTAAACTTTCTAATTTATTTTCTTAATTTGTTTCTTCTAATTCTTTCAATTTCTCACAATCAAATTATTCAAATTGTTATAATAATTTATCATATTGAATCTCTAATTCCTATAACTTTTTAGATTATTGATCTCTCTCCATTCTAAGTTATTCAATATTACTTATTTTTAATAGTTATTGATTATCTTAATTTAATTTTTCATTTAATTTTGAAAGCATTAAGATTTTGTTATCTAATTCTTTAATAAATTAAGTGCTATTCCCTCTTTATATATTAGATTCTAATTAAAATATTTATTATTATAATGCATGATTCTAATTCTTTAGAATTTATACATCGGATTCTAATTTTAAAGTTGTAGTATGAGAAACATTTTAATTTAATGGTTATTGAGAGACTCCTCGAAATTAAATGTTTGGTTTAGTGATTGGAGAATTAGGTTGAAAGTGCTTCTAACTATAATTCTTTTATAAAGGTGAAGTTATTTATTGCTATTATTGTTATTATATTTGAAATTAAGTATTTCTACGTAATGGAGCAGGTGACATAAAAATAGTATTGTTTTCATTAAGTCTACTAGCATTATTAATATTAGTCTAATCTTGAGTTTGATTTTACTATTTGACCTTAAATTGAACATTGTAATTTTGATTATTTTTATAATCACTATTAAGAGTAATAGCAGTTTTGAATTATTTGTGTTTAGGAGTTGTACCACAATTGTCCAAATCCTTATTAAAATCAATTTAAGATAATGGTTATCTTGTTGATATAGTTTATGTATTCATAACTGTTAAATTATATATATATTTATATATAAACAAAATTGTTAGTAGCATATCAACCAAATGATTGATCTAATGCTTCTTTTTTTTTGGTAAATTCTTAAACTTACTATTCTAATTATTGAATTCTTGAGATTAATTGTTTCTTTTCTTCAAGAAACAGTTTCTTCTCTTCATGAAATAGTTTCTTTTCTTCTTCATATCGTTTAAACCGTTCACGCACTTTTTGTTATATTTACTATAATTAAACTTTGAATTGATTGGAAGGACCATAATCAGATGTTTGACTTGAAATAGATTAACATAGTAAGAATTCTTTATGTTCTGTATTTTATTTGCGTGTAATTGAAATCTCATTCTTTTAAGGAGTAACAGATATTCTTGCAATATTATTGATACTAGGTTCATTTAAACTCTTTCGACTTTAAATAGTTTTTGTAATTGATGGTGATTTACTCTACATATATGAATTTAGAAGATTTTAGAATTATTTAAGTCGATTGTCTTAATTGTTTAATCTTACACAAGGATTACTCTATTGTTCTCGACATTGAATCTTATTCACTGCTCTCTTAATATTCTATGGAGATAAACAATGATAAATAGATCCTTATTTAGGCTATGTTTACATTATAAAATATTAATTATCATATTAATAAATATATGTACAATTATGATTATCTCTGATAATTTAATCTATACTAAAATCTTGACTGTAATTATCTTCTTTGTTTTGCAATTTGAAAATATAATTTTAATGAATTTATTTAAGAATCTACTTAATTTAAACAATCATAAAACAAATCTAAAATATTTCTCAAAAGCACCATCTGGTTTTCTTTTTGTGATAAAATATCAGTTCTTTGATTCTCTTAGCTTTCTCAATCATATACAAGTATCTTTTNCAGGTGACATAAAAATAGTATTGTTTTCATTAAGTCTACTAGCATTATTAATATTAGTCTAATCTTGAGTTTGATTTTACTATTTGACCTTAAATTGAACATTGTAATTTTGATTATTTTTATAATCACTATTAAGAGTAATAGCAGTTTTGAATTATTTGTGTTTAGGAGTTGTACCACAATTGTCCAAATCCTTATTAAAATCAATTTAAGATAATGGTTATCTTGTTGATATAGTTTATGTATTCATAACTGTTAAATTATATATATATTTATATATAAACAAAATTGTTAGTAGCATATCAACCAAATGATTGATCTAATGCTTCTTTTTTTTTGGTAAATTCTTAAACTTACTATTCTAATTATTGAATTCTTGAGATTAATTGTTTCTTTTCTTCAAGAAACAGTTTCTTCTCTTCATGAAATAGTTTCTTTTCTTCTTCATATCGTTTAAACCGTTCACGCACTTTTTGTTATATTTACTATAATTAAACTTTGAATTGATTGGAAGGACCATAATCAGATGTTTGACTTGAAATAGATTAACATAGTAAGAATTCTTTATGTTCTGTATTTTATTTGCGTGTAATTGAAATCTCATTCTTTTAAGGAGTAACAGATATTCTTGCAATATTATTGATACTAGGTTCATTTAAACTCTTTCGACTTTAAATAGTTTTTGTAATTGATGGTGATTTACTCTACATATATGAATTTAGAAGATTTTAGAATTATTTAAGTCGATTGTCTTAATTGTTTAATCTTACACAAGGATTACTCTATTGTTCTCGACATTGAATCTTATTCACTGCTCTCTTAATATTCTATGGAGATAAACAATGATAAATAGATCCTTATTTAGGCTATGTTTACATTATAAAATATTAATTATCATATTAATAAATATATGTACAATTATGATTATCTCTGATAATTTAATCTATACTAAAATCTTGACTGTAATTATCTTCTTTGTTTTGCAATTTGAAAATATAATTTTAATGAATTTATTTAAGAATCTACTTAATTTAAACAATCATAAAACAAATCTAAAATATTTCTCAAAAGCACCATCTGGTTTTCTTTTTGTGATAAAATATCAGTTCTTTGATTCTCTTAGCTTTCTCAATCATATACAAGTATCTTTTATAATATTCAATTTATTATTAATATTCTTCTTTAGAATACTTTGAATAAATAACACTCTTCAATAATGGTAGCAATTATCAAATGGTTTTTAATAATATGAATAATTGATAAAAGGTTCTAAAATTAAATCTTTTTATTCTGAATATATAAATAAACTCATAATTTCTTTTTAGTTTATTTAAATAATCAAAATCACAATTTTATATATTTAACTTTATATCTATCTAATCAATCGATTGATGATGATTTAATAAAATTATTGTTTTGATTTTTACATTATTTTATAAAAATTAATATCAATAATTATATCTTCTCAAATTTAATAAACTTCTCTATTTTGTATCTGTAAGTTCATCTTTTAGAGATCTTAACAATGTAATTCTTTATTAAAATTATTACTCTTCAATTCTAATAACTCTCTCTAATTCTTATGAAATCTAATAATAATATTTATTAATTGTTACATCTTCTCTTTGATTTTTTGTAGATTCACACAACAATTATTATTATTCTAAATTTCTACTTAACATATCAGCTTCAATTAATGCTTCTTAATGAGCTTTCTTTACATCATCTAAATCTCCTTTTAATTTTGATATTGTTCTATTTAATTATTAATTTTAAGTAATTAATTATTAATTTGTCTATGATAATTCATTAATTGCTGAATGATTATGGAATTATCCATTAGGTTATTATTAACTGATATAATTCAAAGCTTCTTAATATTATTTTCTTGTATGTTTTAATTCTTTATTTTTTTAAATCAATTCTTCCTTAATCTTAAATATATTAAATATATTAAATACTTATGCAAATTAACCTTTTGTTGTATCAGTTTACTTGCTCAATGAAAAATAATCTTTTGATATATTGTCATACTCTTATTTAATTCTAAACTCAATCATATTATTTAATACTATTTTATTGTTTCTTTTAATCCTTTCACTTCTTCTCCTAATAATGTTTTCTCACTATTCAATTTGTTTATAACAACACTTTCATCACCAACTATCTATTTTGTCTACTTTTCTTATTCTTCATTCTCATTAAGTTCATCCTCCAATTCTTAAACTTAAGTTTTCAAATTTTCTATCTCCTTCTATTATAACTTCACCATTTTTTAATATTATTCAATCTATGTTTTTAACTATTATTCACTTAAACATTTCTAATCCTTTAAATCATTATATCTATAATCAAATTATTATTAATACCTTCCCTCTAATTAAGTTAAATGTTATGCAAGATCTCTAAATCTTTTTTCTCTTTCTTTACATTCTTATAATTCAATCTTAAGTTAATTGATCTCTTAATCCTTTCCAGTTTCTTATTATTATTCTGAACCTTAATTCATTTGATTATTTATAATTTTTATTACTTTTTTTTAATCATTATTTTTTAAAACTTCATTCAATAAATATATTTACACAATTTATATTTTATATGAATATTGTATTACTGATATATTATATTTTTTAAATCACTTTCGCTAACTATTTTATTTGCTTTAATTTAATTTATAATATTAATATTTTGAATTGTTATGAATTATTTTCATTTAAAAGCATGAAATCTAAATTCAATTTTATTGATATTATTATCTAAAACATGAATCTATAAATAATAATTTACTTTGCTAGTCTATTACTTCATGTAAGTAATTCTTACATTGAATCAATGGATCCTCTATATTAAATCTATAGATATCATCTGAAACAATAGAATTTCAATTATCCCTATCAAATTTGTTTTTAATATGGGATTTGGTCCAAATATAATCCTCTTAGTATTATTTCCTAGGTAGGATTAATAGGAATTTTTGACAGTAATTGTTACTAATTTCATCATGCTGTTGAATAAACTACAAAATCTCTTATTTTAATTTACTATGTTTGTATAGATTAAGAAAAGATGTCAATTAACAAATTTATTGAATTCTCAAATGATTTTGGCGAATAGTTTAAATTTGAAGTTCCAATTGATATATTTCAATTAGAAGATTAATGGTATTATTTTGGAATAGCTTAATGGCCAAGTTTAAATAGATGCGAAATAATAATATTTTCAGAGAAATAAGTATTGTTCTCAAAGATTATATCTATTTCATACATATATCAAAATTAAGACATAATATTAACTGTTGGAGGTGGATTTGTTGTAAATAAGTCTAAAATTAATACTTTAGAATAAGGCAGATTGTTTTCATATTTTCCTGGAACTATATATATTGATTTTTTTGAAATTACAGCTACAACCCCAGGAACTGATTTGGAGGTTTTAGCAAAAGAAATATTTACATATGATTATTTATGTTAAATTAATACTGAAATTCAGATTAGTGATTAAGAATTAAGTTGGCTTGATTAATACTTTTATTCTTCAGAGAACATTAACTGGGATTCTTTTACATTATCAGGTTGGCTTAAAATATTAAAAATTGTTAATGTATCAAATGAATTTATTTATGAATTTTTTAAATTAGGTCCAAATTTTGAAAATTCTAGATTATCTAATCCCAATTACAGTCCTTTTATTTTTTATTATAAGATCTCACCATCAAATAATTAAATTATAATTACAACTTATAGTTATACAATACCATTTTTAGGTTTAGATCTTTAAAATAACCCATTTATTATTAAAAAGTCATTAGATATTACAAATAACTTGTATTTATGGCATAAATTCTCAGTTAAGTAATAATAGAATAAAATTACAATAAATATTAAATTTTGGGAAGGACATAATATTTATGAATATAGTGTATAATTTGATGTAATCTAATTTCATAGGGTTCAATATAAATTAACTTATGGTAATAATTAATAATCGCCTGAAAATTATTTAAATATAAAAGTTTAAAATCTAATATTTTTGAATTGTGAATCTGAATATTATCAATCAAATTGTCATTCTAATTGTTTAGAATGTGATGGACCTAATGATAATGATTGTTTATCTTGTTCGGTAGAATCTAGAAGAATATATTTACCTGATTAAAAGTCATGTATCTGTCCTTATGATCTTGTAGAAGATGAAAATTGTAAATCATATGAAGATTACAATTTTGAATAGGTAGAAGAATATATATAAAAAGATTAAAATTAATGTTAATATGGATATTTTGAATTAGGTGAAGATTGTATTTAATGGTATTATAATTTAAGTATATAATTATTAGTCCTTCAATTAAAAGAGACAATTATTTAACCTGCTTAGAATGTCTTTAAAATCCTAAAGATTGGGGTTAAAATCCTATTTGCATAAATAATATATATTTAGATTCTAATGGCAACATACATTAGAAAATATAAGATATGATAGAATCTAAATATCTATTTGATGGAATAGATTTGAAGTTTTGTGAAGAATGTGAATAAGATTCTATTTCTAATCCAGAAAATATTATAAGAGATTATTTTATTACTTCAATTTAATTTAAAGAATTTTGTTTATAAAATAAATTTGATTTAGAAACAGCAATTAACTTTGATAATTAGATATGCTATGATTGTGGAATATATTTATGTAAAATTTGTATTATCTCAATAAATGGTTTCATGTGTACAAAATGTTAATCTAATATTTAAGTAAAAAATGGAAAATGCACAGTAGGTGATCTTTTATCTAAAGAAAAAGAAGATCTTAGATGTATATAACCTTTATATAAAAATTCAATGAAATAATGTTAATTATGTTAAATTGAAAATTGTATTTATTGTTTTGAATATTTAAGTAACGATTTATCAAAATCTACCTTATATTTAGATTTTGAAACTTTTCTAATTAATGAAAACTTTAAAGTTGGATGTGCATTATGTAAAAATAATTTCATATTTAATTTTATTACTGGAAAATGTATATATTAATAGCCATAGATTAAAAATTGTGCAAGATCATTTATTAATTAAGATAATTAAGAAGTATGTACTTTATCTTCTAATGAAGATTTTAATGTTTCTCCAGAAATTTCTAATTGTCAAAAATATTTATCTAATTGTTTACAATGTATAATGACTCCTGAATCTATAATAAAATGTATAATTTGTTAAATTGGATATACTACTTAAATTATATCAGGATAATGTAAACCAAACAATATAGAAAATGCTAAAATTGTAATATAAGGTGATTTTCTGTATTATGATGGATTTATGCAAAGACTACAAAGTTTTATGATTTAATTCCTGCCAAATTAATATTTTTATTTAAGAGCCTAGGGAAATTATAGAACTTCAAATTAAATAATTGAATGTTAAGATGGTTATAAACTAAACTCTAATTTCAGATGTAATAAATATTGTAGTTCAGAATGTTAATCCTGTTCATATTCTAACATTGAAAGCAGTTTTTAATGTTTAAAATGTCCATTAAACTAATATAAGACTTTTATTAGATCATAAGAATCAGGTTCTTGTTTATAATGTCCTTAATTTTGCGAAGTTTGTTAAAATCGTTCAGATAATGAATTAAAAGTAATAAAAATATATATTTTTAGAATTATAAAGATAGCACTTCAAAGTATTCAAAAAAATGTCTAAAACCAATTTAAAATCCTAATATTGTTCTTGATTAGTATTCACAAATTGCTAGATTGTGTTACAATCAAAAATGTAATAATGCTCTATTATTTCTTCTTGACTTTTTCAATACTAATCCTATTGAAAATATAGATAATAAGATCAACATTTAATATTGTAATGAAATTGGACTATCTTTACTTATTATTTAATTGGATTTATAAGAAGATTATTAATTTGTATCATTGTATGAAGATTATCCATTTGATTAAAAATAAGATTATGTTCTATTTCTTTCAACTTTTTTAAAATCATCAATATTTTCTTTAATTAAAATTAATTTAAGAATTACCTAACCTAGTAAATATGTTTTTTAAGTTTCAGAAAACAATTTGTTTAAGAATTTTGATGAGGTAGAATTTTTAAATTTTGAACTAATCTTTTCTAAAAATACATCTTTAATGTTTGAAAATGAACAATCTTAAGTAAGTTTTAATTTTACTAATCTCCTTATTAGAAATGGTTTTATAAATAGTATATTTTCAACTTTTCATACTTCTAATTATGGAAATATTTATTTTAACAATTTACTTTTTTAGGATGTACAATTTTTAAACTGTAATTTTTTACATTTAGAATCATAAAAAGTGTTAATTAATGTTACTATTGATACACTTACATTATAAAATTGTAATTTAATAAACTCTAACTTATTTTCATTTCTTAATACTTAAGTTAATGTAATTGTTTAGAATCTTAACATTAATTAATGTAATTTTACAAATTCTACAATATTTTTATTTTCAACTAATCTTCCCTTAAAGAGTTTTATTGATGTAAAAGGTTTAAATATATTATAATGCGAATTCAAATATTCAAATTTTATCAACAGCACAAAAACTATTAATATAAGATTTTTTAATATTTTATTTTAATATAATTAAGTGAATAGCTCAGTAGTAATATCTTATAGTGATAATTTATGGATGTATGATGTCAATATTTTTGAAAATTATTTTATAGATTCAAAATTTGCTTCTATAATTTAAGGATCAGAAAATAGAATTACAAGTGAAATTCTAAATTTTGAAGCTAATGAAAATATATTTCAAAAATCTTATCTATGTTAGATTATATCTATCAGCTTGAAAAACAACTTAATCTTATAATTAATGAATATACGCCTTAATAAAAACATTTATTTGATTACACTTGATGGTTACTATCCATTATTTTCAATAAGTTGTATTGAATTGCTTATTAAAAATGCTTAAATAATAGATTAAAATAATTGTAAAATATTCAACATTTTTGATAGTTTTTCTATCATTTTAGAAGATATAAATTATTAAAATTCAGTTTAAAATTTTAAAGTACCTTTAAATTAAAATTGTGCTTCTTAAAATGAAATAAAAAATCAGCTTTTATCTATATAAGGTGTTTTAATAGTTAAATTAAATAATTTTATGATATTTTAATAAACCAGTTTTGATTTATCATTAATAGATTTAGCTTAAAGCAGATAGAATTTAGTAAACTAATTTAAAGAAATTATAATATATAATCTAACATTTAATAATAATTTATTGATACAATAATATGAAACTAACTTTTTTTCATTAATAACAATTTCCTCAGAAACCAATATAAAAATTATTATTGATAATTTAAGATATAATTAAAACTTTTTGCATCAATAAACAGATGACATACTAGAATTATCATCTAGTTTACTCTTTATTAGTTGTAGTGCTTGTTCTATAAAAATTAATAATATTCAATGTTAGAATAATGGATTAACAAATTCATCCAATTCATTTATTTTAATAAACGTATATTTTGTTTAATTTAATAATTTTACAATTTAAAACCATAATTATCTTCCTTAAAATCTATGGGAGTAATTTTATGATTTTAAATTAAATGAGATTTTGTCAGATGAGGATATAGATCATCTTATGCAATAAACTTTTAAAATTTTAAATAAAGGAGGAGCAGGGTCAATAATAGCATCAGAATTTTATTGTTTTAATTGCTCTTTTATAAATATAAGAAGTTTCAAAAGTTCATTATTTGATATAAAAACTTAGGCTTATGGAATAATAGAATTATATAATATTTTTATTAAATTAGTTCTAACTTAAGCTTCTTCTATATCTGATAGTTCTGGATGTATAAATATATATTCATAGAATAGCATGTTAAATTTATAAATTTAACATGCATCTTTTATTGAAATATTTAATTCAATGAAATCATCGATATTATCTATAATTCCATCACAAAAATAAAATAAAATAATATTAGTAGATGTAAGGATAATTAATTGTCTTTCATTTATGAATTAAATGATGAAAATTATATTTCCAATTCAATCTTTGGGGAAAAATAAATTAATTATGAAAAAAATAAAAATTAAACAAAATGATGATGATTGGGTAAGATTTTTTTAAGTTTTTGGAGTTATTTTAGGCTAAAGTGAAATTAAGGAAATAGGTGGAGATGATAACGCTTTATTATATATAGATAGATGTGATGTTACATTTATAGATTTAGAAATAGAAGGTATTTTCATATCATCTCTATTCTAAATAAAAAATGCATTGCAAGTATTACTTATTAATTGCAAATTCATTTAAATATAAACTTTTTAATTTTAAGATTTAATTTATTTAACTTATTCTAAAGATTAAAAACCATCTGTTTCATTTAAAAAAGTAAATATTGAAAAAATTTAATAATTTGATTTAAATTTATTAAATCCTTTTATAGAATCTAAATAAAATTATAATATTATTTATTGTGAAATATGTAAGTCTGATTAACAGCCTTAAAAAATTGAGCATCCTATAATCAATTTTATGAATTAGATAAAGAAGATATAAAAAGAAAACTCAATCATTTTTATTTAAGGTAGTTCAAGTGAAATTTAATTGAATTTTGACAGTTTAAATTTAAATAATATAAATTGTTAAACATGTTCAAATGGTTTAATTTATGTTGAAAGTGATTCGTTTAATTAATTTAAAATTTAAGATTTTGATTGTAATTATAATAATGTTAATTAATATGGTTGTTTGAATTTTAAAATGAAGGCAGGTTAAAATAAATTGATAAAAATAATTAAATCTAACTTTATGTTTAATAAAGGAGGGTAAGGTGCAGGAATTACAGCTACAAATATATCTTTATAAATATAATAATGTAGATTCATTAATAATACTGTTTTATCATATGGAGGAGGACTTTATCTAGAATTAAATAGTAGTAATTTTTAAATTAAATAATCTGTATATATATATAATTAAGCTGCTTTTGGAGGAGGAGGAATTTATCTATCTAATGACTCTAATTTAGTAAACTAAAATTTAATATAATCAATAATAAATTTTAATAAGGCTGAATTTTTCGGAAATAATATTGTTGAAGCTCCAACTCATTTAGTATTGAATATAAATAACTTGGAAATGTAATCATAAATATAAAATATCAATAATACATAAAACCATATTTTGTAAATTAACCCATATAAAACTATTTAATAAGGATAATTATTATTTACAAACTACTTAATGATACCAAGTAATTAAGAAATAAAATAATATAAACTTTATATTCCTGAAGCTTAAAAGTTCAAAATTTATCTGTAAAATATTGTTTTAACTTGGAGGAATAATTAAAATGAATATCTTTAATTTAATGGAAAATCAACATGTGAAATAATTTAAAATACTTTGTCAAAAAATTAAGTAGTATAAGGTTCTACAGTTAGTTAAATTTTAGAATATGACTTATAAAAATAACATTTTGATTTTGGTTCTTTATCTTTTTCTTTTGATCCATATATAAATGGTTTTGATGAAGTATTACAAATTTAATTAAATTGTAAAAATATATAATATTAATAAATTTTACATTATGTTGTAAATTTAAAAAGTTTTAAATGTTAACTTGGAGAATTTTATGTTAAAGAAGGATGTTAATTGTGCTAATAAAATTAAGGATATTATTCTGTGACATATGATGCATTAAAATGTTCAATTTTTGATAAAACAAAATTTTTAAATGTGACTTCTAATAATATATAGTTAAAGAATGGTTTTTGGAGGCCTCATTATTTGTCTGACTTTACAGAATATTGTTTTAAAAATGAGAAATTTTGTTAAGGAGGTTGGAAAACTGGAAATGAATTATGTTATTAAGGTAGAATTGGAGGATTATGCGAAGAATGTGATCATTATAATATTAGAGGTGATGGTTATTATTTTAAAGATTCAGAAAATAACTGTCTTAATTGTTCTAATGCTTCAAGTCTTATAGCATAGTATATAATCTTATCTATTTGGTATATATATAATTATTATTAAGGGTTTTACTTTCCATAATTTTAACTTTAAGAAGTATAGATAAAACTAATAAACTATTTGCTACTCTTAAAATTAGATAGAAAATTGGTAAAATCATATTTAAATTAAATTAAGGTATTTTATTCAATAAAAATAGATCATGAAGGTATATTAATTAAATTATTTCTTAATTATTTTTGGATCTTTTCAATAATATTTACATTTAATGTTGAATTTTCTTTTTCATTTGATTTTATTGATAAAATTAGTAATACTTCTAATTTTTTAGCAAATAGTTTGGATTGTTATTTAGCCGATTATCAATCAATTTAATTAATATATTCTAGAATAATTGTCCTGCCTTTTTTAATGGGAATATAATTTTTAGTGATTATCATAGGAATTAAAGCATTCTCAATTGTTTTGAAGTAATAATTTGGCAGTAGTATTATTTCAAATACTTTACTCTATTTATATGTATCAAATTATGCAGGATTAGTTAAATAGTAAAATAATCATATTATTTAGATTATGTTCTATACTTTCTAAAAGGGAAATATCTAATACATCTTATATTCAAGGTGATGTATCTTTATTATATGGATCAAATAATCATAAAATTGGAATGTTACTTTTTGCATTGCCTGGCTTAGGTATTTTTAGTTGTTTGATTCCCATATCCTTATTCTTTTTAATGTATATCAAAAGAGATAAACTTGATGATATTAAACTTAGAAGACATATATGTTATTTATTTAATGAATATCATCATAAAAGATATTATTGGGAATAAATTAAATTAACTAAGAAAACTATCATTATATTAATTGTGACATAATTTGAAACTAATACATTTCTGAAAGTTTCACTATTGGGTTTAAGTTTACTATTTTATTAATTGTTGGTCTTACATAATAAACCATATGCAATCTCTAGGTTTAATTATCTTGATTTATAAAGTGGATAGATTTGTTTAATAGCAATATTTATAGCTGCAGCTAAATATGCAAGTTAACAGTATAATGATTCATTTTCTTCATTCATATTTCAGATTACAATCATGTTGCTTTGTATTAAACTTGGATATTCTTTTATCTTCAATTTATTAAAGATATACTATAAAAAATACAGAATACAAATTATTACTTTGTTGTTTTAATTATTTAAGAAAATTAATCCAAATTTAAGACTATCTAAATATTTTAATAATTTATTATCAAAGTGGTAAGCATAAGATACAAGATTAAAGTCAAACTATTCAAAATTAAGATTCCACTTATTTTCACTCTCAAAAATTAATATTAGAAATTTTAGGTAATAAAAACTTCTTATTTTAGAAATCCTTCATTATCTATTTAATTTTCAACCACTATATCTTCAGTAAGGAATCAGTAAACTATTACTAGAAATTTATTATCTAGAGAAGGAATTTGAATTTATATTTTTATATAAATTCTAGATTTGATATGTTTTGTAAATAAATAATAAATTTCAAATATATAATATGCAAACAAAAAGAAATCAATAATCAATTTTAAAATTAAAAAATTTTTGTTTATTTATAAATTTTGTTTTAACATAAGTTATATAAGGCAAAATTAAAAACTATGCAACATAAAAATGCTAAATTAATTAAATTCTGAATAATTTTTGGTTAATTAAAATAATTTAGAATTCATTATGTAACTGTGATAAAGGTTGTAAAAACTTAATTTATGGTAGTTATTAGTTATCAGTTGCTGAGGTGCTGCACTAAATTTAATAATTTCAAACCTCATCTCATAACTTTAAAATTATTCTAGTGAAAACAAAAATCATATTTTTAAATGTTCGAGAAAGAAATTAATAGATTGTATGAAATAAATTTATAGACATTTTAAAACATTTTCAAAAAGTATCTTCAAATTTATTCATAACTTAAGAACATAATTAGTTTTTTAGAATTTTTTGAATGTATTTAAGTTTATATACAAAATAAATAATTAAATCTTCTTCATTCTGATTTCCATTAATAATATAAATTTTATTAAAATTAAAATTATAAGTGCATCTTTCCATATCTTCTTTGGTAAACAATATTTATTAATTAATGAACCAATCAAATTATTACTATCTGGTTCTCTGGTCCTTTTCATTTTGATTAATTATCATCTTGATAATTAAATTATTAATATTTCTTTATATCTAATTTTTATTTAACTAATTCAAAATCTTTACAAGAAAATTCAATATTTTAAGCATATAGTTGGTTAATTGCTTATTTTAGTCTTCATTTGAAGTTTGAGAACACTTTGGATTTAGTATTTGTTTTATTATTCTCTCAATTTTCTTCAGTTTTAAGAATAATTTGGTTGTTAAGGATAACCATCCTATAATTGATAAATATGGAGTTATAAATATTCTGGGAAAGGAGCCTAAGGATTTGGAGATTAAATGTCGCTTTTGGTTCATTTAAAAATATAATACTATGAAAGGAAGATTGATACTCATATAGATTATAAAAATTTTAAGATGACAAAAAAATAAGTCTACTCTTTTTATATAATATTTTAAATTGGGATTAAAAATTGATTTTATGTGAATTTAATGTTAAATTTGAATAAGATATTAAGAAAGTATGATAAAATTTCAAATTATAATAATCATATTTCAACTTTAATTCTAGAAGATTAAGTAGTTTTAAATAATGAATTAGAATTATTGACTATTGGAAAAGATTCCTTTTTTACATTAGATAATTTAAACCTTCGATTTATGTAGTTATTAATAATTTTATGTTGTAAAAAACTGCAATAGATTGAGGGCTTTGTTGATCCTGGAGTTATTGGATCATATTTAATTGGTTCATTTTCATAGATTTCAGTTCTTATCAATCTTTTATGTTTTCTTGGAATAACTTTAACTTTTTCTGCTTCATTTTAATAAAGTTTAGTAAAACAATAACTACATAATGAGATTGTTTAATTAATGAAGACTGTGTTTTTACGAAATTCTTAATATTCCTCTAATGTCATTCTTGGATACATTAACTTGATCACTCTTGGTATTAATTGAGTTGGATCTATTTTTATTAATTATGCATGTAATCTATGAGATTTAGGTGATTGAATTTATGATCNATAAATAATTAAATCTTCTTCATTCTGATTTCCATTAATAATATAAATTTTATTAAAATTAAAATTATAAGTGCATCTTTCCATATCTTCTTTGGTAAACAATATTTATTAATTAATGAACCAATCAAATTATTACTATCTGGTTCTCTGGTCCTTTTCATTTTGATTAATTATCATCTTGATAATTAAATTATTAATATTTCTTTATATCTAATTTTTATTTAACTAATTCAAAATCTTTACAAGAAAATTCAATATTTTAAGCATATAGTTGGTTAATTGCTTATTTTAGTCTTCATTTGAAGTTTGAGAACACTTTGGATTTAGTATTTGTTTTATTATTCTCTCAATTTTCTTCAGTTTTAAGAATAATTTGGTTGTTAAGGATAACCATCCTATAATTGATAAATATGGAGTTATAAATATTCTGGGAAAGGAGCCTAAGGATTTGGAGATTAAATGTCGCTTTTGGTTCATTTAAAAATATAATACTATGAAAGGAAGATTGATACTCATATAGATTATAAAAATTTTAAGATGACAAAAAAATAAGTCTACTCTTTTTATATAATATTTTAAATTGGGATTAAAAATTGATTTTATGTGAATTTAATGTTAAATTTGAATAAGATATTAAGAAAGTATGATAAAATTTCAAATTATAATAATCATATTTCAACTTTAATTCTAGAAGATTAAGTAGTTTTAAATAATGAATTAGAATTATTGACTATTGGAAAAGATTCCTTTTTTACATTAGATAATTTAAACCTTCGATTTATGTAGTTATTAATAATTTTATGTTGTAAAAAACTGCAATAGATTGAGGGCTTTGTTGATCCTGGAGTTATTGGATCATATTTAATTGGTTCATTTTCATAGATTTCAGTTCTTATCAATCTTTTATGTTTTCTTGGAATAACTTTAACTTTTTCTGCTTCATTTTAATAAAGTTTAGTAAAACAATAACTACATAATGAGATTGTTTAATTAATGAAGACTGTGTTTTTACGAAATTCTTAATATTCCTCTAATGTCATTCTTGGATACATTAACTTGATCACTCTTGGTATTAATTGAGTTGGATCTATTTTTATTAATTATGCATGTAATCTATGAGATTTAGGTGATTGAATTTATGATCTATGATCAGACCCAGATTCCCAATAATGAATCAACTCTTTTAATTTAACTTTTGAAAATTCTATTTAATTTTTCTCTTCATCACAAACAATACATTTAGAATTATCAGATAATGTGATCGCTTTTGGATAGTTCAGAAGTTCTTTAGTAACCTTTTTAGTTATCTAAAAATCAGCTTAAAATCAGCTTTATTTATTACGTAATGTAAATTTACAGGGTACATTGGATGTTGATAAATTGGAACATATTATTAGATATAGTTGTCCTTTCTTTGATAATTTAAAAATCAATTCCATCAATGTGATTTCTTTTTGGTTTTAAGTGACATTTATCACATGAGACATAATTAATCCACATAATAATTCTAATCTTTAACAAAACTAAGTTCCTTTTATACTAAATATCTTAAAAATTAAATTTATACGTTGATTATTCAACAGGCCCGTTTGGAGTTTCAAATGTCACTGCTCTTTAATAAATATCTGCTTTCTACATCATAATTGGATATTTATTAGTGAAAACCTCAAAGTAACACAAATTGTTTCCCCATGTACATTTTATTACTTCATTCTTCTCAGCTTAAATGAATTATCATAAAAATATACATTTTGGATAAATAAATTTTTACAAATAACCTTCTGTTTCATAACTTATTTAAGATATTAATTAGCTTAGAAGATATTGGGATAAAAATTCGAATTATGTTTAATTATCTTTTTTCGTTATCCAAACTGCACAAATTTCATGATTGTCTTTTTAATCTCTTACAAAATCTTATAAAATTGCCTCTAGATTTAGTTTTGTTTTGCTCTTTCTCATTATTTAAGAATCCACACTATAATACCAAAAATGAGGTTATCCTTAAATAATTTAAATTGTGTCTGGAATGTCTAATCGTATGTTGTTTTTGAAAATTGGATCTTAAAGCCATAATAAATGAATTAGATTGAAATTGAAACCACATCCTTCAAGCTAAAATTTATTAAAACTCATTATATTTTGTATTATAAAAATTAATTATCATCATCCTTCTCAGCAACTTAAATTACTTTATAATGACAGCTAGACAATTTATCCTCAATTTAAATTATTTCATCTTATTTTTCCTCACTTATATTTGATCCAACAATAATATTAGAATTACAAATTGTTCTGTCATAATAACTTTAATGATAAAATAATAAATGATACGCAGCATTAGAATAATTTGGTTATTAATTAGTGTTTGGATTCAATTAGCTTTTGATAAGTAAATGCTGAATGGAATTATTTGTTCTAATTATTGAATTAGATTTTTAATTGTAGTAAGGTTCTTCTAAAAAGCTTACTTCTTCAAATATATTATTCATTTATACTAAATTATTAAATTTATTAATGTTTCTCTGATTTCAAAAAACTAAATAAATAAATTTCTTTTAATATCACAACTCAATCATCATCGCTGGAACTCAAATCTTCATCATTCTTTCTTTTTTCATGTTCTGTCATAGTTGGTGGAATCTAAATTAATGGAGATTTTTGTAATGGAGATTTAGTGAATTGATCCTTTAATTACAATTATTATCTTCTTTATTCTTCTAATAATTTTACTAAAAAATTAAAATAATTGTTTACATCCTTCTTTTACAGATTTAACTTCATTCTAAAATTCAATATTTGTATTAAATGTTCTTTACTGTTATTATTATGGTTATATTAATTATTTAGTACTTTAGACTCGAGGATTTTAAATTTAAACTTCATTGACTTTAGGTAAATACATACCAATAAATCTTAATAAATAAAAAAAATGATTACCTTTCTAAATCGTAATTAAAAAGTTTGGATTCTTAAATTCCTATATAGTACTCATTAAAATCTAATTTAAAATGTAGAAATTTCAATCTATCTTCTTTTTTCAATTTTTCTAGCAATTCAAACATTTAATCTCTATATTATTTTCTCAATTCCAATAAAGACTTAATAATCTCTTAATTTTTAAATTGAGTTTATTTTGTTATATTTGATTATTTGTTAAGTAAATTTTTTAATTATAATTATTAATTATCTATTTAAGAGATTTAATCTTTAGCATAACTTAAAAGTAATTCTTGACAACTTTTAAATCTGAAAATGTAATCAAATAATTTAAATAGCAACTTTTACGTAGCTTCTCCTTTAGTATTTAAGAATGATCTATCAAGAATATCAGAAATAAATTATTCATGTATTTTAATCAAGCCATCTAAATCTTATATTTTATCACATTCATCAATAAATTTTTTCCAGGGACTTTCAATAGCTTCTAACATTAGATAACTATAAAAATTCTTGATAAAATGCTACATTTCATTCATCATCTAGTAACTTAACTGTATAGCTTTTTTAATATTTTGGAATTGATTAGGAATTGTCATAAATTTTTGATGCATTTTCCAACATTAAGTTAATATAAATTCAACTCTCTTTATCCTCCATAAAAAGTTGAAAATTCTATAATATGATAACATAATTTTTTAGTTAAAAATGGTATTTAAAGGTTCATCAATAGCATAATCTAAACAAAATATTTCCCATCCAGTATCATTTTAAGAAGGTTCAAGTAATTTAACATTAAGTCTAACTTCTTATGAAATATTTTTAAATGCTGACTCTAAAATACTTAATAAAGTATGTCTATAGCACTATTAAGCTGGCTTATTTAATTCAGTTTATAATAATTCCATTAAAGTGTGAATAAATTCTCCTTATCCTAAAAGTAAAAACCTTTTGATAGCATTTAGAGTAATCTTAAAGTTTGGTTTAATTAATTAAATTAACTATTTATTATATTCCTTATTGACTTGATCTACAAAAAGAGAAAATTATTCTGTTCCTAATAGATCAATAGTGATCAATTCATAATTTTAATTAAATTGAGTATATTTACATTATTTTCTAAGCCAATTTATAACTCTGCCAGTATCAAATATTTTATAAGAATCATTCAAGGTAATCATATATGGTATTTTATCTTGATTAACTTTAAATTCATTTTTCCATAATTCTCCGCTATCTCTTATTTATATTTTATTAGAATCATTTCTTTCTATAAAGAACTCTTATGCTTAATCACTCAAAGAACCATCAAAAATCCATTAATTTATAAATCTAACAATAGGTATAGTAGTTTGATGGAGAATTCTAGAAAATAATTAAGAAGTTTATGGGCAACCATGCTTTGAATATCTACATAAAATAGAAATGACTAATGATGATGTAGTTCCTAATTATACATTAGTCATGATTTGAGATAAAACTAAATTGATCTAAACTAAATGATGCATTGGTTATTTTAACCACATGTACATTTTTCTTAAAGTCAAAGTAGACTCTGCCAAAAGATTCTCAAAATAAGCTATTAATCTATAATATTCATTTAATTCTTCTTTTATTGAATTTTAGAGAGCTTGTAATACTAAACTATTATATGTAGTTTAGGTAAAGGATTGTATTTTCTTAAATAACCAACCACATTCACACATTACATTTATAAGTTTTCTACTAGCAGAACTAATAACAACATCTTTTTTGATTTAGAATGAATCATTGATAGCATCATAACATATATATTAACTTTCGATACCTTAAATACTAAATATAAGATCCTTAATCAAATCATTTTATGTAATAGAGAGATTTACATTTCCTTTATCTGATATTTATTGTATGATCATTAATTAATCATTATTTTTAGGACTCTCTTCAATAATTTTCTTAGGCAGTGTTTGAGAATAGTTAATTTAAGAGATCTCTTATGATTTAAATAATGTATCTATAGTTTAGTTAGTATAACTATTATTTTAATTAAGTTGGCTCGTTCTAAAAAGAAAGTGAATAAGTTCATTTTTTTTCCTTAATCTCGTTTTGTTCAATCTATTCAAACAATCTTGTAATCTATATGCTTACGATTTCTTTTATTTAAATATAATATTACATTAGTCATTTTTGTCATCTCTGCTTGAAGTTCAGATTCATCCATCAATTAAATTCCTGTTCGCACATTTAGGATTCTCAAAAAATAAGTTTTGTAATTATTTAATGTGCTTTCCTCAATTGATTCAGGGAATGCCTGCTTTACTAATTGATGTAAAAGTGTTTGAGTCTCCATTAAATATTTGAATTGAAAATTTTGGTGGAGTTTATAAAATTAATAATATAATTGCTTTTAATAATTCTTTTTATATTATAATACGATCTTGAACTTCATTTATTTTATTATTACAATATCATACAATTATTAATTAACCATCAATCTTTTAGTCATAATTTAATTTTCTATAAATCTTTATTCTCCTTCAAACCAACTATTTATTTATATAATGGTTATAACATAAGATATCAATTCACATACCAAAATCATTAAAAAATTACAAATATCTCTTTTTCTATTCCATATTGAAATTCATTATACTATTCTTTCTTCTTTTATTCCCATCCCAATGTAAATTCATTCTCCATTTCTCCTACTTAAAAGTCTTCTTCTGTAAACTTTACACTTTCATATATTATTCAATATTCTCAGTTGAACAATTTCCCATTTTATTTATATATTAAATTTCAATGAATTATTACAAAATTAACTATAGAAAATGTTTAGACAATTTATTATATTTGTTTCATCTAATAAGCTAGATTAGACAATTTTCAACATTTATAATTTCAATTTATCTCAAAAAAATATTGTAAGAATTATAATTTAAAATATATTTTGAAAAAAGCTACATATTTACATTTTGATAATGATCAAATTTTTAATTTTTAACAATTACAACTTTTTATACTTTATCCTTATTGATTTAAAAAGATTAATAAGAATTAATTGTAAATAGAACACTTTCGTAATCAATAGGATTTTAAAATATATGTATTTTAAAATATTTTTTGATTTAATTTAATAATTAAGAAAACAATTTGATTGAATACATTCTAGATCATCTTAATAATTGAGGAATAATTATAATGAACTTTAAAATGAATTTAAATATATAAAATAAACAAATTGTACAATTCTGTATTTAAAATTGAATAAAAAGAAGTCTTAATTAGATTAAATTAACACATGTAATAAATTTAGACTCACTTAAAAGTTGGGAATTGTAAACAAAAATAAGAATGATATATTAGATAATTTAATTGAATATGAATATTATATTATAATAAAATATAAAGTGGAAATAAAGAAAGATTTTTTAGAAAAAAAAAATAATTATTCTTTTAGAAGTTTTAATGCAAAATAAAATAAAGAGAAAAGGATTGTTAATGAATGATATAAGGTTTATATAAAGTTCAATACTATTTGCCCCCTTTTTCATTTTCATCATCTGAGAATCCTAGATCATTCATGAGTTCTGTAACACTCTTTTCAATATCTTCAATGCGTTTTCCTAATAAAATGATGAGATTTTGATTGATTACCCATATCATCAATTCTGGTTACAATAGTATTTTGCATTTCATCAAATCGATCTTACATTTATTTAAGGAGTGTTTGCACAAAGTTGTTTAACTCTTTAGTTGAGGGATCTTCTTACATCTATTATCCTTTTTCACCCATTTGAATTTATTAAAAAATATATTATTAACTATAATTTAATATGAGAACATAAATATTGTGTATTTAATGTTGGGAAGAATAATTGATAAAAAAAGAGCTATAGTTTAAAGATAATAATGAGATTAAATGTGTAATAATTAGTTATAAAAATATGAGTTAACATGAAAATTAATTGAAAAAGAATGTCGATAACAAAAATATTGATTTATTTGTATTGATTATATTTGAGATGATTGTTTGTATATAAAAAATTAATGAATTCTGTATGAAAAAGTATGTACTGATAGAAAATGGTATAATAGTATGATATTGTATGATAAAAATGAATGTTTGTATTTTAATCAGAAAAGATAGGAAGATTATGGTGTTTTAAAGTAAAATAATTGATATAAATAATCTATCATATAATGAAAACAAAGTTTTGGAGTACTTATAAAGAGGAAGTTAAGATTGGAGAGATTTTGATAAAGTCAGAATTTTAAAGAAAAGGAAAGCTTAGATATTTAGGTGGGAGTGAGACAATGTTAATAATATTCGAGGTTTCAATAAGAGTTTAAACATAAGGACCCGCAATTCAAGAAGGCTAAGAAATATACAATGATTGACTTTGATTTGAAATTTGAGATGATACGAACAGCTCCAAAGATGAAACCAGGATGTTAGATAGTAAAACTATCAGGAGGTGCTCGTGCTGATTAAGTGAAAAGCGAAAATATAGAGAAACTTGGAGAAGCGACTGGTTTGTGGCTATTTAGAGATGAAGACCATAGATATGAGTTAGTTGCACATTCTTTGATACTTACATAATGGAGATGGTTTTTAGGTAAGCGCATCAATTAGTATGGGTTCCATCACTTGTTTAAGGTCTTTAAGAAGATTGGAAAAGGAAACTTTGCATCTGTTTATTTAGCAGAAAGAGTTGAAGATGGCTAATAAATGGCTATTAAAGCATTCTCTAAAAGTGTAGCATATGCAGAAGAAAATGGAAAAGAAGGTCTAATGAATGAAATTAAGTTGATGCGATAATTAGATCATCCTAATATTATTAAGTTACATGAAGTCCATGAAACAACAAATTCATTGTATGTTTGTTTAGAATTGTTGGAAGGTGGTCAATTATATGAGTAATTGAAAAAAAAAGTCATTTTTTCAAATAAAGAGATTTTAACTATTATTAAAGGATTGTTAGAAGGTATTATTCTTAGCTTTTATGTCAATAGGTCTCAAACATATACATTCTAAAGATATCATGCACAGAGATATCAAATTAGAAAATATCTTATTCAAAAAGCCAAATCAAATAGAATCTGTATGTTTGGCTGATTTTGGATTGGCTACTTATGTACATGAGGAAGTATATTTATATTGTAGATGTGGTACTCCAGGGTATTTAGAATATATTTATAATAGTTTTGTTGCTCCTGAGGTTATCAACATAAAAGATCTAACAACAAGATACGATAAAGTTTGTGATATATATTCTCTGGGATTAGTATTTCATTTACTGTTAACTGGTAAGCCAGCATTCACTGGACGTAGTTATACAACAATAGTAAATTAAAATAAGGAAGCAAAAATTTAATGGAAATCATCAGCGTTTGATATAATTCCAAAAGCAGCATTAAATTTATTGAAAAGAATGTTAGAGACTGATCCAAAATAAAGAATAACAGCAGAAGAAGCATTAAAACATAATTATTTTAATCCTTATCATATTCCAAATATAGCATAATTTGAAGATGAAAATATAGATATTGATGATAGTTGTCAATTAGATTAAAGATTATAAAAGATTAATGATCTTAATAATAAATTTGATATGATGCGCATTAATCAACTTACAAATTCACCAATCAGATCACCTAATATAAGAGCAACATAAACATAAGCTATGAAAGAATAGATGAAAGAAAGTGTATAATTATAAGAACAAATGATTATGCATACACCAGTTATAACTGGTAGAGTAGAAAGTATTGATGGTATATATGTTATTAATTGAATTTTATAGATTCCCCTGTAGAAGGATCAAAATAATAATAAAAAATGAAAGAAGGTTTATCAAAACATAAGAGGTAAGAATCTTTGAATTTCCTTTAAAAATATAAATAATAGTAGTAACCAATTAATGATGATGATTCATTACATCAATAAGACGATTGTAGAGAACCTGCCATCTAATAAGTTAAATAGAGTTTAAGCAAGAATTTATGATCTAGGTTCAAAAAAGTCTATGATATATCTATTCTAATAAGAGAATATAGTATAATATAGTCTCCTCTTTTAGTATTATATTATTATTAATATTTTAAATGGATAACTAATTTGAACTTGAATAAACTAATAAGTAATTACTTAGTGTGAGTAATAGTAAATCTGAAATAATACTTGACAAATGTCTTACAATGATGAGACCAGAAGGTTTAGAACAGTTTCATTTTCGAATAGAGGAACAATTTTATAAAGTAAAAGTAAAATGAGTTTAATAAAATTTGTAGCAAAATAAAGTTCTTTTAATTCATGAGAAAGAGGGAGATGATTTACAAACAATGATAGCATATTGGATTTAAGAACATCAATAAAGAAATGTAAATATTATTAAATATAAAAGAGAGATCTAATAATACCATATTTTGTAGAGCATGAAAACTAAAATCATTATTATGCGATTTATTACATTTTAACAAAGTTAAGAGTATTATTAATATTATAATATAAATAGGCTGTGTTTAATATAACTTAAAAAGTTGAATTGGAGAGTGAGAAATTAAAATAATATTTTGAATATTGGTTGAATTTATGTTCAAGAGAACTTGGCAATTAATTATATAGTGATTGTAAAGTAGCATATAAACGAGTATATCATATCATATTATTGAGGGTCATTATTGTGATTCAAGGAATCGATAAATTTTATAGTAATGGAGAAGTTAGAGTATCATCTTGGCTACCTAAAATATTACCTGATAATATTAAATTTATTGCATCAGCTAGATAAGGAAGTAAAGCATTTGAATATTATTAATCTATTGGAAATCCAATTATTCCCATGTAAGATTTATTTATTATCGTAGTGAAAATGAAAGTATCGAAACTTGGAATCTTATCAAAAACAATTCACATATATATAATGCACTTTTACATGTCCCAGAATAATTACGCAACCAGTTGCACTTTCTTAAACTGTTTTATACTATTCTTAGTAATCCTTTGGATGAATATACATTATTGATTACAGATGTATTAGCATAAGCAGAAAGTAATTATTATATAATAAATAAATAGAATTTATTAGTGAATTTGAATTCTTTACTATTCTCGTTAATTAATTTTGTCATCATGATCCAATAGCTTCGTCTATATTTTGTGTTCTTTCTTATGTTAATAAAGGTATAATCATAAATCTATTAATAAAGGTATCTCTATTGATGAAATTATGGCTAGTTGTTCATGTACTCAAGAATAATTCATTAAAGTCTATGATTTTTTCAAGGTTGTTTTTTATATATTATAATTAGGTCTGTTTCCTTGAAAAAAATCAAGTTTATGCTATCTATATACTTACTATGAGATAAGCAATTTAATCAATATAATATAGCAAAAACTTTTATGAGTAATATTTATTAATTATTGAACATTCAACTAATTCTACCAGAAAGTTAGAAGAACTCATTTGTCAATATACAAGAAATAAAAAGTTTTTTAAATTAAAAGAAATAATAATAAATATAGAACATTTTCTTATACTTTGGAATCCATATAATAAATTTGAATTGTGTTAATTATGGGATATGTTAGAATAAAATGGATATGATCTAGTAATGGAGTATAATAAAGCAGTCGAGAACTTTTAAGCTATTTATAAACCAACAACAGAAGGACTATTTTTTATTATGTTATAGATATGTATATTTCTAAGAGAATTTTCTAATTTTGAGAAGTATTGATTACATTCTTATAAAGTAGAGAAGGCACTCCTGCATATAAACATCCTTTATTAAGAGGTTAATCAATAGAATTTGAAGAAGTTGGACTATATGGTGAATTAAGTTAATTGAAAATGTTGGCTAAGAAAAAACCTAAATAATAATTAAATGAGGATTACTTTCCAACAACTATGAGTAATGTCTAATTAGAGAATCTTAATTTAGATATTAAAAATAATCGAGATAGTTTTATAAATTATTATCAATCATAATTTGATACAATTACTTTACAAGAATATCTCTAAACTAAATAAGATTTCTTAAGAGAGAAATTATTATCAACTTCAAAAGTTCCAAATCCATATTATTATAAGAGATGGTTATGGGTTTAATTTCCTTGGTTGGCTCTTACTTAAAAAAATAATTTCTCCAAATTAATGTAATTTTATGGAAAGGATTCTACATAATATATGTCAATCTAAGAAGAAATACAAATTAATTAAAAAGCAATTAGATTAGTTATAAATGCAAAGAGTTCAAAAGATAAATCTATTAATAAATTACCTGATATTAAATAACGATATTATAGTCCAACAGTTAATAAGGATGAACCTATTAGACGATTCAATTAGTCTTTAGAAAAAAGTATAGATAGAGCACCATCAACAGGAAAGAGAGGAGGGCTACCAGAAAATAAAAAGAAAGGATTATATATTAAGAAATATAATTAATTATAATATTAAAAGTAAGAATTTAAATATATATATTTTAGTTAATAGTTGAAAAATAAATTAAAAGAATTATAAACAATTAAATAAAATCTATATCCTTAAGAAGCTACAATTGAAGCTTATAGATTAAATGATTTAACAAAAAATTAAGGAGATGAATTAAAAAAACAAATGGATAATTTATAAGGAGTTTAGAATGAAATGAAAAGAATGCAAACAGTTTTAAAATTATGTCAGTTCAATTAAGATTAGAATGAAGAAAGAGTACAATAATTGTTTAGACATTGTAAAAATCTAGATAGAATGATTAGTGAATATAAATTGATTATCAAGGAATTGAGTGAGAAATTATGCTCATTTAAACAAAAGACTAAAGTAGAACCTACTAAATTCTAAAAATAATAATAATAATAATAGTAATAGCAACCTATATAGAAATAATTTATGACAATAAAAGATCTAAATTTATTTAGTTAAAAAATAGTAACTACAAATGGAAATACTTTTTTGAATCTTAATAGTGATTATAAGGTGAAAGTTACATTTGATATGTAAGATCAATATAATAATAATAATAATAATAATAATAATAATAAGAATTTAAATTTAAGACATTAAAATTCTATCAATAACAATTTATAATAATCAGATAAATTAAGGGAAACATAAACTAGATTAATGTTAGAGTAAATGCCATCAAATAGAATGATTACTCCTGGATATAGATTATCACTCAAACCGAAAGGTGAAGGAATTGATCAAATAGATTTTCATGTTTTAGAATAGATTAGACATCTTAATTCATTGGGAATTGCTAATACTTACAATAATCCAACATTTGATGAATTTCTCAGTCATTTAACAAAATTTAATGAATTAAATTTGGAAGTATAAGAATGTTAAATAAAATTAAACGAAGTAAAAATTAAGAAATAAGAAAAGTAAACATTTTTAAAAGTATTAAATTATATTAATTATTATTTTTAGATATTACAAAAAAATGAGAAACCATAAGACTAAAATGCTGAATAATTTATATCATCAGATGATGTAGATAAATTGAGAAGAGCAAATGATGCTAAAACTATCACTTTAAAGAAATTAAAATAACATAAAGCAGTGTATGACTTTTTTCATAGTAATCTACATAAAGATGTTAATGCTTTTATACCAATAAAAGATAACTTAAATTTAACCTAAATATTTAGTGTGATTTTAACTAATTAATTTTCATTATAATCATGATTCGAAAAGTAACATAAATGGTGCTAAACATTCTAATGTATATTTATTGAGTAATAACTCTTTCGCTCTTCTTTCCAAAAACCTTCCTAAAATAATACGTTATGAAGGTTAATGTAATTTATGCATTCTATAAAATAAATCTCTTTCAGATGCATCATAATTGTGACTTCTAATTAGCATCAATTTTAATTCTATTTCTCTCATTTTCCAAAGATCAACATCTTTAAAATATTAAGCATCGTTTTTATTAATATAATCATCTAATCCTTAAAGAAATTAAAGTTCTTCACATAGAACAGCAAATCTTTAAAAAGATATGTATTAAATAGAATTTTACTCAATGTCACATTCAGAATTGAAAATATTAATATAATATTAATCGTCCTTCTTGCTTTCAATTTCAAGCATTAACAATCTAAATTAAGTTTATGTTAATCTTTCCCCATCTTCTGCAAATATTTGTAATATCATAGAATATTTAAGAAGCAACTCTTAAATCTTAATATCTTACATTGGTCCAAGATGATGTAAAATCTCTTAATCATAATCAATATATTAAGGCAACTTCTATAAACTCTTAATTTAATCAGCCAATTAAGATTGAAGAACAGATATTCCTGTATCTTAGAAATTGACACTCTATATGTTACTCAAGATTTATAAGTAAATCAGGAAACTTAACTAATTACATTATAGATAACATTAAGTACATCTCCAACCAACATTGCATGAAATAGTCTTGCTGAATCATTCTTTCTCTTATAATATATAACTGATTTTATAACTCTAGCCACCTTTCCTAACCAAACATTCTATGGTTATGATTGATTTTCACTTGAAAAATATTCATACAATTAGACATGCATAGGATAATTAAATTTATTGAACTTTAAACACCATTATACAAAATTAGACAATGTTTTTATAAGTGTACCTTAAGTCACTATATTTTCTATTTTATCCCTTCTAAATTATTGAATCTCTTATAAAAGAGTTTAAGTTGCAATCTATGTATTCTTACTTGAACATCTATTAACAAACAACTTCTTTTCAATTGATAGAAGATTCTTTACAGGATTCAAACATTCTGATAAATCTACTTCTTCTTCTGAAGAACTAGAAGATTCTTCAAATTTATTATCAGGAAAGACTATCATAATAGTAAATAAATACAATTTAAAGTTATTTATGGTTTTTGAGGTGAAAACACTTCAGCAGCTTCTGGAGAATCACAACTTAATTCTACTAAAGAATTACGTTATGGTAAACTACTATCTTATTAGGGTTCTAAAGGAGTCATAGGTGGAAAGAATCCAAATGAAGTTTTAGGATTGACAGATAATAATATATTTGGACTAGTACTTTAATGTTATGGAGGTAAAAGTGTAGTGGAACTATTGATAAATACCTATTATGGTTATGGATTGAAATTGTTTAGATAGTTCAAATTATTAGTACTAGAAATCATAGGATTAGGATTAGGGGTTGGGGAATACGCTTTTGGGAATTCTAAATGAATTTTATGTTTTTAAGCTTTACGACGTATTTAATCTTACTGATATTATGGAATGTATTTAGATATTTATTTGAATTATTTTTCAATAAAATTATAATTTTTGACTTATTATTAAAATTTTGAGCTAAGTAAATCTAATCTTTTTTAGACAAGATTCTTCTATCTAATAGCTTATTTACAATCAATTTAAGTTTCAAAGATTTATATTTTGCGAGCAATTAATTCATCTTTTAATTTATGAATAATATCTTAAAAATGATGTGTTAAGAATACAAATACTGAATAAGAACTTTGAAAATATTAATCAATTTGATGAAAATCTTCTTAATAGAATTCTTCTTTCATTTTCATAATATTAAATAATTAAGAGGATCTAAATTTAAGTTGATCAAGAACACTTTCAAATATTTCAGGGAATGTTTTTTTTTCAATTTCAACTTTCTCAATGTATAATTGGTAATAATCATCTATAAAAGCTTTAATTGGATAACGTGACATTTCTAAATAAGTTTATTCTTCATTATTTCTTGGTATAGATTCTCTTTTAATGATTGCATAATTTGCTTCACAAGATTAATTAGATGTTTGAATAGGGAGAGTTTATGTTGCCCAATCATAAAGTTTCTTTTTTTAATAGATAGTTTAGACTTATGAATCTTAGGTTAAGATTAAACTATTTAATATTTTAATATAAATATATACTCTAAAGTATCAGTATAAGTATCAGTAAATTTAACATGATTACCAATACATTTATCTTTAAATAATATTTCTTCGTATTATTCAATTAGATTTTCATCTTTTTATGCTTTATCATCTGTACCTCTTTCTAATTCTAACATTTTATTATGATATGCTTCTTCAAATTTACGTGTTTATTCTTCAAATACAATTTTAAAATCATCAAATATCTCTTTCTTAGCCTTATATAATTCTTCCTCATAATCTGCTGTAATATTTTCAGTAGAATGTCTAACTTATTAAAATAATTTAAGTGTTTAATTTTCTTTATTCAAATCCTCTAATTACAATTTCAACAATTCAATATCATTATTAAGACTTGTAATTTATGTTTGAAATGCATTAGTTTTCTTTCTTAAATATTTGTTCTCTTTATTTAATTTCTCAACATATTCTGTATTTCGTTTCAACTATTTTTCTGCTTCTTATAATCTTTATACTTTTTCAGTCATTGAGTTCTAATACCTCTCATGAATCTTAATTGTATTTGTTAAACTCTCCTTTTCTAATCTACGATTTGTTCTAGATTATTTATCAATTATCTCTTTCACAGTCCCTGTAAATTATGACCATATCTTATCGATCAACTAAGAATAATCATTACATTTCACAGACAACTACTAACATAATTATCCTATTGAACCAGAGTATATCAACTCCATTTTATCATAAAACTCTGTTATACTATAAAAATGCTACTTCTAGATCTATTACATCATGGACTTTAATCATAATCAATATTACATACATCTGTCCATTATTATAATAATTGCAAATCCTTTCTTTCACTTTACTCATTTGTAATCTTTGATAAGGTTCTAAAAGTCTTATTCCCTGTCCCAACATTTGCTCTACTCATTAGTTGATTCATTGCAAAAATCTACTTATTTACTCAATATTTATACAGTTCCATCTTCTCCTTATATAGTTTTATTTATCGAATACACACTTGGCAATTTTACAGCAGATGTAGGCTCATCACTTAATGTTTACAATCGTGTCTATTTCTCTCTTTTCATTTGTTATATATTTAATATAATTCATTTATAATTTTAGACTTCTGATCCTAAAATCAACAATTTCAATGTATCCTATCAATACAAAACTCATCTTTATTCTTTCTCTCTCTTAATTCTCTATTCATCATTCTAACCATTCAATATTATATCATCTTTCTAAAAAAAACATTCTAAATATCCATTCAAATAATTTTCATTTACATATCAATTTTATAATTATATCATTTAATATCTCTTCTATTCCATTCTATTTCTTAATTCATTTTCATATCTAAAAAATATCTTCTGACAAATATAATAAACACATTATGATCTATATTTTATTAATCAGATTTAAAATGTATAACATAATATAACTATTTCTAATTGAAAGACCTTCAATATTACAAAAACAAATTTAAAATCCCTAAAAAATCTATCTTTAAATCAACAATTTAATGATACACTTAAGTTCAATTTATATTATTTTATGAGAAAGTTAACTACTTTGATATGATGCTTTTAATCTTATTAGTAAAGAAATGCAAAGGGGTATTAGAAAATCACCAAAAGGACCCTCATCTATTTTATTAAGACAAATTTCACAATTTAGAAGATTTTATCTTTTCAATTATTTATTCATTAATTACAGAAAACTCAATTCAAGATATTCGTAACCTGTAATGTATACCTACTAAATTAAAAAAAAAATTATGTGAAATTTAATATCCTAACAAATTCAGCTACTTTTCAAAAGATAAAACCTTCTTTCAATGATTGAATTATTTTTTACCTCCCTTACTTATTCTTATTCAAATGCAATTTAAGATTTATTTTTTAAAATAAATTATTTATACTGAAATATAATTATCTTTAATTCAGAAAGAAAAAAAATAATTTGATTCATGATTTAATCTATATAATAATTAACAAATCTAGTTAATTAGATGACATCAATACTTATTAGTCCAATATATCTAAATTAAAATAGAGAATTTAAAAAAGAGCATTTACGAATAGGCATTGCAAATTTTTGAATTCTCTATTCTATAAATAAAAAGTTACTTCTCAGTAAAATTTGTAAAGATAATCAATCTGCTACTAAATAAGTAAAAGTTAAATAAGAATATTGTTTTTTAGAAAAATGAATTATAATATAAATCACTTGAAATAATTATAATTAACTTATATATATTATATTTATTCATCTATTGATATTCTTAAGTGCTCTTTCTATTTTCTGTGACAATGAAAAAAGTTCATTAACGTAGCCTCTTGATAATTACTTTATTTCCTCTGGTTAAGAACAATCTAATTGCCTTGATATTTCTAATAACTCGGATAATGGAACTGCTTAATCAATTCTTTTAGAAAAAGAATGAGCTACAGCTTTATTATTATCTTTTGTAATAGATTGAGTTGAAGGAGATTAAAATTACCAACTTCCCAAATTTCCTAGAGATTGATTCTTTCTTCTAAATGATGATAACATATCATCATTCTAGGTATGAAATCTACTTGGGTTGTTTCTTTAATTTAATAATATAAATTACCCATCTTAATTACCAAAGATTTTACTAGGTGAAGCCAAATTTGGATAATGATCTTCCTTGCTTATATTAAGTATTTTGTGATGAAATTTATTATCTGATTTGTTATCAATTTATTCAACCCATTCTGTTGGATATCTAATAAATTAAACACGATAATATACTTTCTTAATTCTTTTTTATCGCTATTATCTTTAAATGCAGAACTAGTACGACTAGTTGTGGTAAATGCTTATGATTAATTCAAAAAAGTGCTTCTTTTAATAATCGATGATTATTGAACACTTGATTACATGGAAATAAAATTTATTTATTAATAAAAATCTACTTTTTATGATTTTTGCCTCAAAATAATTTATATAAAAAATATCAAGAAAATTTATTAGAATTTGAATACTCATAAAAAAGATATTCATAAATTAGAGTATGACATCTTGTGGAATAATAATATCATAAAAAAAATCTGAATAATCATTTTATATTTATAGGAATTTAAATTATTATATCAATTAAATATTTTTTGTAAAGAAAAAAACTCATTAAAAAGTCAAGTAAGATTTATTGAAGAGTAATAGAAAAAATCATTGAAGAATGAATAAATTTGATGAAATAAATTATTAGAAGAGCCTTTGATGGCACTATTAATTCAATTAACTAATATTTAATTTCATCTTTAAATAGAAATGGATTCTTAGAAATAAAGTTTTGCTGAGGTTATTCTGTTTAAACTAGTGGGGTTTATGGAAATAAGATATTTTGTAATATTTACATATCATAATACATATATATGTTTTATAGAAGAAGATATTAATTTTTCTATTTAAAATTGGTTCTTTTAAATAATTAAACAAAAATGAATAAAATATTCAATCATTAAATTTACTTCTTCTCTAAAATTTTTTATATTAGCTTTTATTTCCAATATCTATCTTGAATAATAGGATCAGGTACTTTATGAGCGAAAGATCTAATATAAAAGAATGTATTGAAACTTTTTAAAAGTTGTTTTAAATTAGCCATCATAAGATCCATTGCTTTAGATATGACTACTGTTTTATTTTCTAAAAGGTAGATCTTCGAATGTATATGGAGGATAATGGATTTTAGATAAAGCTTCTTTGAATATCATGGCACCACTAGATGCAAAAGGTCCCCTATAAATAATTGATGATACTATATATATTTACATAGATTTCTTTTTAGCAGACTCAGTAGGTTCACAATGAGTAAAACGAAAGTCCTCTTAATAAGATGTTTTACCAAGAAAAGGCAAAGCTCCTGTACTTTATCCTCTTTAAGGTCCAACTCTTTCAGTTAAGGTTGGTTTCCAGTTAAAATAATCTTATTTATAACTTGTGAGTGTAAGCATTTCTGATGGATCTCTTTGAAAGGGAGGTTTAAAATTTTCTTGAAATTAAGGTTTAGGAGTACGATAAGATGTCTTGGAAAATATATGAATGTAAAAATACCTCATATTAAGTTTATAATTGTAGAGACTATGCTAAAGGTACTTAATCATACATTTTGATATTGAAATTAGATTAATCTAAAGGTTGAAGCTTTTTAAAAACAGAATCATAAGTAGATTATTGTTTTTTATTAGGTAATGAAAGTTTCAATTCTTGGATTCGATTAAATTACCTTTCCTACATATACAATCCAAGTAAATTAATAAAATATTCTTGGTTTTCATTGATCAATTTTTCAAGATTGAAATTTTGATCTGATTAAATTTCAATAGGAATCAATTCTAACCAAATAGGATCATCAATAGGTAGAATATCAAAGACTCCTGTAGTTTAAGTTTTAATAGTTTCTGATGGTGTAGGAGTATGTGTTCGAGACTTATTGGTATAAGTTGATTATGAATATTGAGTATTATTGAATCGAAGAGATTTTTCAGGAGGATCAACAATATCTCCTTTATGATTTTTATATAGAATCCTTTTCTTGCCTTTACTTTCATATCTGGAATAACTTTTAAGAGATCCTTCAGTTGGAGAACGAACAAGAAGAGTTTGTTGAGATGGTTGTAATAATCCTTGCATATTAAGATTGTGTTGTTTATTTTTAATATATAATATATCAACACATAGATCATTATTATTTGCATTCTGGTTTTTCTGTTTTTTTATTATCATTCTTATCACCTTTACTACTACTTGACTTCTTTCTTTTCTATTAAGATATTATAATATATAAATACAGATTTCTTTTTATCATCTTCATCATCATCATCATCATCTTCATCTTCATCATCATTATCATCATCATCATCTAATTCAGCCATTTCTGGTTATAATCCTAAGAATAATTCTAATGAACATGGAACAATTGAATCTAAAAATTCAGTAGCAATATCAAAATGTTCATTCATTAAATCTTCTTATTTTTCTACTTCTTCTTCATCAAGATCTTTCTTATTAGTAAGATCAAAATCTTTAAAGAATCCAAAGAAACTAGGATTATCTACTACTTTATCAACAGTTCTTGATGCACCTGTTTTTTTATTTTTTTATTTCTTTGAAACCTTCTTTTAAGTAACATTCTTTCCTTCTTTCCATTCAATATGAGTTGATTCACTTTTAATTGGAGTCTCCTCAGCTTTATCAAAGATAAATCTTTTAGTAAGAAGTGTATTAGTAAAATAATCATTAGGTGCAAATGTTAGTTTAATAGTGAAATTATGACTATTCTCTTCAAGATCTAATTCTACTTTAATGAGTGATTTTAATACATCCCAATCCTTTTCATTATCTTAACATACATCAGCTAATATAAATATTATATATATATATACCAATAACTACTGAATTTTTGAGTGCCTTAAACCAATAATCATCTATAGGTTCAGCTGTATTACTTTCAGCTACTTATGTTTTTTCAGTCTCACTCAAAAATTTATCAGCATTAGATAATTCAATATCTGTAGCAGCTCTTTATCCAAGAATTAATTCATTTTACTATAATAAATAGAATTTATATACTTACTTTCTAATAAAGAGGTAGATTTAAATGATCATATTCAATTTAGAGTTTCTATACTTGTTACTCTAACTCTTCTTCATATTGTTGTTTGCGTTTCAAGTGATAAAATAGTGCGACAGCTTTAACTCTCTCACCTAAAGGTAGGGTTTTAATCTTTGTAATGACTTCTTCAATATTTGAGTTTTCGTGATCACTCATTAAAATTTATAATGAATTAACAAATACATTTCAAATTCATACTACAATATCTAGAGTTTAGCTCTAAATTTGATCAATAATAATATGAATTGTCAATTATGTTAAAGAGAGGAACACTTGCTCCATAAACTATTATTAATAAAATACAAATAAGAAATCCTGAAAGATCTTTCAATTTATGCAGATTACCTATTGATCAAATTACTGAATTCTAATAGAAAATCATCAATAAAGATGGGGTCTATCTTGATTATAATGTATTATTCAATCATTTCTATATTAGATTAAATTCTTATTTTATCTAGGAGGTAATCAACTTGGAGATTGTCTCATTAATTTAGCATACTTTCTCAATTCAGAAAATGATTAAGACTAAAAACTTAAAAAATCTTTAACATCTACAAATGATAAACGTGCTGCCTTATATTATAGAGTTATTAGACAATCTTCACAATCACAATTCGAATCTTAAGAATTTCCTCAAATTAATATTCCAATGCCTTCACCTACACATACTCCTATTACTTAATAAGTACCATAAACTACTAGAAATTCTAATACTCGTAAATTCGAATTTACTAATCGAACTACTAGGGCAAGAAGTTAATCTCCTCCTAAAGATTTCAAAAGTACTGCACTTCTTAACAAAATTGATGAATAATCTAATTAACAATAATCGAATTAACAATAATCTATCAAATAACCATCAGATAATCTTACTTAAAAATTTATGTAACTTGGTGAAAAGTTTTCTTAAGAAAAACTATCTTAAGTCATTCCATCTCCATAAATTGAAGATTATGATAATTTTAAAGAAATCACTGAAATGCTTACTAAATAAGAAGAAGAATTATAAAAATAGATAGAATAATTAGATACACATATCAAAATGGATTCTAAATAAAGAAAAATTAATTTTGATACCAATATACCCAACTTTACAAATACAAATAATAATAACCAAGAACTCTAATTATTAAAATCAAAATATGTTCAATTAGAAGATTCATACAATAAAGCTATCGAAGAACATTAACATTTAAAAAGAATTATTAGGTAAAGTGGTGAGTAGCTTAAAAAATAGAATTAACTTAATCAATCAGGATATAAATAATTAACTGATAATTCTCTTAATCAATCTACAATCTCTAATTAAGAACAATTTGAAAGAACTATTGAAAAAAAAAATCAGATTATCAAAGATTTATCAAATTAATTAATAGAATTAGAAAAAAATTCCAAGGCTTCTCTTATTGAACAATTAAGAAATCAAATTTATAGATTAGAATAACTTACAATAGAAAAAGAAGAATAATGGTCAAACTAAGAAAAAATTTATAAAGACAAGATTTTTTAATTGTTATAAAATACAGAGTGATTCTATTAACCAAATAACTTTATTTATTTGTTTTTGCATAATATTTAAAAACCTAAAGATATATTGAAATCATTAAAAATATATCAAACCAAAATTTAATAGGAATAAATCTATGATAAATTTATTACCCTATAATTCATTAATGATTATCATTTCTCTGATTTATTATTCTTATCTAAGATTCAATAATTTTTCATTCACACAATCTAAAATATTTTTCTCTCATCTAATATTTAAATTCTAATTTAAGTTATTTTTTGTCAAATAGAAAGAAGTTAAAAATCATTTATTTTTATTTAATTTACATCAGATTAGAAAGCTATTTTGTAATAAATAATGATTCAATAATTTGATTGATGAAAAGAATAAATAAAATAAGGTTTGAATTTTTAATTTTATTTTATATATCAAATATAANAGGGCAAGAAGTTAATCTCCTCCTAAAGATTTCAAAAGTACTGCACTTCTTAACAAAATTGATGAATAATCTAATTAACAATAATCGAATTAACAATAATCTATCAAATAACCATCAGATAATCTTACTTAAAAATTTATGTAACTTGGTGAAAAGTTTTCTTAAGAAAAACTATCTTAAGTCATTCCATCTCCATAAATTGAAGATTATGATAATTTTAAAGAAATCACTGAAATGCTTACTAAATAAGAAGAAGAATTATAAAAATAGATAGAATAATTAGATACACATATCAAAATGGATTCTAAATAAAGAAAAATTAATTTTGATACCAATATACCCAACTTTACAAATACAAATAATAATAACCAAGAACTCTAATTATTAAAATCAAAATATGTTCAATTAGAAGATTCATACAATAAAGCTATCGAAGAACATTAACATTTAAAAAGAATTATTAGGTAAAGTGGTGAGTAGCTTAAAAAATAGAATTAACTTAATCAATCAGGATATAAATAATTAACTGATAATTCTCTTAATCAATCTACAATCTCTAATTAAGAACAATTTGAAAGAACTATTGAAAAAAAAAATCAGATTATCAAAGATTTATCAAATTAATTAATAGAATTAGAAAAAAATTCCAAGGCTTCTCTTATTGAACAATTAAGAAATCAAATTTATAGATTAGAATAACTTACAATAGAAAAAGAAGAATAATGGTCAAACTAAGAAAAAATTTATAAAGACAAGATTTTTTAATTGTTATAAAATACAGAGTGATTCTATTAACCAAATAACTTTATTTATTTGTTTTTGCATAATATTTAAAAACCTAAAGATATATTGAAATCATTAAAAATATATCAAACCAAAATTTAATAGGAATAAATCTATGATAAATTTATTACCCTATAATTCATTAATGATTATCATTTCTCTGATTTATTATTCTTATCTAAGATTCAATAATTTTTCATTCACACAATCTAAAATATTTTTCTCTCATCTAATATTTAAATTCTAATTTAAGTTATTTTTTGTCAAATAGAAAGAAGTTAAAAATCATTTATTTTTATTTAATTTACATCAGATTAGAAAGCTATTTTGTAATAAATAATGATTCAATAATTTGATTGATGAAAAGAATAAATAAAATAAGGTTTGAATTTTTAATTTTATTTTATATATCAAATATAATATATATTAATTGCACATTTTAAATATACATAATTGTATTTAATGTAATGTAATGTATGATGTCATAAATTTGTTAAATATAAATGAGATGAAAATCAGAATTCGTTATTGTAAGCACAACTAAGATAAGAATATGGATCTTGATAATAAATCGGCGCATATTCATCAGTAGGAACTTCACAACTCGAATATTCTTCCTTAACAGACTAAATAGAGTCCTCCTTGAGTTCATCCTTTTTTGAAAGACTCAAAAATTTATCATAAGGCCATTCTTTATGCAGTTATTCTTTAAGCTACTCTATAGCTTAGATGTACATTTGTTTTGTTGTCTAATCTTTAATCTTGTTATTGATAAGCACACATATTTCTGCTTATGTTCCTAAAAATTCTATCCATTTGTGTTATGTTTCTAATTATATTATCTTTGTTCTAGGATTGATTGCTCCAAATAGTTTCTTCAAGTCTCCTAACTCAAATTTTTATTGTTTAGATGTCTTTTTTTTATGAATTGCTCTCAAATAGCTATCAACTTATTTATATCCCATTTCTTCTGCCCAATGCATGAATTAATTCATAAAGAAAGGCACTATTCTTCTTTAAAAATTGTGTTGTTTCTTTATTGAGTATGGTACTTCTGTTTATTATTATTGAGGCTTAATAGTAAGATGAGTATTGATGATGTCTAAAATTTGTTCATCAATCTATATTATGACTTTTCCATTGCATTTTTTAAGAATCTACTATTATTTTTACAAAATACCTAATAAGTGTATGAGTCTTGCATTTATTTGTAATAATGATTTACATAATTTGATAATTACAATTCATATTGGGGTGATAATACAAATTTCAACAAATATCATGGAATATTCATTATTAAAAAGTTTAATTATTTCTTTGTATTAATTAAACTATATATGTTTGTTAAATCTACATACAACAATTCCTTGATTTCCATACTTTACATCAAGAAATTAATTAGAAATCTTACGAAAAACTTTTGGAAGTCATAAATTCTTAATAATCCATTAAAAAAATATGGTAATCACCATAATAAAATTTTGAATTATATTCTTCCCCTTAAACTCACCAAAAGAATCAATAATCAAGCATTAATGCTTCTTTTCTTAAAGTTCTAACTTTATGTACTTGTATGTACAAATTATGAATCTAAAATTAAAAATTAGATTACAGTATGATGTATTTTAGTATGTTTCAAAGTTTTTTTATTTCGATGAATGATAAAACAAAATGCATAGTTGAATGTTGTGATTGTTATTAAGGCTAAAAATTGCATCATTTTATTTTTATTAAAATTATTCTTCGTCATTATTATTTGAATGAGCTGATAAAAATAATTAATATAATATATATATATAGCAATATAAATTATTATTGGATTGTGGTTTTCCTTTTTTTTGATTGAATAAAATTTTTTTGGAAATAAAAATATAAAGATAATAATTTTCTTGTATATTAAAGTTGTGTGTATTTTGAATAAAAATGAATAAGTATTGAAAAATAGAAAATAATAATTATTGATCACTTGTTCTGTTGTCTAATCTTACATCGCTATTTTACCAGGGTCTTCCATCTTATTGTTCCAGCATTAAATGATCCAAAGTCTATATTCCCTAAAAATATTTTGATAAGGAAAGATATACTTGAATAAAAGAACTATCTTCATATAAATATTAATAGAGAGATAATGTAGCTTCCTCTTAAAAATTATTAAATTTGATTTTTTTAATTAATTAGGTTTGAAGTCCATTTTATTAAATGTTGTGCTACACCATATTTTGTCGAAGAATTTAGTGATTCCCTTCATTAGAGATTTTTTAGTTCTTCCTCGAATTAGAATCACCCTTTAGTATGTATTGTTTTTAAGATACATTATGAAATTTTACTTTTGTAAATTTAACCAATTCTTTTATATATATTGTTATCTCTGCCTTTTTAATCCATACTTTATTCTTTATTTAATAATTTATTTATTTAATTGGAATTCATTGTTTTTCTTAAGTGTATTCTGTAGTGGCTTTATTACTTTTTATTAATATTTAACCAAATATATTAGAATATTTAATTAATAAAATAATTTACTTATTACTTATATTGAAGTATTTAGAACAGTAATCTTTATGAATAAACTGAGTAAATTTATTTATAAAAGGTAATCATATTTGTAGTAGAAAATGCAAAAAAAAAAGATAATATACACTTATGCCATAATCTTATTCTTACATTAAGTACAACAAATCTGCTTAGAATATTCAAAAAAATTTCTTATATAAGATTATCTCAACATATGCCTTATGTAACTTGATTCCTGCTTAAGAAAGAATCAAAACCATTTTGCTTACTTTTATAAAGAGACCTTAGAATTTAAAAGTTTTAGTTTCTTCAATAGTTTCTCCACTTCATAAGCCATTTTAATTATATAATTTAAGTTTAAAGGAGTATATGAATAGTTATTACTATTACTGGAAATGTTGATGGAGAATCATTCAATACATTTACTAAATTTACTCTATTAAATTAAAAAGTAATAAATATATTATAACCAAAATTATGATATTTATATTAATATAATTATTTAGTGAATATCCTCATTGTTATCAAATTTAATTAATCAATTTATATTTATTTTCTAAAATATATACTTAATTATATGGACTAAAATAGGTTTAGTCTTTTGATATTTATTTAGTGGAGATAAATAATATATTTAAGGCATTTTGAAAAATCAAGAAGGATAAATTATTGAATATAAATTTGAAAGAGGACAATTATTACAATAAACATAATTTGGAGATTTTTATAAATTTTCAAACATTGATTTACAAGAAGTTCTAATAGCAAAGATTATACCTAAAAGTAAAATCACTACAAATAGAATTAAGCAACAAGTATAGAAAAGCAAAATTTAGTAGGTACTTTAAGAGATTAGAATTTATCAAAAGATAACACATTAAAACATATTAAAATTCTGTGGTACTTTTGAAGATAAAGATTATCTTTATATTCTTCTTGAAGATTTTCAATAAGTAATGTAATTTGAAAGTATATAATAGTCGCTTTGTGATTATTTAAGATAATAAAAAAATATAAGTGAAGACAAAGCTATATTATATTTTGCTTAAATAGTTGATGCTTTGTACTATCTCCATGAAAACAATATCATGCATCGAGAGTATATATATATAAGATGAAATTTATATAGTTTAAAACTCAGTAACATATATTTTACAAAGGATTAGCAATTGAAAATTGGTGGATTTAATTATGCAATATAATTAGAATAGAAATAGGAAAGAAGAAAATCAATTTGTGGAACTTCTCAATATTTAGCTCCAGATATATTATAAAATGAGGATGGATATTCTCTTAAAGTAGACATTTGGTATTTAGGAATTATTTTATACAGATTATTGTATAGTGTTCATCCATTTTAAGCAGATGATATAAAATCTGCATATTAAAATATAAAAACTACTAAATACAAGTTAAGAGAAGAAGTGAAAATATCTTAGAATATAAAAGATTTAATTGATTAATTATTGAATGCTGATCCTAATAAAAGACCTTCAATTGAGAAGATTAGAGAATTCTGTTAAGTTTTGAATTGAATAAATTCAATTTTAATAATCTAAATAGATCATTATTATTTTTAGTAGTGATAAAGTTCAATAACAAGTCTTGAGTTTTCTCCGATCAAATCTTCAATAGTTAATTCTTATTCTTTAATTTTATTGCATTTATTTTAATATTATTGTCTTATGTTTGAGAATTCATTGAATAATTCATTATATTGTTATTCAAATTATTGATAGTCTTTATTTGAATTAATTCTATCATTCAATGATTAATATCCTTATTACAATTTTAAATTATCCTCTATCTACAATTCTAATTGTTTCTAATATGTGAATGTAATAATACTTAATATTCTGCAAGTTTTAGATCTTTATCATCTAATTCTTGATTGTATTTATTCTAAATATCATCTAATTATTGTTCTTATTCTTCAATAGTGTATTTTAATTCTTGAATCGATTTCTCATCTTAAGAGATTACTAATTGTTGTTCCTTAATTTATTATTTAAGTTCAAAAATTAACTAATCATTTTTTTGTGACTCTTATCTTTTTTAGACATCAATTTCTAGTTGTTTAATGTAATTTGTTTATTCATCTAATTAATCATTTTGAAATTTGATCTCATTTTCTTTTTTTTCTAGAAGAGATTAAAGGGTTTGAATTTCTTATTTCAATTTAAATTATTCTTCTGATAGTCGATTCTGTGTTTCTTCTATTTTTTATGAAGCAAGTAACTAGAATAAATAACAATGACTTACATCATTTTATTTAACCTTTTCTTGTAAGACAGTGATTTATTTCATTTGTTATTGGATCTATTCACACATAGTTTTATAGATTGTTTATTATCTATTAAAGTCAAGGGTAGAGAAGATTTCCCATGTTGGGGGAAGGTTAGCTGTCTTCAGTTGAATGGATTTCTATTGTGCTTAGATACTGGATCCACTCATTATAAATAATTATCATGATTGTTATTGTTATATCTCAACATACGTGACAATCTAGTTTCAAGAAGTTTGTTCAATTATTAGGATTGTTCACTTACACTCAATCTAAATCTTTAGTTGTTTAGTTTAAGACTTTCGACATTCTTGTTGAATCTTCTTCTACCTTACACATATTCACTCTTTTCTTTATACTCTTATGAATAGATCTTCTGTTTAAATTACAATGACTTGTTTTTTTGCTATTTAACAATTAATTCCAATGTGGAATTAGGCATAAACCTAGTTTTATTTTTTAGTGGTGCTAATTCAATAGTATTTAATTGAGTTTTTGGTTTCTTTATGCTAACAACAGTAAATGGTGTTTCTTAAGTAGTAAGTGAACGTCTATGTGTGTAATCAATAGTATTATAATGTTATTTATTGATCTCTCGTATAACTGATTTCTTTAATTGTTCAATTGTATTGATTGGATAATGTACACCTTCTACAATTTCTCTTAATAATTACATTTATTAATTAACGAATAAATATATGTTCGTTTCACAATCCAAAGTTTTAGAATGTAAGTTAATTATGATATACTTAGAATGTTTATTAGACATAACCAAACAAGTCTTAGGGGAATAAATAGATAGAGAAAATAGGGGAGCTGTACTTAATCGAATAAAGGAAATCACTTTAGAAACATTCTAAAAACATTACTCAGAAGAGATACTCTTATTACAATAAGAATTACGTTAATAGAATTAGATTAATGATCGTATCAAAAGAGAATATTAAGATAGGGAACAATAATTAATGATTGATTTAGAACATAAATTGCATGAATAATAAATTACATAGGTTTAAGAAATCAAGAGTCTCTAACAATTATGTGATGAATAAACTGATTTAAACAATAAATAACAATAAAGTATTGAAAAACTCAATAAACAAATCAAAGAGTCTCATCTCACTAATTAACAACTAACTTTAGAACTTTAACAACTTAAGGATACTCATTAGACTATTGATATGCAATCAAGATATATTTCTTAGGAAGGATAGGAATATAAATCTAAAGCAGAATAATATCAATCTGCTTATACTCTGCTTGAATAGTAATTCAAAACTTATAAATAAGAATCTGATAAATAGTTAAAAGATTATTAAAGAAGATTATAAACAGTTACTGATCAAAATATCTTTCAAGAAACTGAACTCTCCAATCTTAAGGTAGAAAATGAATAACTCAAGATTAAGAAATAATAAGAATCTTAAAAATAGAAGGAAGCTTTAGAATAATTAAAAGAAAAAAGTTAAAATAAAATTAAGGAATACAAACTTAAAGTAAAAGATCTATAAAATAAAGACTAATACATAATTGAACTTTAAGAGTAAGTCAAAGAATTAGAATAATAAATTGAATTTCATACAACTCAACATAGATAAGCCATCAAGATGTTGGAATAGCAATACAAAAAATAATATACTAGATTGGAGGAAGGTTTAGAATAAGAAAAATCAGATTTATAATAACATCTTACAACAAGTTTTCAATCTACTATCTCCGAAAAAGATAAGGATATTATTGGGTTAACTTAAGACATTAAACAATTAAAAATTTAATTATAAAATGAATAAGAATAAAAATTAAAGAATAATTCAAAATATGAAGAAATTATTCAAACCTTAAAAAAATAATTAGAAGAATAATAAAATTAAATTGATGAATCTCTTTAAAAAAATAAAATACTTGAATAAGAAAATAATAGAAAAGATTAAAATCTTAAATTATTATTAGCTGATGTTGATGATTTGAAATAATTTTCAGAGTAAACCTTAAATACTTTAAAAGAGAATCAAGATTACATGAGTGAAATTGAAAGAGAAAAATAATAATAACAAGAAATCATTCTCTCTATTCAACATTAATTAGAAATTGAAATTTAAGGATCATTCTCATATTAAAGATTAGGATAAGAATTAGAACAAAGATGTAAATTATATAAAGAAGAACATTGTTAAATATTAGAGGAATAATTAAAAAAAGAAGCTTAATATTAATAAGATATTCAATTCAAAGAAAACAAATTTAAGCAAGAAATAGATAATTTAAATAAGGAACATTAATTAATGGTAGAAAATTTTGAAAATTAATTGAAAAAAATGAAGTTAGAAAGTAAGTTACAAAATGAAGAATAAATAAGAGCTTATAATTAAATACAAAAGGAATTATTCTAGAAAGTGTAGTAATATGAAAATTTGGAAAAACAAAACAATAATTTAATAAATGAATTAGAGTAATACATATCATAATATACTCATAATTTGCAATAATTAGAAGAATAAAAAATAAAAGAGAAGAATTTAATTGAAAGCTTAAACAAAAATTAAAATTTGTGGAATACTGAGAAACATTAATTAGTATTACAAATAGATGAATTATAATTTAAATATAGATCTATGAAATAAAAGATTCAAAGATTATTTATTAAGTAGAAAGAATAATTTAATTTATAACTAATTGAGACAAAATCAGTGATTTTAAATAAAGTAAAGAACTATGATTCTGAGAATAGATAATTATTATAGAGTACAGTTAAGAAATTCAATTATGTATATAATTTAAATATTTTAGTTAATTGATTAAAGGGTATAATAAGAAAAGAGAGAGAATGAATTTTCAGTGATAGAATTATAAAAAGAGATGGAAAGAAAGATTGAACAATTAAAGAGATAATATAAATAGAATGAATAATTAATACAAGAAGAAGCTCAAATTAAATTTAAATAGAAATTGTCATAAATTTAATAGCATGATTAATCAATTGATGATTTAAAAAATTAGTTGAATTATTATATTCATGAGAATGAACATTTATCATAGAAAGTTTAAGTGTTAGATTAACTTAATAGAGAATAATAGAAAAAAGCAGAATATGAATAAAGATAACTCCATTAGACAATAAAAGAATTAGAGGATGAATTGTAAATTAATTTACTATTATCATATAGAAATTAAATTTAATAATCTGCTGATTACACTATGAAGGAAAGATAGTTCCTTGAATAAAGATACAATGAACTAAAAGATAAATCAGAAAAAAAGATGGATCAAATTTAAAGAGATTATTAGTAGTAAATATAGTAACTTGAAACAATAATCCAACCAGTTTAATAAAGAGCTTTATCTCCTCCTTTGCATTAACATACATAATCATCTAGTACAGGATTTCATCGTTCACCTGTAGTTTAATAAAATTTATCATCAGCTAAACGTATTATTTTATAAGTATCTCTACCATAGATCCATATGCAAAACCTCCATAATATAGTAGTCCATCAATACGAACACCACATAAATCACCATCAAATGATAGAACAGATAAAACAATTGAAGAATTGAGAGCTGAAATTTAGTAGTAAAAAGAAAAACTTTCAAGAATGAAACTCAATTTTACAGAATCTCAAAAAAAATCTAAAACTTTGTCTAAGTTTTGATGAAAAATATATTATAAATATAATATATACTAAATTAAAATATTTAAATGATTAGAATTTAAGTTATAGAAGTATTAGTTTCATAATTTTAACTAGAACCTGATTTTTCATTTTTTAGAACTAAACACATTAATTTGATAGAAATAACAAAAAAATACATTTAGTAATAAACAATAATGTTTATCTGAGAAGAAGAATATTTTTATTTTAAAATATTTTTGAAATTCACATATGAGAAATATTAGTATATATTAAATTAAGATATCTTGAAATGAAATAAGAGTAGGCTATATAAGTATGAAATAATGTATTTCAGAATCAATAATTTTAATTTAAAATATAACTTGATGTTTGAAATGTACGAAAACTATTATAACTAGAACTCCACTAATGAAATAACTTGCAGCAACAGGATGCTATTTAGCAATAAATATTGTATTGCTAACCTTCTATACATCATTACCATCGGGAACCAATACGTCAAATTTCGATGGATATAAAGGTCTCTCCATAGCAGGTAATATTTTCATGATGATTGGATTTTTATCGATTGTAGCAATGCATTTTAAATATCTATATTATGGAGCTTTAGGTATTGTTGTAACAATGAATTTGGGATTATTCCTATTATTAATAGGAATGGGTTTAGGTTCAGAATTCTATAAAGTAGAGAATTTATTTAATTAAAGTATTTGGACTATAATGCAGCAGTTGCTTTTTGGTTTATTCATTTAGCCATTGATGTTTTAGGAATGCAAATACTTTTGAAAGTCCATAAAGATAATTAAGGAAATGCACCTGAGCCAGCACCTGTTACCAAAAATGTAGCCTAACCTTAAGTTCAATCATGAATAATAATAATAATAGAACATATATAAATTAAATTTAAATTATTTTAATTAATTATTTATAAAAAATTAAATCAAATAAATTTATTTAAAAAGCATTTAAAAACCAAGTAAAATATATCAAATATCATTAATATCTCTTTAAAACTCCTTTGATGATAAAACTATTTCGTCTTCTAGGAGAAGTTTTTTTTAGAGGAGTGAATGATCTATTCAGTTTCTTTTATTTTTAAACTCCATTATATTATTTAGCATTTTCAATAGAAGGTAGTCTAAATTAGGTTCTTGGAACAGTTTAAGGCATTTCAAAATATTCTTATTCAAATGAAATTTTCATCCATTCATGATTTAGGATATCATAAAGTTTGATTCTTTTTTGAGGATCAATAAAGAAGATCCGAGATAATAAATCAATTAGATAAGGAGATACATTCTTTTTTGAGAATGTATAACTGCTACTTGTAATGTTTTATATGATATCGAAATTTGTATCTCCATCAAAAGGATATTTACCAAAAATTAGATGAAAAAGTATAACACCCATAGCCCAAACATCAATATGGGGACCTATTTTTTAATTTGTTCCTTAAAGGGTTTCAGGAGCCATGTATCTAATAGTTCCTATATTCAATTTATCCATGTTGCTATTAACAGCCACGCCTGCAATACCAAAATCGACTATTTTAATTAAGGTGTCATTTTTATTAGCAAACATAATATTTTCAAGTTTTAGATCTCTGTGTATAAGTTTGCGATTATGACAATACATCATAGCATCACAAATCTATCGGAAATACATACGAGCCTCCTCTTCACATAACTAACCCTTAGCTTCATTACAATATTTTAAATACCTTAGGTATACTTTTAAAGATCTCCACCTTCTAAATACTCCATGACAACAATCACTTACATATTGGAGAGCGGATAACAGTTGTAAAATTTGACTATATTTTTATGGTTAAGTGATTTCAGTAAGTATGCTTCTCTAAAGACTAACTCAATGTCATTAGCATCTCTGTTTCTAGTGTTTACATACTTTATTGCAACTAAGTTTAGAGTTTCTTTGTGTCTGCCCAACAAAACTTTGCCAAATCCTCCTTTACCCAGTTATTCTAGTATTTCATACTCTTAATGAATAATATTTGCATCAAAGTCTTCCCCTCTAGTAATATACAATTTTGAATTATCTTTAAGGTAAATTAAATCTTCATTAAAGAGTTCTACTCCATCTTAAGTAAAAACTCGAAAGTGTCTTAGACTAATTTAATGTTTCTATTCGCATAATTGTCTCAATTCTTTGAGTGAAGTATCTCCATAGATTGAAACTTAAAACTTACGATCACTACCTAATAAAGTTATATTAAGTGTTTTCGTGTTAGAAATTTCATTATATTCATGAAACATTTATAAGTGAAGTATTTTTAAATTATTTATGTCTTAAATTATAATTTATATA